ACCGTCAATCACAGTGGTAGCTTCGGTCAACTTGGTGTGAATTTCGGAGCAGCTTGTACAAATTCGCGTCGGACGCACGACGCTGTAGGCATAGCGGTCCCTAGATCTTCCGGCTCCAGGCTGGTGTTTGCGCAATCAGCACATGGCACGCACGTGGATGCTAGAACGTCATGATGGATTTTTAAGATGCGGCATTTCCCAACTGTTCAACTAGCAACGTCCATCATACACATCAAACCCCGGATCTACGGCAAGGCAGACTACGTCTGTCATGCGCAGCTCTGCACCAAAATGTTTTCGTACCAGGGTTACACACAAACGACCCTTTCCTGCATCTTCTTGCACAGAACGATACGCACATCTCGTTACCGGATTGGCCACGCCAGCTTCCGCGGTAGATTGCCAATACGTGTGCTCCAACTGCAGGCTCTGTACAGGCTATGCACAAGAGCTTTCCATCACTCGAATTTTCTCCGCCCTTACCAGTTGCAAAGTCTGCATCGCCCTGCCTTTTTAGCCGGCACATGCTCAATCTCGCTTCAACCAAGCGCCGTGCGTACAAGCGTGCGTAAGTACTGACGACGTGAAAGAAATGCCTACCAGTCTTTCAAACCAGCTCCAACTATGCCCTGAAGATTTGCTGCATCAACGCATCATCTTGCAGTCACATTTGACAACGGCTGTCAGTGTGTGCGGTGGATGCGAACAACAGCTGTGACCACCGTGGCAGACGCCTCGTGCCGCGAACCATTTGACTATCTGCCTTTACGACCTTTGTCGGACGCTGGATGCCTGAACAGTAACCTGTCATGTCGTTAAGCCCCTTTTCGGAGCTGCTCATGTGGCCTCTGGTCATGGTCACCGCATGCCCAATAGTTTCCGCGCAATGGCAAGCTCAACATTAATTCGCTGGTAGTTGCCTCCAGTACATTGAAGACTTGACCTCCTACATGCAGCATTAGCTTCGCTTGTTCAACATTATTACTCGCGGACGATGGGGAAGTTGCTCCCTTCCATCTCTTTCTGCTAGTGCTTTTAATAGACATACAAGCGTGCAACAGTTGTTCTGCTGAACGAAAACACAGCACCTCAACCGCTCTCCAAATTTCGGTCCTCGTCCTCTGTTATCCATCGGAGCGATCCTGCCTACGGTCGACGTGTAGTGGTACGACTCATGGAGCTCACTAGTTTAGCGACGGTCCCAAACACCACACCACTACGGAAGCCACCTCGTCAAACTCAAGATTAACGGGCTTTTGCGCCGAAGTTCAAGCCACAAGATTCTATGAATGGCTTCTTGATGATGATCACGCGCGCTCCTTCCCGTCTCTCGCCTTGTTTTCCGACTCCACTCCTTCTAGAAGATCCCCTTTTTCGGATGGATTCCTAGCCAGTCATCCCACAGCGTCTTACAACAAATTTGTCACACACGCGATAGCTCTCATGCAAGAAGGATAACGGCACTGGAAGAAGGTGACAGTTGGGTACGTACTTGAAGCTGGCCACTGTTACTCAAGACACCTATGGCGCCCGCATGAGCAGCCAGTGGGGGGTTCAAATACGTGGTGTAGTCTCAAGACAGCATGGAAACTCACGACAGTATGTAAAGTATGTGCCTGTCGTTTTCTATGTACATTACCGGAAGAACTTCGGTCAGAGGCGTGCATGATGTGACTCGCATCGCCTGAGAGCCGCTACTAATGCGCCTGGGTACCTTCCCCAGACCCTCCAGCAGCTTAGCTATTGTCCACACCCACAATATCGTCCACCCATACATGATGGTTCACGGCTCCGTTGCGAACGCCAATGCGTAGGTCATGTATCCGTGCGGCCTGGAACGACAAGTAAGCTAACGACGCCGACCACCTCAGTGAGGAACGCGTAGATTTCAGCTAGTGCCTCATGTTGGTTCCCCTGCACCATCAGGTAGCTATTGGGTACACGTACCTAAGGATCATCCATGGCAATGGGCGAAACATCTAGCTCGGCATATGCTGGCGGAACCTACTCCGCCTCGTTCGCTCGTCCCTGGCAAGGTTAGAAGCAACAGCATCACACTTATGCCCAACGACCCTAATTGCACACTACGCATCAGGTGACGTATGCTGATACGGTCTCTGGGTTCCTGTTTTGGTGTTTCAGCTCTACGTCAACAGGAGCTGACAATACACAGTACGATTGATTTGTATCAGATCAGATCCAGGTAATCAGCACTGGAACGACGTCCGAGCCCTCCGATTGGCAGGCACGTCGTGTGTGCGCCATCAAAAAAGGTTTCAGCCTACTGCTACATAAATAGACTATTCACAGGACATATGCGGCGTACATCGTATTGTCACATTTGGTGCCCTTGGACCTACGAAGCCTACGGCGTAATACCAGCTCATCTGATAAACGACGATGGAGGCAATGATCTCAGCTGCCAAGGTGATGACATTACCGCTAGGCGAGAAGACATACCACCAGCAAACTACACAGTACATGCATCAAGAAAAGCGACGAGCAGACCAGCCTCCTCGCTCAATATCGGTCTCGCCGTTTCTCTACAACTCATGGGTGTGAATACGGGAACGACAGCGCACCTGGGCATGCGGCATTGATGCCGTCCCTTGACGGCGTTGCATGTTGACAAAGGGCTTGCTAGCCTCGGTACTTCTCTACCGTGTTCAACCCCTACTAATCTACAAGATATTGATGCGCATTGATACGGTCAAGCAAGGATCGGTAACTGCAGATGTATGCACACTCAAGGCCAGTGCGTCCAGATCAACTGTGGATTGAGCGATCGTCTTCAACGATCGTTATAGGCATCGCATCGAGCATAAAGTGCAGGCGTTTGAGTATGGCTTCTTTGAGTTTTTCACAGTTCAAAATTCCGTACAAATCGCCATGGTCGCAGTAATGGACGCGTGCATACCCAAGATCGACGGTCGAATGCGTCTGCGCTATCTTAGATAGCAGTCCCATGGAGCATACTCTAAAGCACCAGTTCGGTGCGTACTGGAAATAGCAACTTCGTCGCGATGTATTAGATTTCCCTTCCGATCGGACCGGCAACTGAAGCGGCTTGGGTTTCCAGCGCAGTAGAAAGCCGCACCACTCGGATGCTAGCCTGTCAATCCGAACCGTCGCATCGAGTGAACTTGGAGCACCCCATGGACTGCTACTGGTATCACTCTGAACAAACGCGGACGATTTCCCGGTCGCATGCAGGTTCTACACAATACTTATGTACACATAAGACGAGCGGTAGATTGGCGAGCGCGATGCTGGATCTAGAGCTATGCTGAAGATTATATAAGCTAGTGAGCTATTACCCCATGGACGACGTTATTCCTGAGCAAACCCTCTCGAACGGAAGAGAAGATGAAGGGACCAGGCGGCTCGATCAAAACGGACGGTGGACCCTACATCGCCAACCTATGGTATCACGATGCCGGAGGACACTCGCGGCAACAGCGAGATCAACTGTTCCTACAGACGAGAATCAAGCCAAGAGTCCATGCCGCATTTCTGACTGCATTCAAATACTACGGGTTGCGCGCCTCTGACAACCATCAAGTTCGCTACGACTCAATCCCTCAACTTCCTGTCACATGCCATATAGCTAGAGTATCAATCGCTTGGTACGGACGGTTCGCGATAGCTACTTCCCATGTTGTACAGAAGAAGTACCAGCGAACCGTAGGCACTGATGAAGGCCTAACAATGATGCGGAATGCGGACCGATACTTCTAGGCCATCGTCAAACAGTGTACATGATCAGCTATTCTAAACACGTGAACACATCTACTGTTCATGAGTCTTCCCAAGAGAGCTGTAGGTTTTACTTGCTCAGTATTGTTTCTCTACTACATCTGTCATTTCGAAATGTCTTGAATCATTTCTTCAAGTCGTACTCATCAAGATCCGAACAGTTCCACGTTTCCTACACAACGTTGCAAACTGTACAAGAAGAGGAAAAAGGAAATCCCAAAGAGCACCAAAGGAGTCTTGACATACCTTTTTTCAGGTACACTTGAAAACTATTTCTTTCCAGATACTCAGGAGTTCGCACTTGAGCCCCAGCCTGTTATGACTCAGCAACCTACGCAAACTCTTCACCTCCGTAGTCATATCGACACACCAACCTCGCGCCCAAAAACGGTCGAAAGAGTCAGCAGACCCTAGCAACGTCAATGTCTTACGCGGTACCGGGCAAATGTCGTATTCGAAAGCCTAGAAAGCCGTTGCGCAACGTCGCGGCTCCCTCCGCCTCTATTTGCCAAGCCAGATGGGGCCGCAACCGTCTTGGTTGGTCTACGATGACGACGACTCGGACATGAGATGGCAGTCGGCATGCTGGGGGTTTCCGTCAGCGGGTGGATAGTCGAACGGGAGATGCCATAGCCATAAACGTCTCTCCATGACTTGCTGTAACGAAGATCCTCATTCCCTTTTCGTGTCGATCTCGCCTATACTTTCTAGTGATATCATACAGACGGGGCGGCAGTACGTCCTCTTGACCCATTCAGTTAGAGGAGGACTGTGTATATTCCTGCTCGCAATGCGAGATGCGTACACGACTACGAATATAAGAATATGCGAGTCTGTCACTACAAGCAAAAGTGGAGAGCAACTGCACGGTCACACTCTTTTTGGGTATCTGTGTGTCTTGTGCGAAGTTACCATACGGTCTCACTGTGGTGGACGCAGAGACGTTGATCAAGTTGGGAGAGTGTAAGGCAATCGCAATCAAGTATCCGAAGATCGCAATCCGCAGCGCAGTTGGGCAGAGGAAGAAGGTTTACCCTTGAAAGGCACGGTTAGGTCTCCTTGTAGGTGCAAGGTGCGCATTCGTGTTCATGGAGACTGATCAGCAAAGGACCCGCAGGCTAAGCGGTCAAAGCTTGTCCGGGTATGCACCGCCTCATGGCCCTGCGTGTCTTGCAAAAACCCGAGGGCTTGAGTGTGGCTCAAGATTATTCAGGAGACGCTCTTCACCAAAGTAAAAGTTGGGGTAAACACGTGAGAATGTGAATTGAGGATAGGTATAGGAGACAATTCCCTGGAGACGCTGACAAACAAGTCGGGCGACTCGGGTTACAAGCAACCGAATCTGGGGTACAAAGACACGCCAAGTAGGTCAAACTGTGCCGTCACTCGTCGCCATCAACTCTCAGCCGTGCTACCGTCGTAATACGTGTAGTCATTCCACCTCGCAACTTCAAAGGCTTACTTCTGCATCATAAGCTGGACGAACTCGTTGTCTGGATTGTGTTAGAGCGGCACCTGTGATGGCAGCAAACAATACGTACAGTCAATTCGGCCGTCACCGTCCTGGTCGGCCTCCCGGATCATCTCGTCAACCTCGTCATCAGTCAATTTCTCGCCAATAGAAGTCATGACGTGGCGCAGCTCGGCGGCGGAGATGAAACCATTGTTATCGCGGTCAAAGACCTTGAAGGCTTCCCGGATCTCCTCCTCGGAGTCGGTGTCCTTCATCTTGCGGGCCATCATGGTCAGGAATTCTGCAGGAAGTTAGAGCAGGCGTGTGGAAGAAGTGGGAGGGAGAGGTGCCTGGGAAGTCAATGGTGCCGTTGTTGTCGGCATCCACCTCGTTGATCATGTCCTGGAGCTCAGACTCGCTGGGATTTTGGCCGAGCGAGCGCATGACGGTGCCCAGCTCCTTGGTGGTGATTTGGCCTGTGAGGCATCATCGTCAGCGGTGTCCAACGTGGGTGTCTAGTGTGGAGTGCGATTGCGTGGGCGGGAAGGAGAGCGCTCCCATGGGGGCAAGGTGTGGGTGGTGAAACCGACGGAGAGTACTGACCATCGCCGTCCTTGTCCTGCAACACAAGGTGGTTAGCTGTCTGTTGGTGGGCGGGCAGGGCTGAGGGCTGCCAGGCAGCCGCGCGGCAGGGGCTTTGGCATGGCTGGCCGGACACTTACAAACAGAGAGAATGCCTCCTTGAACTCGGAGACTTGCTCCTCGGTGAGAGAATCGGCCTAGATGGCAGCGTTAGCAATGCGCCGGGTTGCTGGCAGGCGGGCGGTCGTCGTGTTTTGCAGGGCGGGGTATGTGCGAGGGCGCGCGGGCGGGGCGGGGCTACACACCATGTTTCCTCTGGATGGTGGTTGGAAGGGTGGGTGCTGGGTTGCTGGGCGACGATGGTCTGGCGTGGTGGATAGAGAGCAGAGGCGCAGGTGTGGTGTGAAGGAGGTTCCCGTAGTGTTTGCGGCTGGGCAAGATGGGCTGGAGTGGAGCAGGCTGTCAGACGGCCGTCTGTTAGGAAGCTGGCCTAGCGTCGCCCAGAGCGGGAAGGCGGCTCCCTCGCCGGCGCTCCCCAGCCGCCGACACGCCTGCGAAGTTGGCCGTCACTCACACGTCTGGCCGTCCAGCTGCACCCTACCCAGTGCCATGCCACAGTCCCGTTGACCCTCGCCAGCCCAGCATGTGGCGGGACCGAACTAACCTGTACGCCGCTGCTGCCGCTGTCCTGCCATGTCCTCGCTGACGTAGCCACCTAGCTTTATATCCTACCGCCAGTCCTACGCCCACCACCCCCAGCAGAAGACGCGCCATGCCCACCCGCGCTCCAATGGCTTGGGCGACAGCAGGCGCGTGTCCGAGGAGCGCCAGGGCCTCATGTCGAGTGGCGCCTACCACGACGACGGCGACGCCGTGATTGAGATGGACCTGCTGCCTCCGCGCTGGCTGGACATCCAGGACGACATCACCCAGCACCTCGCCGATATCGCCACGCAGACACGCAAGCTCGACCAACTGCACCAGAAGCACGTGCTGCCTGGCTTCGATGACGAAGACGTCAAGAGGCGCGAGGAGCGCGAGATTGAGCATCTCACCCAGGCCATCACGCGCCTCTTCCAAAAGTGCCAGCAAGCCATCAAGCGCATAGACGCCATGGTCCGCGAGGCAAAACAGCAGGGCAGCATCGCCCAGGGCGAAGATGTCATGGCTCAGAACCTCAAAATCGCACTGGCAACCCGCGTTGGCGAAGTCAGTGCCATGTTCCGCAAGAAGCAGGCTGCCTACCTCAAGAGTGAGACAACCCCCGCATCACAGCCTTGGCCATGCTAACAGTCTGTCGAGAACTGCGCGACCTTGGCGGCTTCACCTCGCCCTTCCGCGTTGCAACACCTGTCCAAAACCCCTACAACGACCCTGCCTTGCAAGAGTCCGACGCCGATCGCTCCTTCTCCCAGTCCACCCTCCTCCAAACAAAACAACAGCGCATGCGCCACGACCCTAACGAAGCAATCATCGCCCAGCGCGAGCGCGAAATCGAAGACATCGCCCAAGGTATCATCGAGCTAGCAAACATTTTCCAAGAGCTGCAGACCATGGTCATCGATCAGGGCAGCATGCTTGATCGCATAGATTACAATGTAGAGAACATGTCGCGAGACGTCAAAGAAGCCGACAAGGAGCTCAACGTCGCCTCTGGATACCAGAAGCGCAGCATCAAGAGGAAGATTATGCTACTACTGGCCATTTTGATCGCAGCTGTTTTCATATTACTGTCGCTCAAATTGGGCAGGAAAGGAGGAAATGGTACGCCCGCCGCTCCACAAGTACCTGACGTTCCGCCGGCCATGGCCATGGCAATGAGATACAGACGACAATCAACAAGCATGCGCACAAGTCGCATATGGCATCGGAGGAGGCGGCGCTTGTGGCAGGAGACGAGAAGCGACCCGTTGATATTCTGAGGGCGCTTATTGTATGACATGCATAATTCACGACTACTACCTCATCATCCATGACTTTCAGTGTACACCTGCTGCTAATCAACTAACAGGCAGTTTCTGCCTATATTCCCAAGTGCAAAACATAGTTTCTGGATGCTCTTAACAGCTACCTCTACTTCGAAGTACTTCGGCCACGCGCCATCAGGCATCAGATTTGCGGCAGGATAGAGTGCAGCGATGGGCGAGTGCGGCGCAAGCATCGCTATCGGGGTGGCGCAGGCGGGTGCAACGGTGAGCCCCATAGCTGCATGGGCGTTGGGTCAGAACCAGACTGCGGCTTAGGCACCAGTATGTCAGACTGTACAATGCAAGGCCCCATAATCTTAGAGCTTAAAAGCGTAAGTCGCGTAGAATGAACTGGGTGCGTGTTGCGAGAGTGGACGTAAATAGCCAATAATGATGGTACCTCGGCTCGGTTGCTCTTCTACGCCAAGGTCGTGAATTCAACTCGTGCTATTAAACGTGCGTTTCTAAGAAGGAGTTTTATATCATTACCGATTGATGTCTCTGTGTTCTCTAGCTCAGCAGATATAGCAACCCGCTCGCTCTACGGCCGCATCATTACTAGTAAATCGTACGTGAACTACGAAGAAGCTTGTTCATTGGAAGCTGTGTTTCGAAGACCTGCTCTAGAGAAGGTCGTCGCGTCGTTGACAATTAGCTGATGAAACGCAATATAGTATACATCTCTGCTTAGGTGTCTATATACCTCATCATACCAGCTTCCTTGTTCACACACAGCAATGGAGCCATCAACCTCTCCACCCGTTGCCGACATAGTAACACCGCTATCCGATTTTCAAAAGATAGGTCACAACACATATCTCTGGACATCATCATCATACCTATCCCAACTCGCAGAGCAAACTCCGCTCATCCTACTCTTCGCCTGGAACGCTGCGGCCGCAAAGCACATCGCCAAATACACACTTACCTACCAGAAGCTTTTCCCAACATCCCGCATCCTGCTGGTACGATGTTTCACCCCAGACATGTTCCGCCGTACCTCGTCCTACGCCACTTTGTTCCAGCCAATAACAGATCTCGTAGCCGAACATACCGCTTCAGGAGGACGCATCCTTGTCCATAGTTTCTCAAACGGCGGTGGGAATCAAGTCAATGAATTTGCGAAAGCATGGAAAAAGAAGTATGGTACAGTGCTACCCATGCAAGCACAGATTCTCGATTCCAGTCCAACCAAAGGGCCGTGGATGCAGAGCCATGCAGCCATTTCCGCGTCCCTTCCCAGAAACTTGTTTTGGGTTTGGTTTGGTGGGGCGCTGGTTCATCTTCTTCTTGTCCTTACATTCATTGCAGACAAGACTCTGGGGAGGGAGAATATGATGGTAGTTCTCTGCCGGGAACTGAACGATGAATCGGTGTTTGATACCAATGTACCGCGTCTGTATTTGTATAGTCGTTCGGATACGATGGTTCGGTTTGAGGAGGCGGATGAGCATGCTGATATTGCCAAGGCGAAGGGGTGGGATGTGACAAAGGTGCAGTTTGAGAAGAGTCCGCACTGTGGTCATATCAGGGAGGACGAGAACAAGTATTGGGCAGCAGTCATGGAAGCTTGGAAGAAGGGGTCGAGGAGAGGTAACATGTCTACTTGATCTAGATACCAGCGTAATGCAGTCCTCATCTTCGACGTGTTTATTCTAAGCGGAACGTGATATGTTGCGTCTTGGTACGTCTACAATCGAGCTGCCACCAGACTCAGATATATGTTCCACAATAAACCGCAGAAGCTGAGGAACACAATGCGACGCTCAACAGGGATGAAGGTGGTGCTGAAGAAATTGGCAATCGGCCAGACCTTGTACGAGTCGAAGATGAGACCGAATAGCTCCTGTTTAAGTATCAGCACTGCACACAGCAACCCTTCGGCAGAGGGCCTACTTACGTTTCTGAAGTCCTGCCCAATCATCGCCACCGTCTTTCCCTTCATGAGACCAATCAGAATCAGAAACATTGACTGGTTCAGTAGCGCGCCCATGGTTATGCACTGTATTTTGTAAGTCTTAATCCGTCACCACAATTGGAGCAGAGGCCACTCACGTCCGTAAACCACTTCTTGAAAATATTCCACCAGTTCCTCACTCTAACCTCTTCTTCCACAATGCCCTTTCCTTCTCCATCACCTCTCAGCATTATGCCCTTCTCCTCTTCACCTTCCCCTACAGCCCTTGTTTGCTTGACAGTCTTCCAGCCCGGAAACGCGCGCTCGAGCCAATTCTGCCAGTGATAGTTGATGGGCGCGGTGAGTACGACCATGATGGCGAACTGGGTGAAGAGGACGCGGTCGAAGACGAAGGGCTTGGATTCGTTCCATGCTTTGAGGCGTTGCGCGATGACGTTGCTGCATGAGTCTATGGCGAGAGCGGAAAGACAGGCTACCGCGATGGGAGGTAGCTTCATCGTTGCGAAGAAGGTATCTTGGAACGCGAGGAGAGCCGGCGGAGAGTCGCTGTCTAGGTAGTTGATGAGGATGGTGGGGATGAGGTCGCAGGACCGATTGCCAGATGCAGATCAGCGAGGCCAAGTAAGCATCGCAGTACGCGGGCGTTTCGGCGAGGCGCTCAGGAACGGTTTCGTAGTAGGTAGGTAGGTTGTAGTGATGGAAAACCAACAAAAGTCAATCGGAATGCGGCATGGCCATCCGCTTCGGCTGCGCCGTTGCAATGCCACTCCACATTGGTTGGTGTTGCTACTGCGCTTCTCGGGACATTGGTGCTTGAATCAGACCGTGGCTTGATGCGCGTCGCAAATGACTCGGCCGCACGCTTATCTCTCTCTTAGCATTTACGAGGCCTTTGCCGCGGTTTCGTCACTTACTGAACATCTCGATTCCCTGGTAGGAGAAGACCTGGAGCTTTGTACCTCCCAACATTAAGCCGCGCACGAGTGACCGAGTTGTGGCTGCAGCCCATTGAGCCATGGACAGGCTGCTTCTTGAGAAACTTTCGTGGCGTACACGCTGCACACCTATGACAACGCTCGGCCGATCAGGAGGAACATGTAATCTACAGAGATCATAAATAAGGCAGGACAACATAGGCCAACAGTTTTCATATAAGAAGCCGAGATGAACTGGAATACCTATCACATCTCGCCTCTTACGCTTGATAGGCCAAGCAAATACCAGACATTAAGGAGTTCACGATCGCATCCAGAGCAGTCTCATGCAGTCCCTAATTCTATTGCAATCTCTGAAGGAACGGGGCATCATTGATGACAGGCTGTGATAGACAATGTTGTGTATGGTGTGACAACAAGCTGTTGATTTATAATTGAGTCTGTGTCTACACACGCCCGCATGCCCCGCAAAAAGATCGCAATGTGAGAGAATACAATCCAGGCTAAAAGCTTGTCTTATCCGATGAGACTCAAAAGAAGAATTAACAGATAGAGCTAACTATGCAGAGAGCTACTTGCAAGCACATCCTGTTGCATGTACCTTCTTGACTCGAATCTTGGCATGGGTAGCCAGGTTCTAACATTGGTTCGTATATAGATCGCAGGGTGAAGACCTAAGACGTAGGAATGAAGTAGAAGACATCGAGTCTATTCGAGGACCCAAGTCACATGCAATTTGGGCTTCCTAGCAGTACCTAGGTAGCCACGTGTCAGAGCAGGAACGCGATTGCCTAGAATCCAAATAGCACTCCGAAACCGAAGCTCTTTTCAACCCGTGACCTAATCTCATACTACCATACTGTTTCCCCTTCTTCTCGTTTCTGTTGGCGTTCACTCATGTTACTCCCCGGCTCGAACCGTGCGCATGGAGCAAGCCCGCCAAACTCCGTCTAACTCCACCAACGATGACATAGCGTTATATATCATCATTGCTCAGATAACGTCATCGTACAACCAGCTCACCAGTTAACATGCCAAATAGATCTGTAGTTACGTTCGGAAAAAGCATAATGTGGGGTTCGATCTGTGTGCATGAACTGGAGATCTACCGAGGCTCAGTAATCGAAGGTGGATAGACAGCATCGGCGAGCGTGTTGCGCCGTCGTACACCGCCGTACAAGAATGGTGCTGTCTCTTCTTTCGTCAATTAGTTACAAATCATCGTTTTTGCCTCACGTCTGTGTCTATACTCTGCTCCCAAGAAACGATATCCTTCAATAATTGCCACCATCATGTCAAACCAAGCAGCATGGATCCCAGAAGCAAAGGGCCAGCTCCAGGTCAAGGAAGCTCCCATGCCAAAGGCAGGCAAGGGCGAGGTTGTTATTAAGAATCACGCCGTTGCTGTTAACCCCGTAGATTGTGAGTATCTGTACTTTCGTAGTCGGAATGAGTGTGCTAATTAGAGCAGGGAAAATCCAGGACTATGGCATCTTCCTGCAAAAGTATCCCAACATCTGTGGTACTGACGTCGCTGGTGAGGTGCACGAAGTTGGCGAGGGCGTTACACATGTTAACAAGGGCGACCGGGTGCTAGGGTTCGTCTTCCGCCTTCCGCCTTGAGAGCTCTTCAGCGAGGCCGTGAACTAACAGCATAGTACAGACACGCGTTCTCACTCGTGACTAATGACCCCGCGCACGGTGGATTTCAGCTCTACACTGCCTGCAACGCGCTCGTCGTATCGAAGATTCCATCGAATATGACGTTCGCCTCAGCCTCAGTGCTGCCTCTTGCGATCTCTACTGCAGCCGCATGCCTCTTCAAGAAGGAGACCCTCGCGCTACCCTTGCCATCCTCCAACCCCTCTTCTACGGGCAAATCAGTGTTGGTATGGGGCGGCTCGAGCAGCGTTGGTGCGACTGCAATTCAGCTAGCCGCGGGTGCTGGTGTAAAGGTCGTCAGCGTAGCGAGCAAGCACAACCTGGAGAAGCTCAAAGGCTTGGGCGCAACAGCAGCCTTTGACTACAAGGACCCCAAGGTCGCCCACGACATCATCGCCGCTCTCGAAGGCACAGAATTCGCGGGCGTGTGTGACGCCATTGGTACACCGGATGCTGCAGCTGCCTGGACACCAGTATATGAGAAGCTTGGTGGACGTTATGGCTCTGTGCTGCCTGATGCGGAGGGTCTTCCAAAGGGTATCGAGGGCACAAGTGTCTTCGGTCCAAGTGTAGCGCTGGCGGACAAGTACGTTGGTGACGTTGTCTGGGCTCGGTGGGTGCCAGAGGCGCTGGAAAGAGGTACACTAAAAGCTGTGTAAGTATCTATGTACCAAGTGCGTGTGAAACATACACTGACTTCGTACACGTATCTTTAGCCCAGAACCACTGGTAGTTGGAAAGGGACTCGACGCTGTGGCGGAGGGCTACAAGAAGCAGAAGGAGGGTGTCAGCTTTCGCAAGGTTGTGATTGAGTTGTGAGCCCTATCGGAACACTAGCCCACATAGCGAACATGTGACAACAACATGTCGAAACTGACGCGGGGCGTAGTTCTGAGTGATTGTGTCCAGGCAGTTCCTCTAGAAGCCACGTCCAGCATTACAAGCACATGCATACGCTGAACATTCCCAAGTTTCCGCGGCCCCGGCGGAACATACCCCCGGTCGGGTCCACTTAAAAGTTTTTAGCTTCCTGCACTCTGCTTCAGTTCACATGCTTCTTCTTCTTCTTCTTCTTCTTCTTCTTCTTCTGCAGCTGCGAACGTATTCAGCGCTCGCTCTTGTGTCGCATACTCATTAACATCAGCTCCTCTGCTTTCAACGCTTGCTCTTGTAAGTACTACTGCTCTCCCATCTTCCCGTCCCTGCACCATGATGAAAAGCATTCCACATTCGCAGTTTCCACGCTAGCCATCAATCGAACCTACTTTAGATGGTCAATGAGCGCGAATACCTTCCTTGGATGTCTGATATGCCTTTCAACCTCACATTACAGTTCTGCTTGTTTTCGACAGCTTTTGCTGACTCTTCACAGGCCACCTAGACTCCGCCATCGTTTAGTAGTCATGCTGCTATGAACAAAGTGTATGCAGCTCTGTACGATGCCCAATCGGCAGTGCTCACTATACAATCGCACGTAGTTGGAGTTTTGACTAATTCATTCAATACTCATATACAATTAACACCAAGAATACCTCTACTTTGCCACTTTCTCTTGATGGTGTTCCACCATACTATTGCACATTGTCTTCCTCCAGACCTTCGTTCTATCTTTGCTAGGGTATAACAGTTGCTTCGCACTACAACCTCGATCGCTTAGAGCATGAAGAAGGTGAACAGACCCGTCATACCCGCGAACATAGCGCTGCCAGCGAGATGGGACGCAGCACCTGTTGCTGAAGAGGGTGAAGGTGACTCGGATGTTGAAGTACCGTTTTCGTTGAGCTTACCACCAGTGCCGGCGGTTGATGTAGGCGATACGTTTTCGGTGGCCTTCTCAGAAGCGTTCTTGAATGCATCAAGAGTGTTGGGACCAGATGCCCTAGACAATGTCAGTGAAAGCAAGCGGCTAGAAGACAAGTGGAAAACTTACGGGGGGTTGATGACACCGACCATGCCACCCTGGCAGTGCATGCCCTGAGAGCAGTAAAACCAGACGGGAGCTGAAGCATTCTTGACCTCATAGGTGAAGGTTGTGCTGGCGACGCTCTCCATATCAGATGTCGGAACAAAACCGGAGAAGAAGCCACCGTCCATAGGCTTTAAATTTCGACGTACGAAGTCAGTGTATGTCTCACACGCAGTTCGTACATGGAGAATCTTACCTGGCAAGGCTTGGCGAAGGTAGCCTGAGCGACGGAGTGGTTCTTGGGCCAGAACGAGAAGGTGACAGTGTCGCCCTCAGCGGCCTTGAGGCTGTCTGGCTTGAAGACAAGATCGCCAGCCTTGTTGCCGACAATGACCTTGTGATCCATTGCGAAGGTAGCGCTGGCCATGGCCGAAGCAGCGAAGATGGTTGAGAAATGCATTATGGTTGGTTTGTTGGTAAAGAGACTAGCTCGTTTGGTGATTATGAAAATGCGGGTAGAAACGAAGGTTGTCTTGGTGTGTAATTGGTAGTGAGAAGAGAAGAACGTGGACCTGCCTGCCGAGCCAAGTGAGCACATTTGCGTCCATTATATAGTATATAGAGAAACAGTTGCCGCCTGTTGAGCGGATCAGTCGGTATACGCATGCCATGCCATAACACCTTCGAGACTTCAGGCGTCGCGAAGGCACGCTTTCTTGACGCCTGAACGCTTGAAGCGAGATCTGGGGAAACAGGGCGGTCAGCGTGTCACAATGCAGAGCTCTGCTACTGGCTATGTTTGCCATGGGCGCCTGTATTGAGCCACTTGCCGCTCGGGTATGGCTGTTTCGAGCCTGAGGCCGATCCTGTGGCTGTCCAGGAGCCAAGACCAGACCCTTATTTCCATGGCAAATGCGTTTCTGGCCAAGGGATGAAACTCGCTGTTGGTCGTTGATGGAACGCGAGATGTTTTGGAGAGCGTGCACGGAAGTCGGGCGCTATCTCCGCCCTGTCATCTCACCCGTGACATCCGCGGACCCATAGCTACTGCCGTGACAGTGGACGCCTAACATCGCGATATCTGGAGCGTGTATAGCTAACGAGCCGTTGGATCCGCCTTGAGAGATTCTCCGTCACCCGAAAGCCTAGCGCAACAAGCAACAGCGTCAACAGCTTCTGGTGCTGCACTCGGCGCTGCCACACATTTTCCGAACGACCAGATCTCATGACATACCACCGAGTTTCTTCGGCACCTTCCTCCGTTGCGCAAAGCGTGGCGACTGTTCCATCTGACCCTGGTTGCTTCGTGCCTTCGGAAGATGTCAAAGCGTCCACGAGCCCGGTATACCGAACGATCTGACGCTTTGTTCCGTGGCTGTGTTAAGTCTCCGCTCTCACGAGATCGCAGCTCCCGGGTAAAACATTCTGGTCGAACTTTAGTAGGAAAATGCTACGGTTGTATCTCGTGTCGTGAAGCCTGGGATGGGAGTCTGCATGGCTGCATGGGCGGTGAACCGACGCTTCCAAGGTTCATCATCTGCTGATCAAGGTAATCGTTGCTGGTATGAGCGCTACCCTAACGGCCAGCTAACTCGACGACGTCCTTCCCTGAGCAACAGCTATAATTGCACCGTGTGTGATGTTGTGACGGTAATAGTCAGATTCCATGTTCGTCGACGTGGCTTTGGCTACCGCCACTTCCGAGACTATACGTGCGTCGCCTCCAGACCTCCTTCCGGTCACGACACCATGCCTAAATCTCGTGAGATGTATTTGTCGTGCACGCGTGCCGGTGGGGGTGCAGTATCGTTTTATTGATCGCTGTCCATGGCTACTTATTATGGCACATTGAATGCAACCATCCGTATCTCCGGGCCTTTTCCTCGTCTACTGGACCCTTTATAGCTAGTGAAAGCCTCTCCCGCTGCTAGCGTGCCAAAAATATCGCAACTCTCCGCATCAATTCTCGTGTCTTTTGGCGCTATGAGCTCATCTGTGCTAACCTACTCTAAATGCCGCTATTTCATGGTCATCTGCTTTGACCGCTGAAGCTAGTGCTGTCGAAATGGTAAGTCATTCCGGGATGTCGCTCGCATTCGCGCTTGGTTACCCTGTAAAGATTGCCATTGTGACGAAAGACAAGGTGGAAGCCTCGGATTGTAGAGTGGAGGCTTCGTGATGGCGGATGGTATAAATGGCAATGTACTCGCAACTGCAAGACACGCATCATCAGTATCCAGCCTTCCGACTTCTAAACCTTCATCCTCCAAGCTTCTACCCATCTACCAACAAATCATGCAGTTCTCCAGTGCCATCTCAGCGGCAATCCTTGGTTTTGCCAGTCTTGCTTCGGCCATCACTGTCAGCTACGATACTGGCTATGATGACGGCAGCCGCGCCTTGACCTCGCTCGCCTGCTCGGACGGCTCCAACGGTCTCATCACAAAGTACAACTGGCAAACTCAAGCCAACGTTGCCGGTTTCCCCAAAATCGGTGGATATATGGGTGTTGCTGGATGGAACAGCCCACAGGTACGTACACTTACTACATTTCCTCATCTTCATCGCCTAACAATACATACTAGTGTGGAACATGCTACGGCGTTACCTACAACGGAAAGACCATCTACGTTCTCGCCGTCGACCATGCTGCTCAAGGCTTCAACCTCGCCAAGGCAGCCATGGACGAGCTTACAAACGGCCAGGCTGCGGCTCTGGGACGTATCGACGCCCAGTACGCTCAGGTCGCGACCAGTAACTGCGGATTATAAGCACCGCGCTCTATTACAAACGATGATAATTGGAGAGGGTGGATCACGAGAAAACATACGATAATGTGTATTTACAGGATTCAGGGTTAGATATTGCATAGCATAGCGTTCCTTCTCTGCATGCGGTGGCGTTTGTACATACATTCCTTGATTAATTCATAGTTCATATTGGAGGCAGGTCTGCTTACTATAAAGAGAGATGCTATTTATCTGTTGATGTAAATGTCTACCTTTGCGAGTCTTAATGACACTGGAGGCCACGAAGTACACACACTCTTTATGATCTTCTTGATAATCCCCACTCCTCACTTTACGAGTCGCAGCCATGCAGCTGCGCGGTAAGATGAGCCCCAATCTACTCTTTTCAGCATAGCTCTTGTAAATAGTAAGTGCTCAGGAAATTTTACACCTCCTTCGCTGATGACCAACCTTTCTATACGCTCTCCTCTTCTATGCTGCATGTATACCTAGTTGTGATTAACAAGTTACAAGACCGTCGCCTGTATAGAAAGTATAAGATGACGAGGAGATTGCACGAGTGTGAAGAGTTCGGATAAGGAGATGCAACAAATGTTTGAGGTTGTTGAGAAGACTATGAAAGGCTGCAGTAATGGTGGAGGACAATGCTAACCTACATCGCGCAGATGGTTGCATGGTTTGAGCGTGCGTGACATTGGCATTGTCATTTATTCATTGTGTCTATCTACTGACGTTCATCCTCAGTTCTCCATGAGATCTAAAGGCTTGTTGGTATATCGCTATTCGCAAAGGAGGGCCATCTACGCGATGACCAAAGGACTTTTGTTGTGGAAACGGAATGTACGTGTCCCAAGAGTATCGAGGCTACGCCCGCATAGCCATGCGCTCGTGGCCTGCTATTAAATAGGATGTGTTAAAAAACCCGAGGGGCGATTTGTGATCAAGCGTCCTCGAGACAGCACTTGTTTAACGAGGTGTTGAAGCAAGTAATCGACCAAGACTGCCGCTAGCGAATGATGGCTCAGGAACTGGTGACTTGGCGTAGAAAATTTCGCCTTCAACTGTACTAGGAGACGTCCTTGATATGGAAGCCGCCGATTTGTGCGAATAGGACTTTGGACTCGATGGAGCCGTCACTGGGGTAACGAGGTCAATCGATTTGGCTCCGTAAGACCCACTATGCGACGGCTTGGTCCTGGGTGGAAGAGGTCGCGTAGTGGCGGGCGTGTATGGCAGCGAGTAGCTCACTGACGAGGCTGGGGTATGTGACAGCGAGGGGGCGGCGCTAAAGCTGATTTGTGAAGTAGAGTTACGGCTGTAGCGCGGTCGAACGGTATCGGGGAAGTAGGCAGGTGATTGGAATTTGCGGAGATATTTTGATGCCTCCGAGTCGAAACGCTGACACCGGTCGACGCTGTTATCGTCTGACGAGATGTCGGAGAAGGCACATGACGAGCGTTTTGACTCAGGCTGAGTGGGGGAGCGCTGAGGTACAATGTCGCGAAAGGCAAAATCGTCGAATGTGAAGTTGGCAAATGGAGTAGTTGGCGGTGAGTAATGATCGTATGAATAGGTAAGGCTCTTCTCGGTGTCCTTCTTCTTGCAGCTACGTGTGCATGTCAGTGGGTGGCCTGTGCGTGATAGAGTGGGTGTGGGCCATACCTTTCCGAGCAATAGAGCACAGAGTTACTGGGAACAATAATTTGCTTCTCGCAGACGGTGCTGCAACACAAGATTAGTGCGCAGTCGAGAGGACTCTGATGACGACAACATACCAGTAGTTCAAAAAACTCACGGCCATTGAGTCCTCGTCTTCGTCGGATGCAGTCTCTTTGTAATGAACGACTTTGGAAGCGGCTTTGCTTCCGTGGGACTGGGTCCGCTTTGACAGAGGCCTAGAGGGCCGTGCGTGCGCTGGCTGCGACTTTTTGGATTGATGAGACGGGTGACGAACGTGATGTGTGGCCATGATGGATGTGGAAGAACTTTAAAAGCCTCACTGTGATAATCGCGCACGGTGCACGATGTCGTTACAGGGCTGGAAGTAGGGCAGCAAAGAAGCGGTGACACAGGCCGCCGAGTACCAGCTGCTGATATGACGGAAGGTTCGTGCGTGGCTTTGTTTAGGATCCTTATCGCTTGGGTTCTGCGCCAACGTTTTAGCCAGGAACACGATAGTGGGTGTCTAGATCGTGACGATGTACAAGAATGGGCCTTGATCGATCGACGAGGTTCAGAGGCAACATCAAGAAGCCAGGGGAATGAGCTTACATCAACAGACACGGGACGTGCGACGTCGGAAGGAGGGACAGAGTGCAGTATAGTTCCGGGAACGATGCGCGGGTTGGGCTGGGTTGGGGTGTGCGGCGATAAGCAGCAGTTCGTGAGAGACAGCAAAGCCGAGTATTTCCACGAGGCAGGCGGCTTTCAGCGGCAGGATAACAAGCAATGTATCGGAGATCGATAAGAAGACGAGCGAGGGACTGCGGTCAATAAGTAATTACAAGACCGGCGCCTGCGAATACCTGAGGGCAGTTCTAGAACACGGTTGACGACGACGGCCTAAATATGCGGTCGGGATATGGTTGCGCGTGTGGGGATGATTCGTGACAGCCATCACGATAGAGCCATTGAGATCATCTAGCACGCCATAACGGCACCCGCTGCCCGCTGACTCCTCACTACCAACCCCCACTCGCATCCACCACGGTGCCTTGCTACAAATTAATCTTTGCCGGTGCAGCCACAGCGGGGAAGCCTGGCGAGAGTGCATCCCTTGGCCGTTGCAGCGTTGTGCATGGAAACGTCGCAGGCGTCGCGTTGCAGCGAATTGCGGGCCGAGCATGCACACGGGAATACCACCAAGGTCCACGTTCTTGTGCAACTCGGTGCGACTCGCAGCGGGCACCATAATTACACACCACTGCCCACTCGGGTGCGTATCGCTGACGCGACACCGTCACGCCTGCTCTGTGTTGCGAGCTCTCTCAACACAATGAAGCCATATTGCGTATGTATCACAGCCTTCCGTTCGGTAATCGGGCGCGGCTCCTCTCTCGCGATCGACTCACCACTCTCTAGTCGGGCTTTGAACAGCTTTTTCGCAAGTTCATCGATCTCACCAGTCGGCTTGCGAGCCGCTATACATAGAGTGTGTTCCTTGTCGATAAATCGCATCTTTGAAGCACTCCGGTTGAGCGACTTTTGACTGTGCATAAGTAGATGCGGGTCCATTGTCTACTCGCGTAACTCTATCCTAGCGGCCGCGCAACAAAAGAGCCAACCGGGTCTTCAGAAGGGCCTTCACCGTCTCGAAGATTGTGAATCACCAGAAAATCTCTTAGGCCTGAAAATACACACGTTTCTTTATGCTGCAATCCACGACCATCAGCGTGTATGTACCCGCAGTAGAACTTTAGCCTTCATATGTCGGTCAAGAGTTTTCTCTCTCAACACCTTGGTCTCAAACAGAAAATGGGTCGTCCATGTATCGCCCTCTAGTGACACGCCACAGTTGGATCGGGGTCGAAGTTGGATAAAACGGCCCTTTCTGTTGATGTTCAGGCACCGGTGGGCAATCAACCTGCTCGAATCTGAAACGGTTCCGCCCTACCCCACAAAAGTTAGCAACAACTCGCCCGATGTCGTAACATGGCCAGGAAAACAAGACGCGGAGAGACCCACTACACGCGTTCAGGAAGGTCTCGAACGTTTGTTCGTTGCGAATCGTCGCAGATATCAAAGCTTCGAGCGCTGGGTTCAGGTCGAAGAATTCTCCCAGGGTCGAGACCAATCGCGGAATGACGGACTTGTCGTATGTCTGCGACGTTGTCAGATCCACGTCTTCACGAGGCTGCAATGACGATGGCTTACCACGTCTGCTCCCACTACAACATCTGGTACGCTCATGCCATAGTCTTCGGAAAAAGCCGCTGCGTCAATGGGATGGCCCCACCTCAGCGCGGCTGTCCGCACTTGAATCCGGGACGTGTCATCGACATCAAGTCCATTGAGAAAAAGATTTGTTTTGATGGCATCCACAACAGCCTCGTCGCCATCTGTAGCAACCACGCCGGCCGCCCCCAAGTGCTTCGCGCAAAGAATGGACAGCATGCCAGTTCCTGCGCCAAGTTCAAATACTCTCTTCCCGGATACAAACGGTCGGCCAGCCTCGGACGCGAGATGCGACCCGAGTAGCAACGCGGCTTCCCAAGTTCTGAGACCAGTCGTCCCGGACGAGGAGATGACGGATCGCGCTTCAAGTAGCGTTACCGTACGTTCGTGCGTTACGCTATCATCGAGTAAATGATCGGGGTAAGAGTACGTCACGAATGCTTTTTGCTGAGCTGCGTCGGCTTCGGAGGGCAGATCAGCAACAAGCAGAATAGTCATCGCTTCCATAATGTCATCTGAGATTTCCTATAGAAGAAACGAAGACAAAGGTCAGCAAGTGCTGCAAGGAATCTTTGCCATTGAAGGATGATTATTATGACTTGATATATGGCTGGGCTACAGCAAAGGTAAAGCCATGGCGAGGAGATAGGAGACCATACATCCTCCTCCGGGTCAGTGATCGACCTCTCGAGTTTTGCGACAAGTTGTTTGAGAATCCTCAACCGATAGCGGCCCGGGGGTAGTGATGTGATATTCGCCGCATCGAATAGGTTGTGGAAGAGCCACGCCTGTACGTTTGGCGCTTTTAGTATCGCATCATCTGGCCATCTCAATTGGTGTGGTTCGACCAGCTGGAAATACTGGCGTTGCAAGATGCGTAGCTGCGATAGATTGGATGGAGCGTCCATGGAGGCGACAACGATTTCGTTCGACACGTAAGCTCGAAAATTCCCAATGTGTCTCAGCCTCCCTGGTCGAGCAGCTTGGTTGTATATTCGGATTTTAACGAGGGGGAAGAACATCCAAGCACGCATCTGCTTACGTAACTTTGCAGCGGGGCGCCTTGGCAGACTAAGCGAGGCGCACTGCCGACCGCCGACACGACACAGCAAATTCGACATCTCTATCTTGCCGCCAGCTAACCACAGGTAATCGACAACAGCAAGATCGATCTCTGTCCAGTACGTCCATTGCAGACCCAAGCCCGTTCTTTTGCACTTGTGACTCACGTCTAATCGTCGCGTTGCAGGTCGAATCTTCCCAACATGGCCGACTCTCAAGTTACTCTGCGCACGCGCAAGTTCATCCGCAACCCCCTCCTTGGACGTCGTCAGATGGTCGTGTAAGTGCAGGAACCGCCGAGCACACAGTTGCGGAGGATTGAGTCTGACGGGAATACTACAGCGATGTCCTTCACCCCAACCGCGCAAACGTTTCCAAGGACGAACTCCGTGGCAAGCTCGGTGAGCTGTACAAGGCCAAGAAGGACGATGTCTCCGTATTCGGTTTCAAGACACACTTTGGTGGCGGCAAGAGCACCGGTTTCGCTCTTATCTACGACAGCGCCGAGGCCATGAAGAAGTTCGAGCCCCGCTACAGGCTAGTACGCTACGGCATGGCCACCAAGGTCGAGAAGGCCAGCAGGCAGCAGCGTACGTCTTCCCTGCGTCTATACATAGTGCCGCAATTATGGCGATGGATATGCATGTCGGTACATGACACATACTGACTGGACAACAGGCAAGCAGCGCAAGAACAGGATGAAGGAGTTCCGGGGCACAGCCAAGTCCAAGGGCGGTGCGAAGAAGGACAAGAAATAAGCGGGTGCACACTGATGATGACTACGAAGGTCATGGCTGGAGTCGAGTGGCGGTTTCTCTACAACTACTGGTTCGCCTGGTTCTTCCTCACGGTGGATACGGAGTTGCTTCTGCGGGCATCGGCATGTATATCTACGAGCGCCTGTAAAACTCTTGCGGATGGGAACGACAAGACGGATGGCGTTTGAGATAAATTGTCTGCTAACCATCAATGCATATCATGGACTTTACGATCCCCCAACTATTTTGCCACTCACCCGATTTCCACATGCTTTACCCCGGCCACCGCCCATATCATGTGTACCACGAACGGATACAGATGACCTCCTTTAGACTTTCGAACCCGTGTCATGGCCTGCGGGCATGAGGAGATGACGTTACTCTATTTCCTGCACAGTCACTAGCCACCAGTCAGACCCTCGTCCTCGCTGCATGCGCATCACCCATTCTGTTTGATCCAATCCTTGCAGACCAACCATTTTTATCCCTGGCCTTCCTCCACCCCTTATCCGTAATGCCTTCTTACTCATGATCGCTGTCGTGTTTTCTTTCAAGTCCTCATCCCTGTCCTTTGCCAAACCCTCAAATCTATGAGCAGCATACTATCCAACATCCGAAGCGACCTGTGTCCCTGAATCTCGTTGCCGAGTTCGCAATTGTTGAAGGCGTGTAGAAGAGGAAGAAGGCGTGGTTGGGGGATCCGTGGACAGATAATGTTTTGGCAATGTAAGGCAGTAATAGAACATATTGAAGACTATGAAGCAGAAGGGAACGAGGAGACTGACGATCGGTCGTTGTAGTTCTGAGTAGTGCATGGTGAAGCGAACGACTGTCGTTATACTTTGAATTACTACTCGCCATATTCAATACAGGTGCGCAATCGCTCAAAGGATGCATCTCCAGGTGTACACAAACAGACCATGGCACGCGCCATCACTGCTCTCGGGCTTCAAAGTCCTCAGATCTCCTGGGGTATTCTTCTGAGGGTTGTGGCGCAATGTTCTCAACTTCGGCCTTAGCTTCTTCCCAGGCCGCCTTGTTTCGTTTCGCCCAATCGATATGACATTGAGCGAACTCCATCTGCAGTTGTTCTTAGTGGTAATCACGAGCACTAGGTAAAGACCAAGACATACCATGTAACGGCGTAAATCGTCCTCCTTTTCGCTCTGGAATCGTCGCAGGTCCTTCATCACACCCGCACTTGCGTCTTTGGTATCTTTCTCGGCGACAGTCAGCGCTTGTTCGAGCTGCGTGTTGGTCAGCATCTCTAATTGTCTTGACACATAGCATATCAAGCCTACCTGTACCATACTATCCCGTGTCTTGCCAATCTGATCTCTTCGTGTCTTCTCAGGATCTACGTCTGCCATACCCCTGAAAGCATGTGTAATGGACCCAAACAGCTTGTTGGTGACGAAATTCCCACTTGCAGTCTTCTTGTGCGGGCTACTAGGCGGTGATTGATTATCAGGTGCGCCTTGTGCGCTGGATGGTGTGTCGCCGTGTGTGGGTGGGAAGTCGGAGTCAATCGATGCCCTATCCTCGTCCGATCTACGCTGTTGCTCCGCCTCACCGCTGCTTCGGTGTGAGCTGTTGGATGCAGCGCGACTTCGGGCAGGTTGATGGCCCACGCCGCTCAGATGTTGTTCTAATCGTTTCGATTCTGCTTCACTGCGTTCGAGGGATTCGAGTAGATTGCGCTTCTTCTCAAGTTCGTCCTTTGTCATGTCCTCCTGTATCCGCTTGAGCACTCGATATCTCAGGGTAGAACGTACGATGCCGGCAAATTGCGCGCTCTCACGCATAGGCTCCGAGAAGCCTGCGCTGAGAGACGAAGAGAGTTCGGTCGTCGCAATGTACGTAGAGTCGACAGCTTGTCCCGTCTTTTCAATGGCTGCAGCGAGGGACTGCGTCTGTTCAGATAGCGAAAAGGCATTGAATCGAGCGCCCAGATCTGCCATGTCCTCTCCCCAATTGCCTAGGTGCATGAGCAGTCGTCTGTTGACTTTCTCCATTGGTCCTTGCAGCAGGTGCTCTAGGTCTTTAGATGAGTTCTCGAAGCTAACAAAGTATGGGTCCAACTCCTCTTCCGACATGTTGCGCGTCTCAGGAGGGAAACGACCGAAAATGGCAGGACCCGGTGTCGTATGCGCGGCTGCTGAAGGTAGGGCTGCATTGTTGGCTGGTGAGACAGGAGTACCCGAGCTGGATATGGTACCGCCCGACTTCAATTTTGCGGAAGACGAGGGGACTGGAAGGTAGCTGTGGGCTTGGGAAGGGTTCGCGGGATCGAGCGGAGGCGCTTTGAGGATCTGTTTGGGGACATTGGAAACAGGCGGGCTGTTGAGTACGTCTGCCTACAGGAGCAAGTCAGTTGAAGGGTTTGGTATCTGCAAGAGCAACAAGCCTACCCAACTTGTGTAGGGATCGAGAAATCGCCAGAAGACGCCATCTTGTAGTATATCCTGCATCTTCCTGCACCTATTAAGGAAGACAGCCAGCATGCGCTTCCGCAGCTCTATTATGCCAGCATCCTCCTTCGCCTTTGTCGGCTTGGCGGCGTAGTCGGCCATGGTATGCTTCTCGGGGATCGGAGGTACGATGAGCGTGGGGTGAAGTCTGACCAATTCGGCGCGCAGTGATGCGAATTCAGAGTATCTGCGCTTTACTTCGAGGCCCTATCCATGTGTCAGTTGCGCGGCTCCCCCAGCAGCCTATCTAACATACACCGCAGTTGATGGTGTACTGGATGTAGTTCACACCGTCCTTGCCCGCGCTCGTGATCAAAACGAGTTGCTCGGGGTGCTCGTACAGCCATTGTTCCACGCGCGCATCGTACCCGCCCTTCTTAGACGCTTTTGGGTCTGCGTGGTCTTGGTCCTGCTCGTTGTAGTCGACGTCGCTCATGTCCCGCTGAGAGACATACTCGGGCGATTCTTGTGCGGGCGACGAAGCCTCCGAGGGCGGCGTCGCGGGGCGGTACGGCACTTGGTCATGTCAGCTAACGATGCTGGCGATTGCTTCAGACAGTAGGTAGAAGCCTTACGGGCAGCAGGCGACGCTAGCCCAGGAATATCAGACGTGTTGGAGTCATGGCGGGCAAAGGATCCATACGGATTGTTGTCCTCGTCGTCCCACATGTCGGTGGTGGTGTAGTCGTCGCGCTCACTGGGGGGAACAATGGCAGCGCCTGTAGTACAACGAGCAGAGTCAGGCAGCACCAAGCGTGGATGTGGAGATGTTTGCCTTGGACATAGTGAAGCTCCCACGCTCTCCCGGCAGCGGCAGTGACGTTGCGCATGGTCCAAGCTTGTCGGCCAGCCACACCTGCATGCACGCAGTTGCAGGCCCCGCAACGTCACGTTACACTTGGCTAACACCCTTACTCACAGCTATGTCATGGAATCAACAGACAACAGGCGCATATCTGTTATGCTTCGGCGATTGACAATCAATGCAGCGTTCCGGGAAGCTCTTGGTTTCACACCTTGCTCTCTTTGCTATCCGCAGCGCCGTGCTGCGTCCCATGCACTTCTTCACCTTCCAGTACGCCCGTGATAGTTCCTATATTCTCGTCGTCGAAGAAACCCTCATTCGCTGCCAACGCTTCGACTTCGAACCCCAGCTCCCTCCCTGCGCCTCTCGGCACCATTTTCACCGGCCAGATGAGGCACAAGCTGTAATAAACCAAGCCGCCCATGAACAGAGATAGTAGAAAGCCAAGCTTGTACATATTCTTGCTAGCCTCGGCGACAGAATCAGCATCCAAAGACCCCGCGACGCCATGGACCGTGAACGCAACCCCAGCTGTCCAGGCAGCCAGCATGCGCATATTCCAGCCTTTGTAGTACGAGTACGGGCTTTCGGATGCAGCCGTGTACAACGAGGGAACATGCAAATTACCCTTTCGAACGAGCCAGTAGTCGACAATCATGCACGCGCAGATCGGCATCAGAAACACAGTGTAACTTCCGAGGAACGTCAAGAACGCAGTCGCCGAGGCGATAATCTTCCATGGGACAAGTAAGGGTGCCAGGATCGCGCAGAGTACCTGGCCTCGCACAATGGTCAACCATCGAGGGAAGATTCCTGTAAGATCGGCACCAACGGGAAGCGAGTTGCTTCCTGCATTGGTGACAAGTACAGCAAGCATCATACCGAAAGACGCGAACACTATTCCTGCTCTAGCTCCAGCAGTCCAATATTGATCCAAGATGGCGTCGTAGAGATCCCATACGTTCCAGTAGCTTTTGCCGAGGACTTGTGTAGCGGCTGCAGTCGTTGCGGTACTCAGGAACATGACCAGTACTTTACTGGTAAGAATACCAAAGCCCTGGCTCCATGTCACATCGCCGTAGGAATGTCCGTATCGCGCTATATCAGGCTGATTGATAAGCACCGGCGCAAGAGCGCCCATAACGGAATTGATGGCTTGTATCATGGGCCAGATCAGAGCTGAGCCCGAGAGCTGAGTCTGCTTGGTCGTGTACGTGAAACTTCCAATTTTGCCCCCATTGGCACTGATTACCCAAGCGAGCACACCGAAGAGTGCAATCGTTGTATAGACAGCTTTAATAACAAAGAGGTGTCGAAGTACCGTGGGATGAATGAACATGACTGGTAGTTGCGCCTGTCAACTTTAGCATATTTAGTCGGACTTGGACTTGAATGAGAGCAAAATGGATATTACCTACCATCCAAAACAAGAAGAAGCTCAGCAGATCTCTACTCGTGATCCCCGCACTCTCTGGGAGGCGGTTTGGAATATCATTGTAACCATTTCCAAATATACCCCGCATGAACACCGACGTGATACGGCCTCCATAGTACGTCTGCGTCGCAAAGTAGATGATCGCAACCACAGCTCGTACGAGGATATACAAACTCGCCCCCCTGACGCCAGCAGCTGCGCGGACATATACAGGGAAGCCAAGAAAGTACTTGATAGCGCCGCGACTATTGAGCACAACCAGAACGGTGAGAATGGCAGAGCCGATAATAGCAGCGATCATGCCGTGCCACCATAGTAGGCCGATTGAGACTAGAGATGCGCCGAGGTTGTACGAGGATGGACTGAATGTCATGGTCAGATAGTATGCGAAGTAATGTTGCCAGCGCCATCTCCGATCCTCTGCATCGTGTTAGCTCTTGGAGATACCGAGAGATGCATTTCAAGGCTTACCAGGCGGACTGGGAAGGAGGTCTTTGTTATAACGTACTTCGCCCTGATCGCTGGTAGTTTGCGCTATCTCTTTGAGAGTTTTTGGAGACCTCAAAACATCTTTGCCTTGCTGCAAAAGGCGAGACATGACCGCGCAGGAGTACTCACGCTTGGGCAAACACCAATTCGAGCCTCGGTTGGTTGGCGGGAGGTGATTGCCAGGCTATAAACATCTTGATCGCCACTACACATTGCACATCTCGTCATTGCGGTAGACAAATCTTCCTATCAGTCAGCCATCTATCTATGCAAGGTTTCGCAATGCTGGGAAAACGGCAGATTTTCGATGATAAGACGATAACGCGTCGGGATGAAAGAAGCCGACGGACAAAAGATCAAGAATGAGGCTAGTGCGTTGACCTGTCCAAAAAGGTGATAGTGTACCTGGGTAATCCACGACTCCACGGGTTTTCACAGGCACGGGCATGTCCAGCGAATGCGACAGGTCCTCTGGATCTGGCACTTCAATTACAGCAACTGCGCGTGTCCTTTAAGACCATGCGGCGTCCCCACGACTAACTTGCCAGGTTGCCCAGGTGGCATGTGTAGTAAGAAATCGGCGCACCCAAATGCATGACCCGGGTACGTTTGGAGTGCCATTACGTCTTCTAGCCCATGATTCGCGTGGCCAAATTATCGTTTCGATCTAGATTCATACGAAGAGATCTATAAACCACCAGTCTTCGACCCGGACTTGTAAGGAAAAGTCTCGCGATAGTGTTTCGCAATATCCCTACGTGTCGCAACCCACACATGTTCCTTCTGTGAGATATACTTCATGAAGTTTCTTAGACTCTCCGACCTTCCTGGCTTGCCAGCTATTCGAGAATGCAAAGGGATGGTCATCATCTTACCGCCTTCTCTGTATAAGCAGTCAAACGTATCCTTGAGATACTGTTCGTACACTGCCCCTGCTGAGCTTACGAAACCAGGAAGCATGTGGAACTTTCCGTCATTGCCTAAATCATGTTACTGGATCAAATCGGCCATGTTTTCATGTAGAGGTGCGGCTTACAATCGTAGTTGTACGGCATCATCAGCAGGCCCTCTTTCTCCGATTCAGGCAGTTGCTTCTCCCAGGGAAGATCGATCCAATATGGCGAGTCTTCGTTATAGACTTCCGATGTGTAGAGCATTTTGTGACCCATCTCTTTCCACATGATTGGGAGCAGGCTGGCTGTATTTGGCGTGCCTCTGCCAAAGTATGCTCCTACCGGAAATTCGCCTGTATGCGCGTCAGTATTGTATAAGATGTTTGACATCGGAAGGGGTGTACCAGTTGCCGCCTCCAAGGCTTTACATGTCTTCTTGATATACGCCTTATCATCTTCGAGTGAATAGTCCCATATGTCAAGCCATCTATACCCATGAGCCCCAATTTCATGGCCGTCTCTTACGCAAGCTTTTGCAAACGTAGGATTTCTCTCCATGGCCACTGCAATGGCCCAAAGGGTCATGTTCCAGCCGAACTCCTTCATGAGGCGTAGTATCCGCCAAGCGCCGCACCGGCTACCATATTCGTAGTCTTGCTCACCGTTCAGATGGCGCTGTTCCCTGCCACCGCCCGAAGGGCCTTTCTCCCACAGGTAGGGTTCGCTAATGCCATCGCCATCCATGGGGTTTCTCTCGCCGCCTTCCTCATAGTTAAGTACAAAGGAAACTGCTATACGGGCGCCGTTTGGCCATTGTGCGTCATGGCCACCTTCGCCGAAACCTATAATAGTGATCAGTATAAGTAGAACTGAAGATTGCGTGGTAGCACACCTTCAAAGTCTCTGGGGAGTTGAAGAGAATCTTCGACGTGAACCATGACAGACAGATGTTCGATATTACGGTCACGAACACAGTACAAGAGGGAAAGTAAACGTAGATTCAACGCATGCTACCTAGGTAGGATTTCAGAGCGGCGTCATTACATACAAGTTCTCAAGGTTATCTGCAATTGAGTCAGCTTGGAATGACCCAACAATCTTTTGTCCATACGTCAAGTCCATTCCTTTGCACCTGTCAATCTCTTATCAGTAGTTTCTCACCAATCACGATACAGGAAAGTTCTTAGGTACAAGACGCGTTGTTTGTTGTTTGCTGATCGGAAGTGACTCTCCCGACGATCGAATAAGCGTTCCGCCAGCCCCGCTTTACTGTTATCTTTCCTTCAAGGCTTCCACTACACAATCTTGCAAGCATTTAGACGGCTGAACATATCGGCAAGTACGCATCAGTGGCTGGTAGGCTATGGATGAACATTTGTCACAAGGTGTTAAAAGTCATGGCAGATGAACAAGTGCCGCTGTGGGTCTGCACCAGACCTGCCAGTATGAATAACCGAGTGCCCCCGGCAATTCAGTGTATGCCGAACATGTAGCATCGGCAACCGATCGCGATCTAATTACTTGAAAGCGTTGTGTCTTTACCAAAGATGTCGGTTTTCTCGCTAGATACCAGCCATGACAACCCTGTCACGACAGAAACTCTCGAGGCGCTATGCTCTCAGCTTGGGGTCAGCATCGATGAGAAAGAGAAACAGGACTATCGACGCTTACTTGCCGCATTTCACGATGCAAGTGAGCAACTAATGGCTATGGACGGTAGGACATAGTGGTTCACGTCGCGAGTTATGACGGAAGCTGACATTGATGCACAGACTATGTCCCCCTAGTCGATGAAGAACGCTTTGCCAGAGAAGACGTTCATTTCCCGCAAGCATCTGAGAACTCTCATGGTGCATGGGCGTGGAAGTGCAGAATCGTTGACAAGGAAGCTAAGAGCAACGGTAAACTTTACGGCAAAACATTCGCTTTGAAGGACAACATTGCTGTTAAGGGCGTACCGATGCTACTGGGTACGAACTTCGTCAAAGGCTATGTCCCGAATGTTGATGCAACTGTCACGACACGAATCCTAGCAGCTGGTGGTAAAATCCTCGGAAAAGCAGTCTGTGAAAACTTGTGCCATTCTGCAACAAGCCACTCTTCGAGTACTGGAGTGGTGGAAAACCCTCTCGCAAAAGGCTATAGCGCTGGCGGAAGCTCGAGCGGCTCGGCTGTTCTTGTGGCATTGGGCGAGGTCGATGGGGCAATTGGCGCAGATCAGGGTGGTAGTATCCGTGTGCCAGCCGCCAACTGTGGTATTGTTGGGCTAAAGCCTACCTTTGGCCTTGTGCCATATACCGGATGTGGGAGCAACGAGCCCACTAATGATCACATTGGTCCAATGACACTGACAGTATTGGAGAACGCTATACTTCTCGAAGCTATCGCCGGAACGGACAACATTGACGATCGTTCTTTCGCTGCACCTCACCCATCCAAGATACCTATCTACAGTTCCATCAGCAATACTCCGATGCACAGACCCTTGGAAGGCAAGAAATTCGCCATAATTACTGAGTCACTCTCTACACCAGCTCTTGATCCACGAGTGGTCCAAGTCTTTCGCACCGCAGTCACCAAGTACGAAGACCTTGGTGCCACAATCACCGAGATCTCGATACCACTGCACTCGAAAGGAGCAGCGATATGGAATGGCATATCGAAAATTGGTGGATTTCTCGGGAAAACCACAGGCTCGTTCGGGCGTCGCGGACACCAGATGCTCGAGCTGAACTCATTGCTGCATCCCATGGGCCAGAAAAACTGGAACGAAGCGTATGCATCTACGAAGAACATCTACCTTAACGGTCTGTACGCCACACAAAGGTTTCCCAATCTCCTCGCGAAAGCAACGAATCTATCAAGGCAGCTTCGTGATGCCTATGATGCGGCTCTGGAACAGTACGATATATTGCTGACACCTACACTACCGTATGTAGCAACGAGTCATGCGAGCCCTGATGCAACACCACTCGAACAGATTAGAAAGCAGATTGGCTTGACTTCAAATACGGCGCCGTTCAATCAGAGTGGGCATCCAGTGATGGCGATGCCTATTGGTATGTTGCCAGTCATGGAAGGCCCCGGAGTGGAAAAGGGAGTTGTTTTACCGGTGAGCATGCAAGTTATTGGAAAATGGTGGGACGAACTGAGTGTTTATGAAGCGGCGTTCGCGTGGGAGAGGGCAAACAGTTGGAGGAGTATGTGACGAACGAAGTTTTATGTAAGACCAGAACGTTGCTCGCGCTCGAATTTAACGTTGAAAGGTGTTCAAGGTAATATGTTACCGTGACAACACAATGACATCTTCATTCATCCTTTTCCCATGGTCTCTTCTGTCGCCGCTCACTTCAACCTCTCCACCTCCACCATCATGCCTCTCCTTTAATTGCACATCTTCTCCAACCTCATCTGGCCTCTGCAGACCTCTATCTTCAATGAAGAAGCACCCAAGTAAACATAGCCCCATGAACGGTACATTCATGATGAAGACCGTCCGACTCGCTGTTGCGTACGCCTGCAAAATCTGCAAAATCTGCCGTGGGTTCAGTGAGTTAAAGTCGGTTGTGTCGTATGAAGAGAGCGATAGTGATCGGAATTCTGCTGGCATTGCAGTATGCAAAGAGTTCTGCAGTGCAGCAGCGGATATTGCAAGACCCACAGCACCGCCGAGACTGCGAATGAAGTTGCGGTTCGAGATGACGACTGCACGCTGGGATTTGGTACAGTGGGCTTGTATTGCAACCAATGTGGGCTGAAAAACGGCACCAATCCCTAATCCTTGGACAGAAAGAATGACAACCATTGTCCAAATTGGCGTGGAGAGATTGAACATACATGTTAACCCTACGCTCAATGTCCAAAGGAAGAAGCCTAGCCAAATTACCTCGCCATAGCGTTCTCTACGGGAGATGTATTGACCGGATAGAATGGAAGAAGCCATCTGTGAGGCGGTCATAGGCAGCATTAGGGAGGCTGACATAAGAGGCGAGAGGAGGCGGGCGTTTTGGAAAAAGAGAGGTAGATAGTAGGTTTGCGAGTAGGCTACTACTCCGAAGAGAAAGTTTTGAAGAAGCATGATGGACACGGGGCCAGATCTGAAGAGGGATACTATTCGAATTAGAGGTGGTCCACGGTTGGAGTATGTTCGGTTGCAGGACAAGTAAAACTCACGTGGCATCATGGGCAGTATAGCGACGCTGTGCTCGATGTAGACAAAAGCTGCCATGCAGCATCCTCCAACGGCCAGCATGGAAACAACCATTGGAGATGCCCACGCAAAGTAATCACCGCCTCCCGCAATGGGAATCAGAAGCAGTATCAACCCTGCACTTCCGAAGAAAATGCCTCCATAGTCGATCCTTTTCAAGACCAGTTTCATATCCGCTCTCGGTTGATCCTTGGGTGTAGGCAGCACCAGAAGACACAACACCCCGCAAGCCGCTGAAACCGGGCTAACGAACCAGAAGAAGCCTCTCCAGGTACTCTGTTGCGCAAAAGCTGCCGCGATAAAAGGTCCAGTCATGTTGCCGAGTCCCACGCATGCGCCTATCAAACCTTGCCATTTCCCGCGTTCTTTCAAGGTCACAATATCGGAGACGATCATGGCTGAGAGGGAAGCTATACCGCCATTTGCCACACCCGATAGACCGCGGAAGACGTACAGCATCGTGGCATCGCGCGAGAGGCCACAGAGGAGGTCGGAGACGGTGAGAAGCGCGAGGGCGGACAGAAGAACGGATTTTCTACCTAGATTCATTATCAGTCATTTCCTGGTCGTTTACACAGGCTAGTGGACGTACCAAACAGGTCACTCATCCTCCCGTACAACACTTGGAAGATCGTATTCGCTATCAGCGCGCTTGTGCCAGCCCAACTGATCGTATCTTCTGCATTAAGATCACGTCCTATCGTGGGCAAGGCAACTCCGATACCAGTTTGGTCGACAAAACAGATAAAATGCGATATCGCAAGGGCTGAAAACACGACGAGCAGCTTCTTTCGCTGAAGTAAATTGGATTGATCAAAGACGGCCGCTTCAGCCGCATGTTGGCGAGCCTCCATGGTGTGGGAGTAAAGAGATCCGACGACGTTACCGGAGGAATGTGTTGACGCTGATTCTGTTGGAAGACCTTTCGTATTATCGTCGTGCTTCTCCGATGGAAAATTCGCAGGTTCCAGTCAGCACTGCCTTGATGAGATGAGAGAGACGGTTGCTATGAAGGCTTTTTTGTGTATGAGGTGATTCAGTGCGAAACTTGAAGAAAACATGGTTCTTGCAACCCAATTGGGCCTAATACCGTAATCGCGATGCGAGATATCCAAACTTTGCTAGGCGCTTTGGGGATGGTCACGCGATCCCTCGGTCTTGGTTGGATGTACGGAGACGCTGCCAATCGAGAGGGGCTTGTTGTCATTACAGTTAGAAGTTGGGGAAGGGGGTCCAAGATTCATGAATTGCGATGTTGTTACTGGGCCAGTAAACCTCAACAATCAGATCCTGCAGGTCCAACATACTCTCGTAGCGAATGCGACCATTCTGGGTATTTGGAGCCGGCCACTTGGTGATGAATGTCAAGTTTATTTCGATGCAATCTTGGTTTCGACCAGAAGATGGACCATGGCAACAGGAGCACACTGGGGCTGAACAAGCAGTCGTATACATGGTTCTATCCTACACTAAGTACGAACTTCCAGATGCTCATGTCGCATCGCTAACGTAAAAAGATAGGAACTCCTCTGATAAAGATGGAAAGCATAAAGATCAGCGTGAGATCGCACTTTACTTTCCCATGTGTTGTGGTGAAAGCAAGTGACAGGCATGCACGAGGTATGAAAAAGACAAAGCAGCTGAAAGGCGCCGCGAACGGCCTGAGCAAAACTGTCCTCGGAAAAGCAATCACCCAGTTCTCAAAAACTCCGCTAAACAGGATCCTTAGCTAACTCTTAGGAAAGAAGCTGTACAATGTGAAGAATCTGATCCGTATTGTGTGGTGGTAACTATACACATTGTACCCGGGTGTATTCGAAACGGCCGAAAGAACTTTCAGAGAATTATTCACTACCTCAGCCACGAGCGCGGCCGCTGCGTCGGACAGTACCATTGGTGGCAGAAGTGGGTGAGGAGGCCGCAGCAGCGCCATTGACCTTGTCTTTGTTTGCTTTGGTTCTAGTCGTACTCCTCGCGGACTTGGGCGGTGTGGCTTCTTTGATCAGATTGGCAGCTTTGCGTTTTTGGATGACTGGTAATGGATTGACGCCATTTGTGTTAGCAGCACCCTTTCCGCGTGTGGATCTTTTTGCTGGCGCAGGTTCTGGCTCGGGCTCTGAAGACGATCCTGGGTCTGAAAGTTCAGAGTCTTCTGCTTTATCTCCGTGCTCTTTCTCAGCCGCAACTTCTGCGTCGTTCATATCTACATCTACTTCAGCAGCAGGAGTAGATTTGTCTTGTTCTGCATTCGATGCATCGCTCTCTTCTTCAGCTTCTTCTTGGATTTCTTCAGCAACACCTCCTGCGCCTTCTTCATCGCTTGACACCTCAACATAGCTCTTGTGTGCAATGCTCCGTCGATCGCTCTTTCTTCGTGGTCCACTAGATGGCGGAACACCGCCCTCAACATCGCTCGCACCATCATCGTCACCAGCTCTCCTCTTCTTTTTCGGTGTCTTAACGGGTCGCTCAGTCTTGGCCTTCTTGTTCTTGATAGATCGGTCGCCCTTGATCTTCTTACGTGGCTTCTCCATACCATCTGAGGCCCTACGCTTCTTGCTTCGAATAGCTTTTCGCACGAGCACATCAAGTTCGTCGACAAGGTCTTCTCCAATCCATGTCTTCTTGGCAATCTCTTGCGCCCGATCGTGACTCTCCAGAGGCCGGAAGATACCGGAGGGTAATTTCGTTTTCCCTGGCCATGACTGCATTGTCCAGTTGTTCTGCTCTTCCCACGAACGAATCAGAGCCTGCGCTAGATCTGACAAGATGTAGAGATTCTCATCAGCCTGGCGTGATGGTGCAATGCCGTCTGCTACGCCCTTGACGCGTTGAGCGACATGAAAGATAAGCGACAGGTTCTCCTCGGTTGCGATACATTTAAGATAATACAAGATGTACTCTGCCATAAGCTTTAGTGTCTCGTCTTCTGTGTCGAAGTCGGGGTGGTGAGCAAGCAAGCTCAATAACCGAGCGAATACTGTCTCCAATATTGTCTCCTTTCGTGCAGAAAAAGTAGCGCGGCGTGCTCGAATCCAGGTCATGGTGCTGTTCTTGATGGTCTTTTCAGGCTCATGTGCGAGGAAGAACAGGATGGTATAGAATCGTGGCGGCAACCGACCCTGACCAAGATATTTCATCAACTTGTCAGCAAAGCTCTTACGCACCTGCGCACACGGGTCATGTGTAATGAGAGCGAGTTGAACAAAGTCAGCGGGGCTCAAGAAAGCATCTAGGCGCTTGTTGCATGAAAGTTTGAGTAAGGAATTCGCTGCAAGAAGCCGCTGGCGCGATTTGTGTCCTGCTGGGGTGTTGCCATCCGCCGAGCCTTCCCCGCCATCTTTCACGTAGCGGTTCAGTAGCCTGTATGTGTCTTCTGCAGCATCGTTGAAGTTGGCATCAGACGGCAAGGAGCGTAACCGGTTCACTAGAATCTTGATCGCCCAGGACCTGCCTTGAATTTCGTCATCCGGTACATCCATCCACTCGATATCCGCGTCGGCTGTCATCACATGTGGTTTCTGGAGAACCTCCTTGATGGCAATCTCAACGATGGCATCCATATCATCTTCGCAATCTTGCTGCGCTAGTAAGACTAGTTGACTCAGCGCAGCTAATTTGCTAAGCCAGTGAGCCCCGGCATACTGGAAGCCTTTGATGCTCTTCGTGAGAATTTCCTTCGCATGCATCTCCTTCTTGTCGTCACTGTTCATAATGATGGTGATTGCATGCTTTGCCGCTTGCGGAGGTGTACCGTAAAAGGCAAAATTGAGAAAGCTCTGTACCAACTTTTGGCTGTCCCTTCCGTTCATTGGTATGTCTGTGGGGAATTTCTGTGCAAATGCAGCACAGGCTTTGAGATCGTCTACTGCGCCAGGAGGGTTGGGTTTGGTTGCTGTAGGTGCCTCACTTTCAAGTGTTTTACAGAGATCCTTTACGTGAGTGGAGAAAACCTTGGGGTGTTTCGTGGAGATTTCTTTCAACAACTCGTGAGCAGTGGCACCGAGACCCTTGTCGTTGGTGCGAGTATACTCGATGACAGCTGGTACATGGCTCTTGTTGTAGCACAGTAAGCTAACGCGGTAGAGAAGTGGTGTCAAGGTATCGAGCACTGAAGGACCTGGCCCCTCCTCAATCCTCTTTCTTAGCTCCTTGATGGACCTAACAACCCGGCGGTAGTCACTCGCTGGGTCCATGCAGAACCGGATAAGAGCATAGGTACGGCGATCGTGGGCTTTGGCAAATTTCCATAAATCGTCCCTAACGCGGGTTGGATCGGGAAGTGTTTTCGCGTAGTAAGTGATGAGGCCCTCCAGATTTGTCTTGACATCCTTCTCACCCTTTTCTGTGACGCCACCATTGTAGTCTTCGCATAGTTTCAGGAAGTGCTCCATGTACCTAGCACCGGGGCCCTGGTTCCCTTGTTTCGCGAAAAAGACCTTCTTTGCTTTCGCCTCTAGCCCGTTGACGAGTACGAGCAGTCTTTCGGTTCGCATCTTGTCCAGGCCTGCTTCTGTGTAACCCTGATCATTGCTTGTCTGGCTGTCTTTTCCGGTTTGGGAGTTCCCAGCTGGCGGTGCTTTTGCTTTCACGGGCGGATAAGCAAGTGGAAGCAGCGAGTCGTATAGCGCGAGATCAACCTGCACGTTGATTTCGAGGTCGTTCACATAGCAAGCTTCGAGAATACGGGATGGAATTGGGCCGAGCAGAGCCTTAATGCTGTCATCGCCCTCGGCGATGGCACCAGCAGCTACACCCCATATCTTGCCGAGGAGTCTCATAGACTCGGAATGGATGACATTTTTCTTGTCCTTTACGCGATCGGCAAGATTGGAGAGAATAGACCCTGCTTCTGCCATACTGCCGTTGCTACCGAGCTTGCGAACGATGTCGATGAAGTCAAAGTGCGCAATCGCTTTGACGGCGGCTAGGCGCACCTTCTCGTCGCTATCAATCAAGCATTCACTAAAGTACTTGAGCAGCTTCTGTTCTTCTTCGAGATCGAGACCAATACCACCCGCGGATGTCATCAATATGCGACCGATTCCGGTGGTCCATGCGGCGCGTATGATGGCAGACTTGTCGTTTTTACGCTGGAGGAATGAATGATAGGCCACAGGGTATTGCGTGGGAAATGAGTTGATGGAGACTGGCGTGGTGAGATAGTCGAAGGGTCGCGACGAGTCTGCGCGCGACAGGCTCTGTGAAGGATAGGCCGCTGGGTCCATGTCGGGCAGAGGAGGTGGGCCAGCTGCACCAATGCCTGATATCATGTCGCCGAATGTTTCCGTAGCAAGCTGACGGAGCTGCACATTCTCCGTGGCGAGCTCGTCCTGTAGATGCGGGACAATCTCCTGAAGCACACCAGGACAGCATTTCCATAGCTCGCGCAATAGCCTGTGTGCTTTATGTGCCTCATTGATATCATCCTCTGAGGGGCCGCGACGAAGGTCGTCGGCACCTTGGTCCTTGGAGTGAGGCTTGTATGTGCTTCCCGAGTTTGTGAAGTCGACAATGACTGAGCTGAAGTAGTTGCCGATAAGGCGAGCCATCTTCTCTGGGAACGCGTTGCAGACATTCTTGGCCATGTTGTAGGCGGGCGGTGCCTCTTTGCGCCGTAGCGTTGATTGCTTGGCGTCGATCTGCACGCTCTTGTTGCCCTTGGCTGAGGTGCCGAGAGTGAAGGGATCAGCCCAGAGAAACTGCGCTACGATAACGTCGACAACGTCGTGCGTGACTGCCGGGGCCTCATCTATGATAGTGGAGAGGATCTCGGTCATGTTGTGCTCGATGTTCTTGCTCAGCTCTTCGCCGCTGGACGAGGCAGACAGGACGTCGAAGCAGGTGGTGAAGAGGGCGGCGGTGAGGTGATGGGAGCCCGGGATCTCGTTGATGAGGAGGATGCTCTTCCATTCGGCGAGTGAGCGGAGGATGTACATGTGCTGGCTGTTGTAGGGGTGCGCGGGCTCGGCAAGGAGCGGCAGCAGCTTGAGGATGATGACGGAGAAGATGTCCTTGAGCTTCGAGGCCGGGTAGGGCGCATCGGGCGCAAAGAGTTTCAGCATGTCGACGATGCAGCACATGGTCCACGCGCGTACGCCGTTGTCCTTGTGCTGCACGAGACTGTGATGGGCCAGCGACTCGGCGACAGGCATGAGCGAATCGCGATGTGCTTCTTCCTGGTCTATAGTGCGCAGTTCGTCGAGCAGCGCCTTGAGTCGCGTCAACAGGTCGTTGACGCCAATCTGTTTCCCGGGCCGGCCAACAAGCGGTTGCTTGAATGTGAGCTTCTTCAGACCCCTATGTGCCTCGTCGCCATGTTCCAGCTCCTGCTCTTGCTCATCTTGCACCGCTTCGGTCGCGGCGGCCGCGCTGCGCCTACTGCGCGTTGCCATGTCGCGTGGCTGCGCGTGGGCAACGGCGTGCAGAGACAATGTGGTGCGTGTCGGCTGTGGCTGCGATTGCGCGCGTGGAGAAGGTGTCGAAAGCGCACGCAGCTGTGGGGTCGAGTAGCAGCGCGGTGATGGGCATGGAGCGACGATGTCGAGGCGAGCTTGCTTGTGGTCCGACTTTCTGAGCAGTGACGCGCTAGCCACTCGACAGTACGCGACTGACGTCCGCCTGCGGGGACCGTGCTTCACCACCACCGCCGCCACCCCACCCGCACCTCGAACTCCTGTACACCCCAGCCGAAACACACGCACTCTCAGACACTACCATCTCCTTGGCGTTGACACGGATCTGGTCATGTCACATGGAGCGCCAACACACCTTCCATCAGGTACGCTGTCTGCCGAGACCTCCCCCCCCCCCCCCCCCCCCCCCCCCCACGTGCGCTAACCCCTCTTCAGTTGAAGCAGCCATGTATCCAAGTCCTCCAAGCCACTGCGACTCTCTCGCAGAGCCCAAGCGCTCGGAGGGAGCTGATACACGCCCTCACCCGTCTGCTCACTAGCCTCCAATCCATTACCTCCACACCTGGTCTCCTGGACGCAAAACTCACTGAATACGCTTTCGTCTCTCTATCTCAGGTACTGCGAAATTCCCGACACGTCCCAGTTAGAGCGCTGGAGCTCTGCCTGGAATGCATCTCGACCTTGCTATCTGCTAACTGGGGAGGCGGCCTTGAGCCTGCGCTCTCTGGACAACTCCTCATCCTCTTCACCTTTCTCGCCAAACCTTCATCGGCCGAGAATGGCATCTCGGCGAGCTCAGAGGAGCTACAGTCGCTCGCTCTCGGGTGCACATCCAAGTTGATGGGTGCGACCTCTCGTACGAAGCAGGGTCAAGAGGCCATGACCGCGGCGGCCAACATACCTGCCTTGGGCGAGGCTGTACTAGTCATGCTCGAACGTCTCACAGATAGCAATTCGAACAGCGTCAAGCTTCAGTCCGCTTGCGCCCTCAAAGGAACCGTCGGCGCGATTGGCGATGACGATGCTCTTGCCAGCTTTCTGCCTAGGATAGTCTCGTCTTTGGCTAAAGTATTGACTCCCCATAGCAGTATTCGACCCGGCTTTCGCGTTGTTGAGCAAGGCTTAGAAGTTCTTACATCACTCGTTGTCCGTTTACTTGGCGATGCCCAGACCAAAGATTTACCCGAGACACTACTATCAGATGAGTCCGGCGGATGCACCACAATATCTCGATCAGTCGCTTGGCTACAGGCAACTGCAACCCAGATAAAGATTGCGCTTGCCAACATCTTCAGATTGAGAGATCATGATAAGCAAGAGGTACGGCAAGCGCTCTTGAATCTGTGTCTTTGCATTGTAAGGGATTGTCGTACATCACTGTCTCTTTGCACAAGTATGGCTATCGAAACCATGGTCGATCTGGCAGGCCATGAGACCCCAGGTGACACCACTGAGGACAAACTCAAAAGACTGTTATCAGCAGATCAGAACCTCTCCGAACTTTTACGCGAAAGTTTGCATGGTTGGATCGTCGCCTTGCCTAGATTGATGCAATCAAAAGACGACCGTACCCGCCATAAAATCGTACATCAGATATCGGTCTCGCTTCGCCTGTTCGATGATGATCCAATGATTCTAGATGAGCGGCTGGCCGATAGTCTTCGTGATGGCGTGTCTGCAGTATTTATCGATGGCAGAGGGCTCGAAGAAATAAACGACCGCAACACCAGTCTCATCGCTGATCGTACGCTGGTATTTAGCTCGACAGAGTCGTCTTCTTTCCCACCAATCAGTATGCAATTTAAAGGCCAGGAAGACATGATGACGGGGTTTAAAGTATTAGTTCAAGAACTTGCACGTTCCAACTCTGCGTTGGCGGTTGTTCAGGGCCTGACTAACTCCGTCGATCTTGGAGCGCCCGAGATGCGCTTGGCGAGCTTCTGGCTCTCAGTCAATCTAGTAAGAGACATGGCAAAAGTTAATCCATCCGTCGATGATTTCATGGATCTGGGGACGCCAAACCCGAGGGAGGAAGTCTTGGATGACTTGTACTCGCATTCTCTGTCATTGCTTAACCAGCGAAGTGCGGATACCAAAAGCCCTTGGCATTTATATGCATTAGCGCTCGAAACGGTAGCTTTGCAGGCGAAGCGGTACAAGACTGAGTTTCGCCCTGAGTTGAGTGAAGTACTTTATCCGGTGCTGCATTACCTTGGCAGTTCCAACAGCGCACTACGCGAGCATGCCCTGACCTGTCTCAACATAGTAGCGGGGGCTTCGGGATACAAAGACGCAGGGGAGATTGTTGTCAGTAATGTCGATTACATTGTCAACGCAGTTGGCCTGAAATTGGCATATGGCGATGTGTCGCCTCAAGCACCACAAGTCCTACTCATGATGATAAGGCTTTGTGGCCCATCTCTCCTACCTTATCTAGATGACTTGGTGGATAGCATTTTCAATGCTTTGGAGAGATATCATGGCTATCCTAAGCTTGTGGAGCTGCTTTTTAATGTCTTGAAAGGCATGGCGGAACAAGGTGTCAAGGCACCACAACTTGCCTTGTCAGTCGACAATGAGAAAGAGGAACATGTGCATCTGAAGAGAATGGTCATCATAAACGACGTCATCGAAGCGATCCAAAAGTTAGAGTTAGACGCACAAGAGCGGGAAGAGGAAGAGAAGCAAGCGTCAAAGGAGGCACTCCCACGAAAGCCCTGGAAAGCCGGAAAGAGTTCAGAAGATACCGACTCTAATGGCACGGACGAGGAGAACGGTCGACCGCCTCCACCGCAGACCGAGGAGCCTCCCCCTCCCGCCCCCCGTGCCTTTGCTATACTCCTTAAGATCTCCGAGTTGACACAGCACTATCTCACCACCATGTCGCCTAACCTCCGGAACTCGCTTCTATCCCTCCTTCGTACCACTATACCTGCTATTGCAGGACACGAGAACTCACTCCTGCCCCTCATCAATACGCTCTGGCCTGCATTGCTACCTCGTCTACAAGATTCGGAAGCATATGTGGTATCGAATGCGCTCGATATCGTTGCATTGATGTGTGAACACGGAAAAGATTTCATGCGAATTAGGATCGATAATGCATGGAACATTACCAGGAAGGTCTACGAACGCACTAGACAGAACGACGACTGCAACAGGAAAAGCAGCTTCCAACCCATATCGCTGGAGATCAAGGCTATCGAGACTGGCCTGACGAGGCTCGCCGTGGACTCGCAGCCTACGCCAGACTTTTCACCACTGGAGCTGTACGTTGATGCGCCTACACGGATGATCTGGAGCAGTCTGACCGCCTTGCTATGCGCCATTGCGAAACACGTAACGATGCGGGATGAGCACTTCGAAGAGATGCTGGACATGCTAGACCCTGTGCTGGCGAGAGACGACGTACGTGGAGCGCTGGATCACAGCAATGCCGACGCAATATGGTTGCGACTATACAAGAAGCAGCAGGGGACTGGTAGAGAGAAGCATTCCAGGTCATTTATATCAACAAAAGCACATGAACTACCAGGCAAAATACCCGTAGGCAAGCCTCACTGGCATTTCGTGCGAGCCTGAAGCGAAACGATATCTGCACAGTCACGTATGTCTTTCAAAGAGCTTCCCATTCGGGCAGGCGCAGCAGCAGCAACAATGCAGTTGAACTGCAGTATTGAAGGATTCCCATGTAACCATACTGTTATCATATACATATAGTAATTGGAAGTTCAGTACTAGTGCAAGCATTTCACCCGTCCGCCCCTCCATCTAGCATTGTATGCTCCTCATCTCATAACGTTTAATATTGCCCAGTCACTGTAACTTGAGTACCCGATTGTTACGCTCTATATTGGCTGTGGCGGGAATTCTTGCTCCGCTACTAATCACGTATTGCGTGGCGCGCTCCTCCATAGATCATGGAAATATAGAAGTAAAGCCAAGATTAACAACATTCTGTAATAGTACGTAGCCCAACTCTCGTCATGGTATCTGCCTCACATCTTGTTCGTGTCTGACCACTCATACATGTTGTCAAGGATGGTAATCTTACTTCGCGGTGTTTTTTTTTTCGTTCTTTTGCTTAACATTGTGCGTTCTTTACCTAAAACAACTGAGAGATTCTACGTTGTACTTGTCGTGTGGCCTCGTATTACTACGAAGGTGCAGCCTGCAGCTTGGGTTCGGAGCTGACTGAGGCACTCAGAAGCTTGAAAGATCAACTTGAGACATATGGAGAGCTAGAGTACAAGTGTTGTGAGGAAGATGTTTGATTGCACACTACGTTGTAGAAAGCGTTTCGCTTCCGTCAGTAATCTGTTAGTTTGACATCTCGTTGTAGGGGCACTTGACCGGCTTCTCCTCCTTCAAAGCCTTCGCAGTGAATGGAATGCATCCCTCGACACCTGCGGGAATGGAACAGATCGACGTAGGCCTGAAGGGGTGGGTTATCGGTGTAGAGGTATTAGTCACCGTTCTCGGTGAGCGAGAAGCTGGCGTAGTTGGCATCCGGCTCTGTGCATGACGAGTTTTGCTTGGGGTAGCTGATGCGGAGGCCGCCCTTTACGGCTTGTTTGTTGCAGAATAGGGTAGGGGTGCCGGTGCGGAGCGACATGACGCGGAAGACATCGTTGCTAGAGGGTTTAGTAGCAGGGAAGGGATCGGCGGCCCTTTCGTCGTGACGTAGAGCTTGTCTGGAGCTGTTCGTTGTCGGAGTTATGTGCATCGCACGCTTGGGCGTGCTCTTGACGTCAGGCGATGGTCGCACTGTCGCAGTAGTAGCCCCACCCACGATGCGGATCTATCAATCTTATTATAGCAACACGAGGGACCTTGCAGGGAGTATACTCTGGGGTAGTGGGAAAGCAACGTGATCTATCATACATAAGGTTGACGGCAGGACCGAAGTTGAATTCATCAAACGGCATGACTGTTCAAATTGTACTGCGCGTTGTGCTCGGCTTAGTAGACATTGAACATGGATACACGTTGGTTTACGAGAGTTGTCGGAATTGGTGTGTTCAGCTTCCGGAGATGCGTCTATTGCGAGGTCTGACGGTCGATTCACACGCAATTGACAATGGAAATGTGAAGAATATGTCCATTAGAGGCTGGGCAATTTAGAGTGTCTGGCGACTGATTCCGTTTGCGGATTGAAGGGCGGCTGCAACGTGCCAAGGATGTCATAAGATGAGGATATTCGGAACAAGCCCGGCCCCACAGACCAAGCTCAAGACCATGGCTACCAGCAACGCCGACTTTGACCAGCAAACCCACATCACCGTACTGAATCGAAACACACTACTATACGGCATCATCTCCGGGCGTGCAGCACCTATTATTGTATAAGGCCTGACGACACCACAAGGCGCGAAGATGCCACAAGCCCGTAGGCACTCCCGTCGCGCTCAAGCGCGTCGCAAACCACACGTACACGTCCAACATGCAGTGCACTAACAAGCTACCAGCGACCCGCGCCGTCTCCTCCAAAGACCTCCCCCCTTCGGTCGAAGGCGCCTATTACCGCAAATGCATCGACCTCCGCCGCCGCATAACCGATATTGAAGAGAACAACGACGGCACGCGCCTGCGCATCACACGCCTGAACCGCGGCATCCAGAAGATGCGCCTCGAGCGCGCATTCCTTCTCGAGCAGCTGAATAAGCACATGGAGTACAATGTCGACGACAGCGATCGCAGCAGCAGCCCACCGCCCACCCCAACGGATAAGCCCTTGAGGAGCAAGAGGAGCCACAACAGGAAGGGCACGCCTCCTCTTGGCGGCAGTGCGGATGGAGGCGCAAACGAGAGGACAGGCATGAGCGCCGAGGGCAGACTGGGACTGGGACCCCTGCCGCATGGCATCAACCCTATGAGCAGTGCGCAGAGTACACCAGACCCGTCGGGACGGCCCCAGAACAGCTACTTCGGTACCATTGGCGCCACCACGACGACCAGTCCACACGCCGCTGTCAACGGCGCACCTCCCACACTTCCTCCCCTGCACGCGCTCCCGCCGTTACACGCACAGCAGCCGCAACAGCAGGCACCCCCTCAGCGCGCCTTCTTCGACCCGGCTTACGATGAACAGCGCCCGCCCGCGACCGACGCTGCGCCTCCTCCACCACACAACGGTGATACCGACATGACAGATGCAGCTTTCACAGCCGTCAACCGCTAAGACTCTGCGAAGCCGGGCAGCCCCTTTGACAGCAAGCGATAACAGATGATAGTAACCAGGAACACCATAGGAGGATAGCGAGGCGTTGGGGGTTCTCAGAGCCCTCGGTAGGGGGAGTATTGTAATTTTTGTTTCTTTCGGGCTTCAGAGGAATATGTATTAGTATAGTTATCCACTGCCTAGTGCTGTGATTGTGAAGCGGGGCTTGAGTCTTCCAAGTATGCTCCCATGGCTTTTGTCAAGTTGTTTGATCTTTCCTTCTTGCACGAGCGGTGTTGCACTCTGCCTTGTTCTCAGTCTGCACTCGACAAGTAAAGGACGGGCCAAATGTCTCCAAATCGCACCAGCTACGCACAGTGGCACGTACATGAACAAAGCAAAGTACACCTAGGATTTCCACTCGTAGTATCACCTTGACTAATCATTGCACGTGCAAGACGAAGTAGTATGAACACCAATTTCAGCTTTCAGTAACTTCTAACCGTCCCGATCGCACTTGGTACATGCCCTGACTCACTACTCACGTTTTGTTTTCCCGCTTTCGAGGATTCACTCCCATCAAAAGTCTTCGTATGTGGACACAGTGGGTTTCGCGCACCTCTTCAAGCCCGTGTTCCCCGCCTAGTGTGATGCACATGGTCTGGTCGAGTATACCAATGCAGCTCTATCTCTCATCCGCATCCTTGTAATGAACACCCCTGGCTAGCTCACACGGATCGGATGCATAGCCAATGGTGCAATGCTCCCAATCCTCGCTGTCCATGAGTTCGCGCTTAAAGTTGAGAGCGTTGTAGATGTTTGCAAAGCGGAACTCGACGTACGAATGCTAGAGTGACCGTGTCAGTGTTATTCAGACGTGGTCGGCACGTGTTACTTACACCACGGGCGGTCTTTCCGCTCTTGATACGATCAACGTCGCGCTTGGTGACGCTCTTGCCCCGAGCGAACTTCATGAGAGCTGCTTCGTTGTGCTCGTTGGTGCCGATAGCTCGCACGCAGCGTGACGCGTCGCCATCGATGCAGTTGCGGATGACATCGTTGATAGAGTTTGGTCCCTCAGCCTTCTCGACGAACACAACTGCTTTCTTCATCTCGCCCACTATCTCGATTCCGTTCGCAGTGTCCTTGTGATACTTCTCGCATGCCTCGGGTGTAAGAAACTTGACAAGAGCGTTCGAGGACCCTGGCTCTGGCATGGAAATGGACTCAAGCTTGCCACCCCATACAAGAGCCTGCAACTGGTTGATACTGGTAATCCCCCCAACACCCTTCAAGATGCACGTACGACGTGCAGCGGCTGTATCTTGTCAGTCCAAATTTCTCTGTCTGCACGGAAATGGACTTACGATTCTCGCGCTTCTCCTGGGTCGGCCATCCCTTTATGCTACCCCCTGGGTCCTTGGCCATAAGCTTGCTGTTCTCAGAGCTCATCGCAACAGAACGTGCTGTCGCCGAAGGCGCTTCCACAGACGTGGTGGTAGGTTGCTCTGGCTTGGGCAGAACATCACGCATAGTGGTGACGATACCGGATACTTCAGTCAGTGTCTCCAAGGAGACGGACCCCTCCTCCACAAGCTTGGCACATAGCCGGAGAAAATCTCCATCCGCATCCCCAAGCGTCTGTTTGATTGAGTCGGCTGTACGTGACTCCGGGCGCTTCTTCAATATCTTGTTGAGATAGTTGGCGACTGCGAATGCCAGACGTGCCTTGAGAGCTTCGTTGTTTCCAGCATCTACCTTGGTGGTAGAGGTGTATGAGTCGTGGAGCTTCCTTGACATGGCCTTGATGAGATATGCCGTGTTCCCCGTGCTGTCCGGAAGAGCCTGGATGTACTCACTCGCCTTGCGCATGTACTCCTTCTCTAGCTTATCTTGTCTCAGTTCCGTATTCTTGCTACCGGGAGACCTCCGTATGTCTCCCTTCTCGGTCTCTGCCTCCTTAGCCTCTGGATTGTCCGTCTTGGCCTCAGCAAGACGAGCGCCGAACGAGAATGCAGTTTGGTCAGGTCTTGCTACCTCGGGACCTACGGGAGTGCGAGGCCCCATAACGGTTTTGCTGTTAAGGCGAGCATAGAGTGCATCCATTGCAGATTCTTCGTGCATGGCATTAGTTCTAGCTCTCACGACCTCCTTGGTGGACAGAACCGCTTTCGACATAGTAGCAGTCAAGGCAGGTACTGCATCCTCTTTCTGAAGGGGAGCAGGCTTGGGCACTCTAGTGGTACTGGCACTTGCTGGTCTGTACGCACATTAGTGGAGTCTAAAGATTGAGTAGTAGTGCGTACCCTTCAACAGCCTTATGCATGGCCTTGACTGAGCCCAGAGCTAGCGATGATGTCACTGACGGGGCAGGTGGTGCAGATCGCGACGGGATCGTAGATATGGGTCCCGCAGCCCCAACGATCTTGACGGCGTTCTTCTTGAGCTTCAAGCTGCCAGCATTAGCTGCAGGTTGAACAGCGAGATTGCTGCGTGCGTCCCCAGATGCCCAACCGGGCGAGGCAGCCGGCGGTGCGCTCATGTACCTCGAGCGATCCATGATTATGGCTGAAGGCGACAGTGGAGGTGGACTGGTGTGTCGTACGACTTCTTTCTGCGCAAGCGATACAGGTGGCGATATCAGGGAGAGCGTGGCCGGAGTAGACTTTCTCACAAGATCACTGCCCTCTTGCATAGTGGTTTTGATGTTGACGTTGTTGCTCGGAGTGGATGTCGCTGGGGGAAGGTCAGTGGAGCAGGGCGCATGAGCAGGTGAGAGAGTCTGCACGTACCAACAATCCGCCTGTCCACCGTTATATTCGCGATACCCTCAATGCAGGCGTCGAGGCAGGATTGGTAGAGTTTGTCCTCGCTGTTACGTATACGAGGACGTGAATGCGGCTTACCAGGCATGAGACGAGACGTGCTGCGTTGGCGTGGGCAACCGTTGGGGTGACGTCGGGTTACAGAGCAAGAGACAAAAACAGTCTGGGCGCTCACACGCGGTTGCCATTCCTGGCGGTAGCCTACAACCAATGAGACGGCAGTGGTGAAGACGAAGCTCAATGCTGTGCAAGTGAAAATACTTGCACGTCACCTCGATACATTGTCGATATAGCGACGAAAGCTGGCCATACGGCTATTACTATCGAGCAGGGAGCTCCTACCAGCAGTACGGAATGAAAACATAATTGTGTAGTCGCTTTGAGCCGAGGAGACAAGCGGCAGATGGCTAAGGAAATGCAAATAATCCATGAATGACACAAGCTCATCTGCGTATGCTCAGAGACGTCTCTTGGCTTGCAAATGAACACGAAAGAGCTTCACAGGTTGCATATATCCAGACGGAAAGTGACTCGGTTGTGAAGTGAAGCGTAGCATTATGAGATTCATTGGACTTAGCTGGCACAACCAAACTGTCCGGAAGCTGCACAGTTGACGCTTAGATGAAGGGTATCCAGACACGGGTTCTTGCCCTGTACACCTTGTACTCCTCGCCGAAGAACTCGATTAAATGTTTCTCTTCGTCTAGGTCGGGTTAGCTACTTGACTGGGCCATGTGTGTGTAAAACTTACGTGAAATGCGTGTCATGAAGAAATACCACAACACGCCCGTGTATCCCAAGAAGCAGACAGTGTTACCCAGCATGACCTGTGTGCCGATGCCCCACCAGAAGAAGCCAAAGTACGAGGGGTGACGGAAGTAGCGGTACAGCCCATGGGTCACCAATTCGTGCCCGTCACTCTTACGCGACTGCACTTGGTGGTTGAAGTTGGTGCCCGCCTGCATCATTGCTGTGCTGCGCACAGCTTGTCCCACCACGACCATGCTTATGCCCAGCGCGATGACCCACGGCGGGTGAATTGTCGATTGGTAGCCGGGAAAGAGACACGAAGTCACCAGAGTCTCGATGAAGGCCATGGTATGGGCTTGGCGGTATTGGTCGCCGTTGGTGAGGAGGAATGAGGAGATGTACGCGACCGGGGTGTTGTACGCGGCCGTCGTATAAAACTCGAGGAAGTGGAATATGGACAGCGCGCCGAGAAACATGAATGGTCGCCATAGAGGATTGCCGTTGTATGCGAGCAGAGCAGTACCGACGAGGCCGAGAGCCATTGCGCATCCCAAGCAGAATGCACGCACAGCGATGCCACGCAGCGAGCGCTTGCCGTGGGGAAAGAACTCGGGCGCGATGGCATGCTGGCTCCTGGCCGCCACGCTTGAGGCCTCAAGCTTGCGTGTTGCATTTCGGTTGGGCAGGAGATTATCGACACCGGGGGATAGCGAGCCGTTCGGAGCCATGATGATGGCAGGCAGGTAGAAGTCAAGTATGGGGAGCTCGGGTGGCGAAGACGGCGGACGATGGAGTTCAAGACATGGTTCTCTCAAGGCGCAGGAGAAAGGGCTCTGCTGCACAAACCCAATCGCATGGCTTGCGGAGGCCGAACAATAGCAAGGCGTGAGCAACTATCCAGGATCGGCTGGCCTCGGGAACAGCCGACGAGGGCCTTGGCGGCCCCACACCCAGCTCTCGCGACTTGTACACCTTCACAACCGTCACACCGGCCTCATTATCATGCGCTGCGCAGCCAGATTCCTGCATACCAACCATGGACATCTCGCAGAACAAGCAGCGTATGCTCCGCGGCGAACTCTACCATGCCATGACGCCTGAGCTGACAGCAGAGCGCGCACGATGCAGGCAAGCTTGCAGACGCTTCAATGATGCCGGTGATGTACCGCGTCGCAGGCTAATTGAACTGTTTCGAGAGTATGTGTAGCTGCTCGATTGCTTGTCGAGAGACTTCCTTATACTTTGCCTAGCATCATCCAAGACGAAACCCCTCTTCCACCACCAGCACCTACAACAGAAGAAGATGCCAAGCTGTTCGAGGCTGAACCATGGATTAACCCACCGGTTACTATGGACTATGGATATAATGTGCGTTTGGGCAAACATGTCTTCGTCAACTTCCACGCCGTCTTCCTCGACACCTGTCTTACTACTATTGGCGCACGCACACTCGTCGGTCCAAATGTCAACTTCTACTCAGCTACTCATCCTCTCGACCCAGCCATCCGGAACGGCCTTAGCGGGCCTGAGTTGGGCAAGGAGATCCACGTTGGCGAAGACTGCTGGATCGGTGGCAATGTTTGCATACTGCCTGGTGTTGTGATTGGTAGAGGCAGCGTTGTAGGCGCAGGAAGCGTCGTTACGAAGAGCGTCCCAGAGTTTACAGTCGTCGCTGGCAATCCCGCTCGCATTATCCGCAAGATCGAGACCGAAATGGACTCTGAAAGTAATATTCGCCATGCTGGCAGGCAGAACGACCTGCAGCACTGACTTGTATATCAGTCACCCTCGCAATGGGCTTCCCCTCGTTACGAGGGGCAGTTTCACAACTTCCAAATCGAGCATCACGAGTTCTCTCGGACTCCGAACTGCATTTGGAATGGCAATGTAAGAAGAGAAGGCTACAGTCGCATAAACCTTCCTACAAATCTCTGCTGCTCCTGCAACTGATACACCAGACCTTGCTGCGCCGTGCTTTAGTGGACTCTAGCGCTTCTTGCCGCTTCAGCTTTCCTCAGCATTTTCCAAACGGGGCGATGAGTAACTGCACGCCTCCGAAAATCCTCTAAGATCTCAGATATTTGCAATACGGATACGATTCTGAACAGATTCGACGCGAAACTTGTTCATCTTGACAAATTGTTTGCAACAAACAATATTGTAAATCTTTTTGCTTACACATCTCCACAGTCCAATGAAGCATCATTGTGCATACTCAAGGATCTATTCCACGAATACACGGCGCGATCAAGTCGTGTGAGCACGCAACAGGAATTGGGCGACCTGGAGCCTGCCTGTGTCGATCTGGAACAATAGTGGGGCGTTTGGACTAAGGTTCAACACAAGATCTGATGATCGTCTGCAAGCTTCGGGCGCCAAGACCGACGAAACCTGTTCCCAGACGCTGTCAAAACAATGACATCGGCTTGCAAAACATCATCAACTAATCCATCTTACATGCACGACATGGTGTACCTTGCGAAACGTCCTGTTTGGGTTTAGGGCTGAACTTCGGCATCGCTCGCTTTGAGGGTCTCGGCAATTTGGAAGGCCATTTGGAAGCGCCTGATTCAGAATATGGCATACTTCGAAACTGCGCCATTAAGCTAAGCGTGTGCTACCTGACTTGACGCCAAGGGCTGCGAGCCCTAGGGCTTGATCCCCAGACTGTTACGATGCATAGGCCTGCCCACCATCATGCCTTGACGGCAAGGCTTTCCGAAGTTGTCACAGAGGCGATACAAATACCACAGCTCCCATCATCCTGATAGTCTTCATCGGACTGGTTCCTCACTCACTACAGGCTAATATTTACCACTCTACAACCTCAGCATTCCTTTCACTCTTTGATATCTTTACTCATAATCTTAGTCCACTCGACAGATCCGTTCTCACAGACAAAATGAAGTACATTCTCATTGCCTCGCTCCTTACCTCCGCGGCTTACGCTGCCCCATTCGCCCAGGTTCAGGGCGGCAACGGTGGTAACAGCAACACTGCTGCCGCCACGACCGGTCAACAGACTACGAACCAGGGCGGCAATCAGCAACAACAGCAACAAGGAGCGCAGACCGGAAACCAGCAACAGCAAGGCACCACCAATTCCCCAACTGGACTTGGCGCTGGTATCCAAAACGGACAAACTCCCACTGCGAACGACCTCGCCACTGCGGTGTCCAATTGGATGGCCGATACCTCGATGGTTTCCAACTTCCTCAACACTGGAGCTAGCATCCAGAACAACGTTCAGTTCAAGCAGGCTGCTACCGTGGCCTTCAACGCCGAGGTCGATGAGCTCAACCACAAGGCCATCATTGACGCTGCTAACGGCGCGGACCCCAATGTCATTGCTGCAAACAGCACCCTCGCCACTGGCGGTTCCTTCCAGGATGTCGTCGACAAGCTTCAGCAGATGTCTGTTCAGGGAATGGCTGCCGCTGGTAACATCGACTTGATCAACCAGAACCGCTGCGTTAACGTCCTCCCCAACATTGATGCCTACATGGCCTCTACTGGATCTACCTCCCAAGCAGTCCGTCCCACTGTCTGCGACCAGACTGGCGTTGCTGGTGGTGTCCAGGGGACTGGCCCCACTCAGCCTGGTGCGCCAGCAGGTAGCCCCGCCGCTGCATTTGCCGCCGGTCAGGCTCTTGCCCAAGGAACTGGCAATGGTCAAGTCCAGAATACCGGAACAGCTGGTGGTGCTGCCGCCGGCAATACTGGCACTGCTACGAACAACGGACAAGCGCCTCAGCAAGGCGCCGGCATCACCCCTACCAACGGGCAAGCACCCCAGGGAACTACAGGTGTTCAGGCTCCCCAGCAGGGGGCTCAAGGTGCCGCAGGACAGCAGGTTCCACAACAAGGTCAACAAACAGGACAACAGACGGGACAACAGACGGGACAGCAGACGGGGCAGCAGACGGGACAGCAAAACGGACAGCAGGCAACACCAAACGGCGGCAACCAGAACAATGGCAACCAACAGCAGGGAGCCAACGGTGCGGCTGCAGGACAGCAGTCTCAAGGTCAGGCGCAGAACGGCGGTTCCCAGCAACAGGCAGGCAACGGCGCCGCTGCAGGCCAGGCATCTCAGACTCAGACCCAGGCTGGAGGCAAGCAGCCCCAACAGGCAGGAAATGGTGCTGGACAACAGTCTCAGGGCGGCAAGGGTGGCAACAACAACTGAGCGCTAGGCTTGGTACTTGGTTGAGAAGATGATATGGAGGATTTGCAAGGTGAGGGCTATGTGCTGGTCGCTAGCCAATCGGTCTTTTCTGTATATAAAAATAATGGTTGAAAGGGGTGATGGGTGTGGGAGCTTGTATGTATGAATGTACGATGAAGGGATTATATGATATAGTTGTAAATATGCGATTTATGAACCTGCCGTTCAGTCTTCCTGTTTTGGTCTTGCATTCGATGGCACTGACTTGAAGATCAAGGTTTCGAAACCTCAGGCGTGAACGCGTGGATACCTGATAGTCGCGGAAAGAAGCCAGTGACCTGGACCGTGTCTTGGATACGCCTACGCCTGGAGCAAGTTGCGATGGCTGCAGCACAGGTGAAACGATGTACCAAACATCAGGCGCTACAGGACTGGATAGCTTGATAGATGCCAAAATGGGAGGGTGCGAGACGGACGAGGCGTCAGGCGCCTGTACTGGTCGCGACATGTCGGATGTTTGATGCCGTCTCTCACCGACTCCGGGGTTCTGAGGTGCTGACACGTGGGCAAGTCGCGTGACGTAGCGACATGAGAAGTGTGCGCTCGTTGCGGCAAGCAACATGGAGGCTGCAGCGGGCCGATGAAAGCGTGTGCTGGCATGCATATGCTACGGCGCCTTGTACTGTCGAGGCTCGCCAAGTGTGCGGTCTAGCTGAGCGTCAACCGCAGGCGCCTGACGAGCAGTTTGCGACGAACCATGGGCGAGGGCGAGGGCGCTGGCGGAGTCCAGGGCGACCTGGAAAAGGAACTGACGTGCTCGGTAAGTCGAGAGGCACGACGACGAGGCGCCTGCTAACTCGGCCATGGCCAGATCTGTACCGACGTGCTCTTCCAGCCGCTCACGCTGCTCGACTGCCTGCACACCTTCTGCGGCGCCTGTCTGAAGGAGTGGTTTGCCTTCCAAGCCTCGACCGCCACGTCGATACACCCGTACACCTGCCCCTCGTGCCGGGCCTCGGTGCGCACCACACAGCCCAATGCCACCGTCACCACGCTGCTCGACATCTTCCTCAAGGCGAACCCCCAGAGCGGCAAAAGCGCCCAAGAGAAGCAGGCGGACCGCGACAGATACCGGCCAGGCGACAATGTGCTACCCAAGCTCAGGCGCCGGGATGAGCGCGATGACACCCATCAGCGCATGCTCGAGGCGGCTCAGCAGCCGAGTCTGAGGGACGCGGGCACCGCAAACAGCAGCAGGACCAGCCTCGACCCCCCGAGAGAGCGCACAACAAGGGAGAGAAGCCGCAACCGGAGCCGCGAATCCCGCAGGGCGCGCGATCAAAGGCGGTCTGCCAGCCAAAATCCGCCCGGCGCATCCCCGTCCAGGGCCGTCATACCGCCCCGCGCTATCGAGCACCAGTCCAGCCTGCGCTCTCTGCTGAGCGCCTCCGACCTCGACGCAGAAGACGTCGACGAAGATCTCGTGCGCCAGGTGCTGGAGGAGCTGGTGTCCGAGGGCGTGGACCTGAACCAGATTGGCACTGCGCAAGAAGAGGAGATCACCGAGAGGATAGCCGAGGCTGTGCGACGGCGGCAGGCAGAGCGACATGCCGAAAGACAGCGCGAGAGGAGGGAGAGGAGGGAGCGTCTGGCAAGAGAGGGCTTGACGAGCGCTTCGTCCGCGTCGCTGCTGCCACAAGCCATGCGCAGCCCGCTTACGCGCGACGAGGAAGCTGCGCGCAGGAGAAGGCATGGCCGTTCCGAGAGTGGCGCATCGACGCCTCAGACGGCAGTAGGACCCCCCATATCCAGACCTGCTCTCATCGACGCCGCAAATCGAGGCGGGCGGGCACCGCGCCAGCGATCGTCAAGCCAGGGCAGCTCTCGATCCGCCACGAGGGTAGAGCGCCCTGCACCTGGCTCGGCTCCTGCAAATACCGCGAGCGGCGACCGTCATTCATCATCAGAAAGCGCTCGTCCAAGGCCACGTCGACAGTCCGACAATCAGCAGAGAAATAGGCTCGACGTTCGAGAGCAGTTCCGCATCAGTCTCCATGCCAACAACAACAATACATTGTCAAGTCCTAGCTCGCCCCAGAGCCTCGGCTTCGATCTGCCCAACAGCGGCAGTCCAACGACTTCTCTAGCTACAGTTGGCACTGCAGCTGTGCCCTTGTCTTCTTCTACTCCTGCCGTCACGCCTTTCCAGCCTCCTTCGGCTCGCCGTACTACCGACCCTACCAGAGCCGAACTGCCACGCTCTTCTCACAGTACTACTCCCCCCTTGCTATCGCCCCCTGCTTTCCCTCGATCCACCCCCGATCCGGCCGTGAGCGAGACTCAATCGAGACAAGCTTCAAGCTCATCACTAGGTACTCCTGTCCTATATACAGAGCCCCATGTGGCATGCCAACGCTGTGGTAAAAACGACATACAGTACGAGCTTCACTACAATTGTCGACGCTGCGATGGTGGCGAGTACAACTTGTGTCTTCGCTGCTACCGTCTTGGCAGAGGATGCAAGCATTGGTACGGCTTTGGCTGGACTGCTTGGCCCCGGTATGAGCGCGAAGCACCAGAGGGTGGTTATCCGCCCCATCACGAGCATCCCCATATCCTGGTTGGACACCGATATCGCAGACCCATGACACCCTTAACGGAATCCACGACACCACCACATGTGCTCATGAGCGAGGATGACCCCAAGCAGAGGGTAGAAATTGGCGTCTTCTGCGATGTGTGCAAGGCATACGCCAACGCCTGCTACTGGAAATGTGACTATTGTAACGACGGTGACTGGGGCTATTGCAATGATTGCGTCAATCAGGGGCATCACTGTACGCATCCTCTTGTCCCCGTTGCCCGCAAGACAAGAGATTCGCAGTCTGTTACTGACACATCTCCCTCCGCGCCCTCTACGCCTCGTCAGGATGGACATCTCGCTCCCCCAGACCTCGACGCAACACCCACAACCCCTCCGTTGACACCAAAATCCGCGTCTCTTATGCGAGGGCCAGGGTACTTTACCATTGCGAATTTCATCTTCCGCCCTCTCACCTTTACAACCTTGTGTAACATATGCAGTTACCCTATCCCACCATCAAACACACGCTATCACTGCCTCAAGTGTAACACTGGCGACTACGACATCTGCATGAGCTGCTACCAGAAACTCGTCATCAGCGGTCGCATCACCAAAGAAGACGGCGTAAACGGATGGCGCAAGTGCCTCCGCAGCCATCGCATGTACATTGTAGGATTCGAAGACCGTGACGGCGCACAACGACGCATGGTTGTCCGCGATCTAGTAGGCGGCTACGCGCTTAAAGAAGAAGACGAAATGGCCAGAGTACAGAGGTACCCACCAGATGGCGGTATAGGCTTGAGATTACTGGCTAGATGGTGCTATCTGCCGGATGAAGGAGTAGAAGATGAATTATCCTTTCCTAGAGGAGCAGAGATAAGGGAAGCAGCTGATATCAATGGAGACTGGTATTGGGGTGTTTACTGTGGTGTTGGAAAACTGTTTCCTGCAAACCATGTCACAGCCGTCTAAGTTTTATACATAGATAGTCAGCTGCCGATGCTACGCAGACTCACTGCGCAAACTTCCTCTTCAGCCAATCCTCCAACCGCTTCACCACCTCGGCAGGCTTCTCATACGTGGCCCAATGCGCCGCATCAATCATATCCGCTTGTTCCAACTGCGGCAGCAAGCCCCTTTTAATACTCTCATACATGGCTTCGGGTCTGCACACCACATCCTCCTTGCATCCGATGTACAGCGTGGGTACATTGACGATTTCTCTCCCTTCAGGCAACTTGACATCGACTCGATGCTGCAGATTGCCTGTCATGGCTTTATACCAGCACACGGGCGCTTCGAACCCATCGCGCGCCATACGATCAAGGAACGCCTTCTTGAAAGCTGGGTCTTGCGCATAAGGTCGGAGAGAGAAGGTTGGTTCCTTTTGCCCGGAGAGTGTTTCACGCATGGTGTTGGGTGTGCAGAAGAACTCTTTCAATCCATCTTTGTCGTGCATCATGTTAAACATGGCCTCTATATCGCGGGATAGAAGTGCTGGTCCGTCAGGCGCGGTGAAGAGGTACCAGTACGATAGCGATGGGTAGCCAAAGATCTTGTTCATCAGGGCGTTTGCGGCGTCGAGATCAAAGGCGTTGCGACTTGGTGCCGTGTAGGCGACGTTCAGGTTGACCAAGCCGACTACGCGTTCGGGGTGGTAGTTGTACAGGCGGCTTGCGGCTGCGGAGCCCCAGTCGTGGCCGATCGAGATGCATTTTGGCACTTGCTCGGCGTTGAGGATTTCCACCATGTCGTTGGTCATGTGGTCCCAGGTGTAGGCAGATGGGTTTGTGGGCTTGTCCGTTCCGTCGTAGCCCAGCATGTCGGGAATGATAATGGGGTGGTTTAGTGGGCGGAGAGAGCTAGCGACGTCTGCCCACATGGCGGCATGGTCGGGGAAGCCGTGTTGGAAGAGGAGGGTTGGGAGAGACGTGTTGCCAGAGCACGTGTAGTAGGTGTATGTGATGCCTCGAGAGGTTTTCAGGGTCTTCTTGGTGAAAGCGTCCATGGTTGATCTCAATGGTTGATCTCACTGCAACGTACCTGAAATGGCTTGTTGTAATTGGTAAAGAAAAGGCAAGAGTCTTCTATGTATACCAGTGCCAAGTCTCGTTACATCTTGTCCCTAACAAATTGAGTCCATGTCGGCCGAATGTTGGTCTTTGCTAGGTAGGTACTACTACCCAAGCGGAGGTTCCGTCATAGATACGTCCGTAGCGGCGTTGTCGGGTTCATAAATTTAGTGGGGTGCTCCGTAGAGTTGCATGAACTTGTCTAGGTTGAGGCAGTTGGCCGGACCGTGATGTGCAAGGACACGGCCGCTAGGGAGGAAAACGGCGGTCCCGGATCGTGCATGATGTGGCTGAGCCTAAGATGGAGCTTGGATGATCGTTGTTCACGCCTCTCGTTGCCGCGCCGTGGTTAGGGTGATTGCTGCTTGTGGCAGCTCTCCGATGCGCTGTCGGTCGGGTCTGCGCTCGGTATGGCACGAAATTGAACGTGGAGGAAACCGCAGGATTACCACAAGGGCTGCGCGAGTACTGCTGGTTGAGCATTCCGACACGACAAAGCCGAGGGTTCCAGTCTGAATATTTGACTTTGCGTCGCGGTGCGCTTGATCGCGCGCAGGTCTCAGACCAAGGAGGTGCCTACCTAGTAACACAACGGAGCGTGGCCAGTTGAGTCGTCGAGGGTCATTTTGACGAGGTCCTGGCTCGAACGGCCCATACAATGTTCTTCGGGTGGCAGATACTGTGTCGAGGTGCGGAGCGAAGTACAAGCGGCAAACACGAGAGATATCAGCCAATAGCGTCAGAGCGCTGCACGCTCGCGGCGTACAGCACCTCAACGTCGACGAGCATTGCAACTCTACCACAACCTCGTCATGGCCGGCACACGAAGATCTACGCGTCAAACGGCAGCGGCAGCACCGGAATACAACCAAGACGACACTTCATCCGCCGAAGAGACACAGCCCAAGCGCAATGCCAGACAGGCGACGCGTCGCAAGCGTGACCGCGAAGACGACCCCGACCAAGACAAAGCAGACAGCAGCGCTGCTCCGCCCAAAAAAGCTGCTACAACCAAGTCTAAAGCTCCTAAGACGAACTCTCTACCCGCGCCTGTTTCATCCACCAACCGCGACGCGACCGGCGCCCAAGAAGTCTACTGGCTGCTCAAAGCCGAGCCCCTCCCGCGCTACGAGAATGGCGTAAACGTCGCCTTCTCTATCAGCGACCTGCGCGCCTGCACGGAACCCGAGCCCTGGAGCGGCGTCCGCAACCCGCAGGCACGCAACAACATGCAGGCCATGCGCAAAGGCGACCTGGGCTTCTTCTACCACTCCAACGCCAAGCCTTCGGGTATCGTAGGTATACTGCGTGTTGTTGAGGAAGCAAAGGTTGATGAGACGGCCTTTGACCCCAAGGATCCCTACTATGACAAGAATAGCCAGAGGGAGAAGCCCAAGTGGTTTTGTGTAGACGTCGAGTTTGTGAGCGAGTTTGAGAATGTGATAGATTTGGCGAAGATTAAAGAGTTTGCCAAAGGGGGGCCGTTGAAGGATATGCAGCTTGTCACAAATTCGAGACTGAGTGTGAGTAGGGTAAGGAAGGAGGAGTGGGAGTTTATTCTAGGGTTGGCTACGGGCAGCAAGGAAGTTCAGGCAGAGAAGAGAGAAGAGCCACATGCAGTCGTAGAAGCTTGATTACGTCGTGAGTTGATTCGAGATACCCCTTGTAAGATCACCGTTTCATGTTATATCGTCTTCAATGTCTTTATGGATTTCGCACCCTGTACTGCCCATATTAAGACCTTGCGTCAGACTGAGCTACTCCTTAATACTGAAGCGCTTGGATGATCTTCGGACTGTTAAAGAAAGCGCATCGCTCCTGTAATCTCTGCTCTGCCATCTCTCTTGTCGCGTTCTCCATGCCCAGCGCACTATTACTCGGATGCGAGCCACCAATCGTCCTGACATACGGACCGCCTAAAATGTCAATGTACGGAGTCAGTGTATGTCTCACACGCAGTTCGCAAATGGGAGATTTGGGAGATTTTACCTGGCCGGCTAAATGCCTCATCCCAGTTCAACAATGTGGTAGATTGTGGTCCGCTCTCTGCCGGGGCTCCTTGACTCACAAAGGTGCTCCACGACCGGCTTGCTCGCATAGCAATTTCGTAGTCATACTCGGTCGGATCAAAGGGGTAGTCTGTCTTGTTGTACACCTGCATGCTGTCGAAGATGTACGCAAACTCAGACGTGTGTACTACGCCAAAGCCAACAACATCTTCGGTGTACTCGAGGATGGGATCAAGTATTGTCTGGTTGAAGTTGTAGAAGTAGACTGGCGCTTTGTACACTTCGTCAATTGCAGCACCCAGATGTAGCGATGGGCACACCATGAGGATATCGCGGAAGATGCGTGCAGAGCGATAGAACTCTGCTGTTAGGTTCACACTGGTTCCGAATTCTTCTACCGGGTACAAGTCTAGTAACTGAGTGAGAGAGTCCTCCGACATAGCCGGTAAGTAGTCGCGAACAAATTCGTACGTATCTTGTGCGGTTGCAATGGAGGTGTTGGTGTACACGTTCAGGTCGCCTTCCATCCAGCCGGACATGAAGGTAGCGTTACCGAAGCGTCCTTCTGCGATGAGCTGACTTGGTGCCGCAGGAAGGAAATCACCGTCCACCTGTGGCAACCAGATGTCCCCAATATTATGCGCGATATCGCTGAGATACGTCGCATTCGAAGCTTCAAAGAGGGTCTCAGTATCTAATTTCCGTAGACACTCAATCGTCCCTGGAGCGTCCACGTCAGTAGTGTTGCATCCTACGTAATTGACCAGCGCGATCATCGCATCCTTGGCGAAAGTCCCTGTGATACCAGGCTCAAGGGACTGAGACTGGGCGATACCTCGCTCGAAAGGAAGTGGCTTCTCTCCGCCGTAAGCCATAATTTGCATTCCGATTGCGAGGCCGCCGGAAGATTGGCCGGCAATCGTAATCCTCTCCGGATCCCCGCCAAAAGCAGCAATGTTGGTGCGGACCCACTCGATAGCAGCGCGCTGATCACGAAGACCAGCGTTCATGCTTCCTTCTTCTTTCAACCAGTCTGAACTGGCAAATCCAAAGAAGCCGAGACGGTAATTCATGGCCACATGGATGATTGGGTCCCCATTTTCTACCGACTGCTTGATCATTCCGTCAGGCGCAGTCGTCGGCTCCGTGTTGCTTGCCCACCAGAAAGATCCTCCATGTATCCATACCAGAACTGGCAGTGGTCCCTTTCCTTCTCTGTCAGTCGCTTTTGGCCGTGCTACGTTCAAGTTCAGGCAGTCCTCGGATGTTTCAGTTATATTGCCTAATCCAAGAGGTGGGTAGAGCACGCCCAATGGTTGTGGACATGCGGGACCAGGCTTGGTAGCATCGATGGTAGTACCTGGAGAGTATTCGTAGGGAATCGGTGGTTTGAATCTATTTTCGCCGCTGGTATCGTAAGCATACGGAATGCCCAAGAAGATTTCGATGTCGTTGCGTCCGATGCCTAGGATGTTGATAGGATCTTTCAAGTCGCCGAACTGGACACCTGCCGTTGTGGTGACAGCGGCGACGAAGCAGGACAGCGTAGGAAGGTGCATCTTGATCACCAACCACTGTAAATCCCGTGTTGGCTTATACGATGCGGCGAATGTGAGTTGGAAAGCTTCCGTGATAGGTAGTTGGCAAAGTTGATGTGTTGCGCAGAAACACTCCAGTTGCTCTAAGCACATAGATAACATCCTCCATGCTAGCCCCATGTGGCAGGTGCACGGTTGTGACGTGATAGACGGGAGCAGGTGCTAGCGCGACATTAGACGGCATTAGCGTAGAGCTCATCCACATCATTGATGCGAATCATCATTGTCCAAAAGCCAGGTTGTTCAAATACTACTTCAAATAAGAAAGGTAGCACGAGGCTTGCACAAGCTATCCTGCGCTGATGCACACCACGTACAGATACCGTGCGCTTAAGGTGAGTTGCTCGGTCCGTCAAACACCAACAATATACCGACGTTGCTACCCGAGCAAAGCTCCCTACAGTCGCGCTTGTGCACCCCGCAAGTTCCTAGCAACCTCATCAAACCTCTCATAGCAGTCGTTCTCTGCATCAAAATTTAGCAGCCATGCCTCGCGTGCTAGGTGAATGGATTCCGGCCTCTTCGCTATCTCATCCCAGTTGGCTTTATGCCATCGCTCGCGCGTCTTAACCCCCGTCGCCTGTGCTTTGTGCACCCTTTCGTAGCGGATCTTCTCGAATGCTCGTACGGCTAAAGGAATGCTTTCTCTGCCAGCCAGTTCCAGACACGCCGCCAGTACAACACCGTCTTCGATGGATTGACTGGCACCTTGGATGGATGTTGGAAGAAAGGGATGCGCTGCGTCTCCAATCAAAGCGATACGGTGCTTTGGCGAGATGAAAGTAGGCAACGGATCACGGAAGACGAGCTTATGATCGATGAGACGCGCCCCTTTTGGCGTCGACCTTACAATCTCTTGCACGATGGGCGCCCATCCTTCTACATACCTCAAGCAGTCTTCCACTCTGCCTGGGAACTGCCAGTCCTCCTCGATATTCCCGTCGTCTACGTGAGTAAACACCCAATTGAACTCCTTGCCGTCTTTGAGCGACGATACCAGAAAGTGAAGATCTGGACCTATGAACCCAGAGTGACTGTCTCCATCTACGAGATGCTTCAGGGTTGGGTTGTCTTTGATGGCATCTCCAGAGAACCATGAGCGATACACAGCGTATCCCGAACTCTTCGGTTTGTCGTCAAAACCAAGCACAACTTTACGGCCGCGGGAACGAACTCCCTCTGCTGCAATGACTACATTGGCGACCATCTCTTCTCCATTGACTACCACGCCAGCCTTTTCATCGTCCTCGAAGTAATCAGTTACGCGTTGGCCCCACTGAATGTTCACTCCTCGATCGACAGCATGCTGATGAATAATACTGTACAGTTCTCCTCTATGCCCATTGATTCTCGGCCCCCATTCCTGTTCGGCCGCAAAACTCTGCCTGGTGACAAATTGTCCTTTCCAGTGGTACAGATCCAGCCATGTTGTTTTACGTGCCACCTCCTTCATCGCTTCGATGACGCCAGGCCAGCGCTCAAAGTTGCGCGCACCGTTGGGATCGAACGAGATAATGTCGCCGAACCGCGTTATGTCCTCTACATCTGCTGCTTTTTCGAGGAGGACGACTGTGTGGCCTTTTCGGTCGCATTCTATTGCTGCTGCGATGCCCGCGAAGCCTGCGCCTACTATGATTACGTTGATGCCAGACGGAGGGCGGCGAGGAAAGTGCGCCATAATGATGTGAGAAATAGCGTGAGTGCAGAAACAGGCAAGAGGGAAATTGCGTCTTTCGTCGTAGGTACGGTGGTCTCTTTTCCCGTATATACATTGTGGGGTCGGCTTTCATGTACGCCACAAGGATGGCCCCACATGCAGCCTGATTGGACTTACATTGGTAGCCGAGACCTGTAGGCTGCTGGTCTTCGCTCGGCTGCACTCTACTGTACTACTTCGTCATCTGTATTACTCCATCCAGTACGCGAAGCAGTATACCACGCGCGCTCGGGATGCACGTTACCATCTCTCCACTCCCCTTTCGCATGCACACTTCGTGTGACCCACAGACAAAGCTATCTATTTCTCATCTCTGTCATTCCTGATCAAGGATTTCAACGCCTCTTCCTCTTCTCAAGGTGCTGTGTCGCGTTTTTAGGCATGACCGCTGGTATCTCATCTTTACTCTTTTACTCTAATGTTGAACACTGCTCAACTTGCCTCCCTTGCTACATAACCAGCCTGAAAGCCCCGTCCTAGACACCGTAACCATCCAGAGAAATACTTTTCCTGTCGAACATATCGAACCTCTCATCTTCCGACCTCCTCTTGCATACCTATGTAGCTCGACAGGCACGCCGGTGAACTTTGGTACCTGGGGTAGATCAGATACGTGTTGCTCATGCTCGTCATAAGCGACGGGTCGGATTCAAGTTACTAGAGCTAGATCCCCTAGTGTCGGTTGCTGCGAACGGGTGTGATGCACCAATACTCCCACTTCTGTTCGATCAAGACCTTATTTGCTTTGCAAACTTGTTGTGGTACTTAGGCATGAAGCACACATGCTGCACACCAATCGCCGAAAGTTAACTTTTTCCAGCAATTCATCAGCTTCCTCCGAGCACTTTAGCCGTCAGGTCCGATGTTCGTAAGGTGGTGGCGGCTGCAGAGGGAGTATAGTTGACAAGCAGCCATGGTCGGAATCAGAACGTAAGTGCGAAGGTCTTGACGTTCACTCCGCCTCTACTATTTTCTATCACTCCTCAACCTATTCCAAAAGTCCGCGATGAACCCAGCAACGTCTGGCACCCGTTCCCGTACAACACCATGTCCAACTTGCGGGATGACAAAGATGTCATCAAACCCGATTTCTCCCAACTCCCGCTCTGTACAAACATCATCGTTCTCGCCCAGTACCACCAATGCTGGTATATCGGACTGCACGGCCTTCTCAAACGCATCATGATTATCCATCACACCACCGTCTCTAAACGCTGCAATCACGGATGCTGTATGCCCAGGATGTTCGCGCATCTGCCATTCCCTCACTGCCTCTGCAACAACTTCGCCTCTTCCAGCTCTTTCTCTCCAGTCACTTGGTACTACCAGCCGGCCACCTTCAAGGAAATGCAGGATGACTCTGCGTAGCTCATCGTCATCGTTGTCAACACCACAATCAAGATGATGCTGATCCTCTTCTGGAAAAGACGAAATAGAGAGAAGCCCAGCAGGCGCAACAAGCGTAACACTGCTAACGCGAGATGGTCGTGAGTTAACGTATCCGACTGTCAGGGAACCGCCGAAGGAAAAGCCGATAAGATGTGCCGATGGCCATTGTAGATGATCGAGTAGCGCATCAAGTAGCCTATGAAATGTCGTGGCTTCATGTGGAATCATCGGCGTATCGCTTAAGCCGTGACCCCAGAGATCTACCAACACGAAATGCGCGTTTGAAAAGGCATCATGTAGAGCGCGAGCCAGGGGTAGCATTCCTATCGCCGGGGTCTGGATGCCATGGACGAAGAGCACGTTATCAGGTGTCTGCGCGTCTGTGTGGGATACTGAGGGCGGTATGGAGTAGTATGCAGCTTTTCCATCTTGCGTTTGGAGGTATTGCGCGGGTGGAAGGAGGGCACCAAAGGTGGAAACAAATAATGATTCTGGGGGACCTGGAATGGGCGGTTTCGGGAGAAACGCGCTGCCAGACCGTGGGATTACGGGGTTTGTCCTGTGGGCACACATTGTGTCTCGATGCGAGGGATCAGGATGAACAGGATATTTGATGCTGCGGCTACGCTGCGGGTTATGAAACATCCTTGTAAGATACGGTCTACAGATGTCAGTCAAAGGGCGCGCTTAATGTACACATGACTCGTGGAGAAGGGGAGCTCCAAGCCGACTCTTTCTTGCGACCATCATGCTTCAATCTCCACAACTCTATCTCGACGATAAATGCGTTGTCTTTATCGTCGATTACATGCATCCGTTGTTATCTCACTGATCTATGGTCTCTCAAGCGCCCCAGGCCAAATGAGACGCAGCTTCTCCGCCAGGTCTTGAACGTCGATAGCCGGTCCTTGTCATTCGTGCCTCACTTACATTGTTTCTCGACCCGGCGCCGTCGCGCCAAGCTCATCAGCTAGCATAGTATCCTTTGATGTCTATTTGGTGTACTGGAAGCCACGATGCGCCTACGGAGGTAGCCAAAAGTGGGTCGGATTGATGAGTAACCACCGCCCGAAGCATGTCAGCAACTCCACCTTAGTAAACCCATCCTCCGTTGAGCTTAGGGGCGTTCACATTACACAGCGAATACGACCCATCGAGCCAATCGACACGATTTCTCTTCGCGTAATACTCACGCTCGCTGAATGTGTATGACGCTGACCGATCAGAGGTGGCTATCTTTAGATCTTTCCACGAATATCTTCGGCATGGCACCTCTACTCCGTGGGAACACACAACCTTCAACGACAATAGGGTTTTTCAGACGATACCGAGCTGGATGGGAATACATGACCGCAATTGCCCGGAATAGCAACAATGCTCCCAGCTTGGACGCTGGAGGAAAAGCAGGGTAGATGTTCTGTGGCAGGATGTCGACGAGCTTCTATATATTCGGCGCAGGGCCGCGATCAACAGTTGGTACAATCACAAGAATATCCACTTCCCAATTTCTGAGGTTCAAACATTGAAGCTTGAAGATTCCTTGGATAAATCGAAGTACTGTCACCTCCATCATGGGCGCACCAACATCCTTCTTCCAGATTAATGGCGTGGATATCACACAGTACGTTACCACTCACGTCGCACTTGCAAAATGCTCACAGCTCGTATAGTCTGTTCATCGCGTTCGGTGCCGTTGCGATCTGGTCTACTTTGACTCTTACAATCCGTCTTCTTACCACCTTGAAGAAGCGGTCTGGAATATATTTTTATTCCGTCTTGATCGCTGCCTGGGGTCTCACCATACGTCAAGTCGGCAACTTCATCCAATTCTATGCACCGAGATGTCCGTGGCAGATCGGGTTCACGATGCAACAGCTCGGATGGGTTGGCATGATCAGCGGATTTTCGATGGTACTCTACAGTCGACTCACCATTATCTTGGAAAGCCACAAAACGCGACGGGCTGTGCTTGGCATGATCGTCTTCAACGCTTTCGTATGGCACACGGTCATGATTACAGTACTATCAGGCATGAGGACAACGCAATATGCAGGACGTCCAAGTGGTAAATACCCCTTCCGAATGGAATCAAGCCATGCTGAATGCATGCTTTAGGCACACACAAATGGAAGAAAGTTCACGACCGCGTCGAGAAGGTCCAAGTTGTGACGTTTGCTGTCCAGGACATCATTCTTTCCTGTCTCTATCTACGTGCAGCATACCAATACCTGCAGGACCGGCTCACACAGTCGAGCAAGACACGGAGCGTCATGTGTATGCTTTTATTCGTTCAGCTCGTCGCCATCACACTCGATGTCGCCATCGTTTTCATGGACTTTGCAGATTATCTGCAGCTTAAATTTATTGTCTTCAGCTTTGCCTATGCTGTAAAATTAGAGCTGGAGTTTGTGGCGCTCAACCAGCTGGTTGAGCTGAGTAAGATGGGACTGCCAGGAATAGCTTCCATGGGTTTGGGGGCTTCCAAGACGGAGGAGAACGATACAACGGTGAAAAAGATGCCGAGCACCGCGTTGTAGACATTACCGTTGGCGAAGATGGCATCAGGCGAAACTTCATCGAATATGCGATCTTGTGCGTCGCAAAGTTCAGGGGGCACCTTGGATTTCATCACGACTCCGCGACCAATGGAGGCATGAACACTGTGGATGAACATACACGGACGTCAACAACTCGAAGCATACCACATCGTTCTATCGATTTCCCTCAGCCGACCCAAACCTGGCTTCGCCGTTCGGGTATAACCGTGCTGATTGTGGGGGGCCGCTTGCGTTCTCCTCCCCGGTTCGGGTGCCTGGTGACTGCTTCAACCAATAACAAGGCAGAGCGAAGCGCGAGGAGAGGCATGGCAAATTGGCAGCTTCCGCTCACATACACTGCCGCTGTCGCACAGCGCGTTAGTTTCCATGTCTAGATGTCAATGGCCAGACACTAAAGATCATCCATCAGCACGTACAATGATACCTACATTTGTGGCGCAGATGGTCTTTGTAGCGTCAACGTGACGAAGGAGTATTGTATCATACACCGACGCAGTATCTGCGATATTGCACTATCTGATACTGACAAGCCCGAGGGCCGACCAGCCACATACTAGACATGACCTCCGCAAACGGGACGACTGGTTCGGTCTCTACATTAAATGCAGTGAACAAGCAAGTCGAATCGAAGACACTAGACCTCGGCCTCCGCACCTGCCGAGAGGATGCACATGTAGCCCAAAGCCAGCTGACGCTGGACAAACTCTGCATTTCTCACCTCGATTTCGTCAGCAAAGATCATCGCTTTGCGAACATACTCTTTATTCCTGATCTTAGACAGCGCGGTTTCAGCTAACTCGCACGACAGATCGCTTGTGATCGGCGGTTATGACAATGCTCTCCTTTGGTGATGAACCAAACACGATGGCTAAGTCAAACTATGAGGACTGGAAAGGTCAGGAAGGCATGAAGGCTAACTTCATTAGGCTCGTGTTACAGTCAGAAGATGAAGGAACACAAAACATTCTCAACCACTCGGAGAAGCTGAAAACTTGCGTAGTGACGAAGCTCTCGAGCGTCGTATGGCTGCCCAACCCTTACTGGTCCAGAATTGCTGATGGAATGAGCATCGAAGCACACCCAATAGGTTCTTCTACGGCGCGGATAGAGTGCAGCCGAATCCGTCGTTCGTTCTACCCTCAACACTAGTTCGCCATTCGCGCTAATAGATGACAGAAACTTTATTGGACATCTCCGATCACCGCCGTTACTGTCACGATACTTAACGTGCAGCTCATGATCGATGAACCCTATACGGCTTCCGGTGAGCAGATCAAGGTTGACCCCAGGTTAACGAACGTTCCTATCGTAGGCTGCTCGGATATAAAGAACTACACTGTGCCCCAAGAGTCTGGAGGTATGTTTCTGGCTAGTGCCTACCTGCTGGCCAATCAGGACAAAGGTAAAATCACCATCACTCCGGAGTTTCCGGTACAGGGTATTTCTCACACCAACATTGATGGGCGTCAATGCTGTGAACAACCAGGTCAGTGTCGTGATTTTGTCTTCGGATGCAGCCATCGCTCTCCAAAAACCATACAGTGACGTAATCACGGGTGTCATGTAGGGTGCGATGGCTGCCCTGGTGATCTTTGCCAGTGCTGGCTGCCTGGTGTGGCGTTGCAGGCAAGTTTAGGGGACACAAGCATCAAGTCATGCGGAGCTGCAGGAAGTCAACACTACTTCACCTACCAACGAGAAGCATAGACATGGCCTCTCAAAAATGTATACTGGACAGGGCGTAAGTGAGTTGGGTGGGTCAACCACAGGTCATGCCGTGGATCTATACAATACAGGTAGATCGAGACGAGGTGTAACGAGTCGTCTGCAAGACAGATATAGGTGGCCCACAATGGACACCCCGTCCCGCGCCACCGTCGCGATGTGCATTTTGAGGTGCGTTCTGCGATTTACATTCAAGCTAGCTTCTGGGTTGTGTATCCTTCGCAATGTAGGGTCGCAAGCAAAGTTATAGTAGAGTGGAGCACCGCGCAAGAGCACATCGAAGAAGGTATGGCGAGCAGGTGAGCAGATATTTCGACGGACTCCCAATGGTACCGCGGTTTTCATCCTAAGCAGCCAATTAAACTATTACAGTAGCGTGCCGACTACCAGCACACCGATGCTTGCGTGCTCGAGAATCTTGCCGAATTGACCGATAGCTCGGCGAACTTTATCATCACAAGAATAATCGATCGCTATCCATCCATCGGCTTTGTGGGGGTGGAGCAATGATTGCTTCAAGGGGTCGCATCCTACCATCTATTACCGGCAGATGCGCTAACTCTTTGGGGCTGACTCGAGCCGCCTTGCACCGTCGTGGCGCAGGGATTAAGCCAGCTGTTGTGCATATCGTGAGGTATACCATTTTGTGGACACTCAAAGAGAGATTATTCCCATCGCTAATCGTCAAGGTCTCATCCTGGTAGAGTAAAGGAAGCTGACTCTGGAAGATCGCTCACTGCCACTTCACCAGTGGCCAAAATTGGGCGCCGTTGCGAGGTACAAGACGGCAGCTTCCATGACAGGTCTATCCCTTCCTTGGGCCCGAACAAAGCTCCACTAACTGCGTCGAACAGGTTTCGTGATGGAGCTCCGATCTACCCGCAACCGGCAAATTGAAGTTGACACCAACGGCACACATCATACAAGAAATGAGTCAGTTCCAGCGTATAGGTAAGTTCGGCGAGGTTACACGGCCTTTTCCGTGTGCTAATCTGTTGTGACTTCTAGAGCGAACTCTGCACTCTACACCAACGTGTTTGCCCAAGATCGCCGCAAATAACTTTCTTGCAGAAGTCCTGTGTTTGTCGGAGTACAATAACAGCTTTCCGAACATGAAAAGCAATTATAGTTGCCCGTGCACATCGTTGTAGAACACCTCGTCAATATGCTGCCTCTGTCTCCGCGCCGAGTGTTTGCCTTTGTGCTGCTGGTCAGCGTCTTCTGCTTCACGACGGATGCTGCCTCGCTAGACGATACGACACTAGAGGGATTGAGCCAGATTCCGACATGCGCCGTAAGATATTCATTGCACGAGAGGAAGCTTTTTTGTAGCTGACCACCACACAGCTACAATGTATCACTGAAAACCTGCCTGCCATCGGTTGCACGCTCCTCGACGTAGAGTGCCAATGTAGTTCCAAGAACTCGACCAAAATCTTGCAACCGTGCCTGCAGAAGCAGTGCAGTTACGATGAGACCTTCGGTATGTTTACCGCAGTGATTGGAAGCAGTAGCACTAATATCTTGCAGCTACGCTCCGCGCCCAAGCCTCTATTTGCGACAGGCCGCACGATGACTTATCCAACTCCATTCGGATCGTGGCATACGTGACGGGAATCATACCAATCATCGTGATTGTAATGCGCTTTGCTTCTCGATATGTAGGCGGCAACAAGCTCTGGTGGGACGATTGGCTCCATCTCGCAGCAGTCGTAAGTGTTCGATAGACAAGTTAGTTTTATCCCACTAACAGTTGTTGAGATCTTGGTCATCCCTATGACTGTTGCCCTGCTATTAAACCTCAAAGCTGGACTCGGCCATCATATATGGGACCTGACATATCCACGTGTCGTGGCAATCGGAAAATGGAGTACGCATCGATCTGCAAGCTCTAATAAACAAGTACTGACTATAGACAGCCTATATTGCTACCATCCTGTGGGGTGTCGAATTGCTTCTTATAAAGTACAGCATCCTTTGCTTGTATATTCGCATTTTCCCGAACGTCTGGTTGAAGCGCGCGGTCTTCGCCTTCATGGCCTTTACGGCTCTGTTCACCCTGCCCCTACTTTTCCTGGCTGCGTTCCAATGCATTCCAGTTCGCGCTATCTGGGACCTTCAAGAGCAAGGAACTGCAAAATGCATCGACTATATTGCCGTCTTGAGACTGACGGTTGTATACGAGATCATCGCCGAGACTATCCTTTTCAGTCTTCCCATCCCGATTGTATGGAAGCTGCAGATGAAGACTACAAAGAAAATCCAGCTACTCATCTTCTTTAGCCTTGGTATCTGGTACGTCTTGTCTTTATCATGTTCGATTTGTGTAATCTAATCCTTTCGAAGTGTTATTATCATGTCCATCGTACGCCTGCCATTTTTACCAGGGGTTGTCGACACTACCGACCCAACCTACACAGTGACTGGCACGTCGATTACCGGATTCACTTCCAGTGGAGTTGCGCATATATGCGCTGCCGTCCCCACCATCAGAAACCTGATACGATACTGCCAGAACGGGTTTAAGATGCCCACGAATGTTCCTTCAGGCTACACCTCGGACCCCAGCACCTACAACTCCACGAGCAAACGAAGCTACAAGTCATTGCAGGACAAAAATCTTGGCTCTGGTACAGCACAACAGCGAGGCAAAGCCTTGTCCCGCGATACAAAGGATCCATATCGCCTATCCGCAATCGTGGACGCCGAGAATGATGGCACAGTCGTGGAGCTACGTGCGATAGACTCCCCAACTCACGCGAATAGGTTGAATGATGAGGAACAGGATGTACAAGAAGGGAAGAGTCGATGGACTCAGCGCGTGGAAGAACAGCTTCCTACTATTGTTCGCGAATCGCCCTCGCCGGGGTTGGACGACTCAGCGTCTCAAAAGTCCATACTTCGTCAACACCCCTATTCATAAAAGCAAAAGACGAAAGATCAATGACAGATATGCCGCCCAAGAAAGTTATTTCGCCATTACCTGTACCTACTCTGGAGTTGCAACAACAGGGGCTGCTTTAGTGATGCATGCAGAATGCTTGGACATGGCCGCACTACTTCCTTTTGCTTTTTGAAGCTTACAACAACAGATGCAGAGGGACAATATCTTTGAGTTCACCCATTCATGTAGCGCAGACTAGTGGACGCATGCATGAGCTTGCGTCACACGTACAGTCGGCTTAAACGCGACTATGTGGGCGTACACTCAAAAGTGTAGACTGATACACCGGGTGGGTATGTAAATGACTGTCGCAAGCTTTCCAAACAGCGGTCTTGGCGAGCAATTCAGCCAGGCGTCTGCAATGCCTGTAAGATTTGGAGTAGCACACTGACATGTAATGCGAGCTCGTGCCGGTCTTGCTCTTTGTGGTCGTAATACTGATTTGGGTATAAGTGCTGCTTGATAGGGCAGTCTGCAATCAGTGATTACGTGTTTCCGATTGGCCAGTGCCCAGCCGACCCTAGCCAATGCAGTAGATGACAACTGAAGTTCGCGCTTGCGCCCAAGAACTAGAAGATGTGCGAAAGCTAAAAGCTAAAATCAGAGATATCCTAACACAGAATAATACTTCGAAGTTCGAAACGAGAGTTTACGAGTGCCCTTCAGTAGTGGAGTTACCGAGTTAGCCTCGGCTCATCGCCTACATTTGACTTGGTGGCCGATGGAAACCACGACGGCAATCTCTGCTTGCGCAATGTGTTCACTTATACTTCGAAGTGTCACCAGCTAGATCCTGAATAGCAGGAGCGAGAATGGCTAACCAACGTATGGAGCTTACTACGCCAGCAGTGACATGGCAACCTCGCACGATTTACCTCACCGCATACAACGTCCTCTTCGCATCGCTATGGGCATCGGTCTTCGTCCGAGCCGTCTCTAATGCTCGAATTGGCAAATTCGAGCTCTTTGATGCAACAGAACCATATGCGCGATGGATACAGACCGCTTCGTTGATAGAAGTCTTACACGCGGCATTTGGTATGTTCATTATTCCTACCTCTTTTTGTACATCTCATTGAGAACGATACTAGGTGTCATCAAATCTCCAGTCAGCACAACCGCACTTCAAGTTGTTACACGCGTCATACAGGTTTGGATGGTGTGGTACAGCTTTCCGCAAAGCACAGCAACTTCGCATGCTTATCTTGCCTTGCTCCTTGCTTGGTCGGTCGCAGACACCATCCGGTACCTGTATCTTGCGGTCAACATGCACGGGAAAGCTCCGAAAGGACTGGTATGGCTTCGGTATGTTCTCAAGCCACCCCATCCACTACTTGGGTATACCTAGGTAGCTGACTGTCCCAGGTATACCATGTTCTACCCACTCTATCCGGTCGGTATCGGGGCTGAGTGGTGGTTACTGTACCGGTCTATTGCCCCTGGAGCGAAGGTCAACCCAGTCATACCACCCGTCTTTTACTTCTGCTTGATACTGTATATTCCAGGTATGTACTCTTGTATGGCGGATTGTTTATACTCGAAATTCACATCTTCTTAGGTTCCTACACCATGTACACCTACATGATCAAGCAAAGAAGGAAGACACTGGGTTCCAGACGCAAGGTCCAGTAAGCGCATAGATTTGGTTGCGTTCCAGTACGAAAGTAGTCATATGCAAAGGATGGGAAGTCTTTTCGAACAGCTCTGCCTATGAGATGAGCTATCGTATAGCGATGTCCCAAGAGCTGAACATAGCCAGGAGGATGTGCTCAATCGCATGGCGTTGGTAAAACGGTGGAATCTTGTCCCGTGTTCCATTGGCTCTTCAAAAACAACATGTCGGATCATGTGTTGAAAACTGCCGCAGATAGATATTACAGCGTAAATCCGTCTTCATGCGATTGTTTGTCTTTTATTATATAGAACAGCACGCGTGACGTCATCGTCCCCTCGCATTACCAACCAAAGTCCTCTTCGTCACAGGTACAAAGTATGTTTATCCGAATTATCTAGTCCATTTCGTGCATTGATCCTATCTTCACCTGAGCCATAACGGCTAATGTCTGGAATGTGGGAAGACGCGCGCAATGGCATCAGCCCGGGACAGGCCAAGGCTGCAATGAAGACTAACGTATGTGAGATGACAGGACCAACATCAAGGACGAAGACGAAGAGCATGATGATATTGCAAGAGGTTAGCATGACCGACGGTAGTAATGTTTAGAAAGAAGAATATATAACCATAAGAACCGAACCCACATGTGGCAGACAGGTTAGATGTAGGAAACCTTGACGCCCATTCCCACGGTACGTCTCACCTTGTCCCACGCAGTCCGTATGATGCGTAGTATCCTCTCTCTAAGATGGCGCCTGCCAAACGCCAAGCCAAACGCCAATAAGAACAGTAAAGTACGGAAAAAAGCCATGGGATTGGCAGTCATGTGATGGGCGGTATCGGATATCATGGTGTGTATGTTTGCGAACATGGTAGATGCGCGGTTGTAGAGGCCGGGCGGTGGTGTGGTTGGTTTCTTGGCGGGCGTTCGGGAGGTGCGGGAAGACTGCGATGGCGTGGGTTGTGGTGTGGGTTGGGGTTTGCGGAAGCGCTCGTCTGAGCCGCGGGGTTGGCGTCTGTTTTGTTCCTCGCGTATGCGGCGTTCGTCTTGTGCGCGCGACTGCTCGAGGCGCTTGGCCTCGGTTTCTCTGCGGCGCTCCTCCATTTGCTCTTGTTGTTGCTGGCGTAGCTTCTCTTCGCGGGCTTGCGTGTCTTCCTTTTCTTCCTTGAGAGAGTGCAGTGCCAGCAGGAAGGCTTCCTTGCGCTCTTGGTCCAGCACCTCGGACATGGAGATGAAGTCGCGGGCGTAGTCCCATTCGTCGTTTCGTGGCAGGACGTGCAGGGTGTAGAGCTCAAGGAGCTTGATGCGCTTTTCCAGGTCGCGTGGGGTGTCGGTGCCGGTGTGTTGCCTACGATGGCCTGGCCGTTTGTCGAGGTATGCCGGAGAGGACATGTGCGAGGAGACGTCGAGGGCTGGGTTGGCCGTGGCGGAGAGGTACGTCTCGAGCTTCTGCTGGTTGAGGCGCTGCGAGGGCGCATGCGTGAGGAGGAGGGTGGCTCTATGTAGCATCAATACGCAGTCGCTCACCAAGTCAGGGGACTGCTTACAGGTTGACGACAACATCGGCGTCCACGTCGCCCTCGACACCCGCATAGCCGTCGCGGACCACGTGGTCCCAGATGCTGCCGTCGCGACACTGCGAGACCAATTGCTTCCATCGCGTGCTGCCAAAGGCGTGCTTGCCCTCTTCGGCGCCCAGCTCGACCACGGCATTGAGGAAGGTGAGGTAGAAGCTCCACACCTTGACCCGGGTGCCGCGTGACGCCGTCGCGACGGGCGCATGGCCCACGACGTCGGCCGCGTCGATGGGCGGCGGCGTGATGATGGGCTCGATGGTCGACAGCGCCTCGGGGAGTCGTCGCGTCAGGAACAGCTGGGCGGCCTGTCGGTACGCTTTGGCGATCTGCGACGACTGTTGCCGCGACGTCGAGAGCGACGAGATGGATGATGAGAGGTAGCGCGACCCGCTGACGTCGTCGTAGAGCGTCGCCATGTTTCGCTATGTCGCAACGTTCCAGGCAATGTTCCAGGCAATGTCCTCTGAGCTTCACGAGCGCACAGCCGTGGGTGACGGAGCGCCCGGTGTCAACATTTCGAACCTCGGCTGACCTCACCTCACCCGAACCGCCTTGGCGCGTCACCTGCCTCCGAGACCCCGAGCCATCTACGTTTGTATCAGTCTGTAGACGCTGTCAAGCCGCTTGACACCCGCTTGCTTGCGTCAAGTTCAGAGTCGGGAGCTAGACACGGGCTTTGTCGCTTGATCCATCGCTGCTAACCTCAACACTGACCAAAGACCACACAGCGCGCCGCTTGCACTTGCTTCGGCCAGACATCGCATCCCTCCGCACCCAGCCAACACAGCTCTACACAGCGCCTGCCCCATTTCCTCTGATTGCCAACATGGACGTCGACGCAGCTACCTTCCCACACCACTTGCTGGCCATCTTCATCCACATATCCGAGGCCGATTTTGTGTCTTTTGATCTCGAACTGTCCGGCATTCCATCGCGCATCCAAGACAAACCTGCACATGGCCCGGCGCGCTTCACCATGGAGGAGCGCTATGCCGAGACCAAGATGGGCGCTGATCGCTATCAGATCCTACAGGTAGGTATCACTTGCGCGCGCTTCGACTACGTTGCCAACAAATATGTCTTGAGGCCTTACAACATCAACATCAGCCCGCTTTTTGACGAACGCATCGACTTTGAGCGTGAGATCAAATTTCAGAGCGGCGCGTGTACCTTTCTTCTCAACAACGGTTTCGACCTGGGGGCCCCACTTGCCACAGGCGTACAGTACTTATCCCGCGAGGAAGCAGAGCGGGCAAAGCGGATGGCCTGGGATCGACTCGAGAACAAGAATCCCATACCCGATCTGCAGCTCAACTCGGCTGACGTCGAGTCGCTCGACTTTATGCGTAGGGTGAGGGAAGCCATTGAGAAATGGAAATCTAGCACTTCGTCGTCCTTGGACATTACAACTCACACAGGACTTTCCACATCGCCCGTGATACCCGTCATCACGCGATTCGAGAAGCGTCTCGTGCATCAGCTCGTGCGCGCCGAGTTCCCAGAGTTGGTGTCTATAGGACGCGGAGAGTGTGTTCGTATCCTCCATCTAGACCCCGTGCGTGAGGCCGACAACATGCGCAGGATCAAGAACCGCGTCAAAGAATCCATTGTCCGACAAACCGGTTTCCGCTGGATCTTCGAGGCTTTAGTCAAGGGCGGCGACATCAATCGCGCGGATCCACTTTATGTCGCACGCACTACTGGCACGATTGTCACTGCCGACGCACATGATATAAGAGATCGCTACGACAGAGCCATAGAGAGACTTAAGATCAAGCAGCCCGTGCTAGTCGGCCACAATATGTTCACTGACATTGTCTACTTTTATCGTACTTTTGTCGGCCAACTGCCTGCATGTGCAACATCTCCTCATTTGGACAACGCGCTAACTCCGTACAGGATACGCTGCAAGGCTTCCAGGATGCCATCCATGAGCTATTCCCCAACATTATCGACACTAAATATCTAGCGACTCATGCTGAAGGCGACCTCAACGCCTCCCCTACGCTACAGGATATTGCCGAGAATTCAAGTCAGCAGCCGTTGCCCCACATCGTCACACATGTCGACCATCCGAAATACCAAGAGGCCGAGGCCTTCCACGAAGCAGGCTATGACAGCCTCCTTACTGCCACCATCATGATCAAGCTCGCCGCCAAGCTTGGTGCGGAGCGAGGAGAACAGGTTCCGGCACCATTGCCCGACCGTTCCCGTAACAAAGCGAAGGGAGTGTTAGCGGAAGATGTTCAGGATTTTGTAAAAGATGGACGCGAGAAGGTCGACCAGCCCGTTCCCCTGCCCCCAGTGGAGCAGCCTCAACCCAAGAAAACAAAGAAACAAAGGGCCAAGGCTAAGAAAAAGGAGGCAAAGCAACAACGATTCGAAACTAAGAACCTATTCGACACGCTCAAAGCTCTGAGCCCTGAGGCCGAATCTTCCTCAACTGAAGATGACGGAGAGGTTAAGCTTCGTCAAGATAGTGAACTTGCGAAATGGGACGAACAGGTTCAAGACGTCGGCGGGTCATGGGAAAATGACGTCTACGTCCAAGATAAGACGGGATGGGTGCCGTTAGAGCAGGTTAAGCGACAACCAATGGAGCTCATTCCAGCCTTTGATTCAAAGTTTTGGAACGAGTTTGGCAATACATTGCGTGTGTTTGGCACTCAGGAAGCTGTCCTGAAGATTGCAAAGTGGGAGATTTGAATGCCGCGCAAGCTTGGGTTCAAGCTTATAAAAGTTAGAGATGGCACCAAGGTTCTCGTGGTTGTGTACAATCGTGGAGGAGCGTTGCAGGTCACCGACCATGCCCTTCCATCATAGACACATCGGCTCGGCAGCTGCCGCTCGTTACAACGCAAGCCCATGTCATCACCCATCTACAGCCTGCTACTGTCGTAAAGGAATCCGAATTTCGGTCATAAAGCTGCACCTCCTCAGATGTACACAATTTGCCTTTTCAATCAATGCTTTACGACTCTGATAGACTCTTCATACATCATCACTTCGAACGGCCAGCTCCAGCAGATCTCTACAGCGGTCTCTTATACTCTTCAGGCCGTCATAGCGTCTTCGAAAGATTCCGCTGGGAGAACGTTCGACTTGACATGTATGAGCTCGCAGTTTGACAAACAATGAACTCGGGATCGGAAGAGGTAAAGGCTATAGGCAGGCCGTCGGGTAACATCAAATTGAAAGGGCAACTTCTGGTGCTGCCGACACAAAGTTTTCAACAACGTGCAGGACCAGCGTCTGTGACTTCTACTGGCTCGATGTCCACCTCCACCGCTTTTGCCTGCGTCCTACTCGATGCGACGATACCTCGATTGTGCTCTTCGTCTGAGCTAGGCGCATCGTTTTCCTGAGGTAATGGCTCAAAGTGCGCATTGTTGACTCTTTTCCTATCGATGCGACGTCTCCAAGGCTTGTACAGCAGAACACTGAGACCACCGAAAACGATGAATGTACCGCATATAGCTCCGCCTACATTCCGTTAGTGTCCAATTCTTCTAGTGCGATCAATCAACGCACCAACTATATCCCAAGCATCGCCCAGCTTTTCGACGCCTTCCCAAAACTTGCCATGCGGCTCAGCAACATTAAGCACCAAATTGAGGAACTGCACTGTCCCGATGATGGTCGCGACGACCACAGTGATGACTGTTAGCACAATGCTGTAGTAGCAAATGGCGATCGGGTCGCGCGCAAGTTGCGTGCTTGTGTACAGACTCATCATCAGCGCACCATCGGTGGTGTCGAGAAGGCACATGCCTGCTGTGAAGAGCAGTGGAAAGATCAAAATCAGCCAAATTGATGTCCCCTTCGTGGCTTGAATCGAACTTATTCCTAGGATAGCGATCTCGGAAGAAGTGTCGAAACCTAGCCCGAAAAGTACACCGAGAGGATACATCTTCCAGGGTCGGTCGACCAACTTGAAGAGCTTTTGCAATATCGGGAAGAGGCAACCACCGCCCTGTATCTTGAACTGTTCGTGCTCACTACCAGGGTCACTCGAAATCATCTTTCGCATCTGTACTATGAGCTTGTACAGAATGTAGATGTTCATAAGACCAAGGAGCAACAAGAAAGCAGCAGAGACAGAAGTGCCAATAATGCCACCGACACGCTCGAAATTGTCAAACTTGTCTGACACAGCCGCTGCAGTTCCTGCAACGATGAGCGACGTGATGATGACGATGGTAGAATGTCCGAGACTGAAGAACATTCCAACCGTCACTGGCCGCTGGCCTGCAGCAATGAGACGGCGAGTCATGAGATCGATAGCCGAAATATGATCTGCATCCAGGGCATGGCGCAAGCCCAGAGTGTATGAGAGGATTGCTGTCGAGATCAGTGGCGTATGCCAGTGCTGCCGACGTTTAGCAGATGCGATCAAAGCCATTCGGATTCAGCTTCTTTGCTTACTAAGACTATACCAACTGCCGCCCAAACAAGGAGGTTCACAGCGACGAGGATGATGATGATTGCGATTGCCGCGAATGGAAGCCTTCTGAGGTAGGGTGTCTGCGCATGATATGCAGATGCTTTGTTGGATGCATTGCGAAAGAATGATAATTTGCTCCCTGCATCGCTACCCACTACAGATGAGGGGCGGGAGGTTGCCATTCTACAGGAATTCGCCCTCGCGCGTGACAAAGAGCACGAGAAATTGAGCTCGAAGTCTGATAGGAAGAGAAAGGAGTTTGAAGAGGCAACTATAATGAAGCTTGGAAGGTAATTATCGCAGATGCGGCTCCTGTCGTCTACGGGTGGCACCGTGGGATGCAAATGACGCCAAGTGGGGCTAGCAGCTGTTATCGTGACCCTCTGGCGGGGTAATTAGCATCATGGTGTACTAATGACTGCGAATCCACAAAACTTTGGCATCAAGTTTTGACGACCGGAAGCTTGTATCGCATATGGTGAACTATCGTCGGCTTTCAGATTTTGCGGAAGCATAAAGATGCGTTGGTGCCACCGAAACCGAAGCTATTCGAGAGAGCCACATTGACTCTGTGCTGTTGAGCAGCATTGGCGACGTAGTTGCAGTTAAAGTCAACCGCCGGATCTCCTGGATTCTGGAGATTGAGAGTCGGAGGTAGGATGTTCTGATCATCGTCAACATGTAGGCTATGACAAAAACCACATCTGACTTACATGATGCATCCCAAGAATCGTGAAAATGGTCTCAACGCTCCCTGCAGCACCCAGAAGATGTCCGACCGCACCTTTTGTACTGCTCACATTGATTTCACAAGCTCTATCCTTTCCGTCTTCGCCAAGCAGAAGCTCTTTGATGGCTCGGTTCTCCGCAGCATCACCCAGTGGGGTGCTCGTCGCATGGGCGTTCACGTAGTCAACAGCGCTTGGCTTGAGGCCGGCGTGTCGTAGTGCATGCTTCATTGCGAGACGTGGGCCTTGGCCATCTTCGCGAGGTGCCGTCATGTGGTGTGCGTCGCTGGACAGTCCGTAGCCGGCGATTTCAGCATAGATGTTCGCACCTCGCTTCCTTGCGTGCTCGAGTTCCTGCACCTGATTAGATACGACAGGTACGGCAACCTTGTACACAGCGATCGCGTACCTCGAGAACCACAACTCCGGCTCCTTCTCCAATGACAAAACCATCCCGTTCTCGGTCGAATGGTCGACTTGACTCCGTGGGCCGATCATTGAACTCAGTAGCCAGGCTTCTAGCCCTAGCAAAGCCTGATATCGCGAGAGGATGAATGCATGATTCAGCTCCGCCGGCTATCATAACATCTGCATCTCCGAACTGAATCAAACGTGACGCGTCTCCGATGCTATGTGCTCCGGTCGTACATGCTGTTGTCGCCGCGTGGTTCGGTCCCTATCATGTCTCAGCATCAACAAAAACATAGCCAGCAGGTTATAGCCACCTTGAATCCATAACGCATCGATATGTGACCTGCGGCTAGGTTGATCAACAGCCGCGGAACAAAGAGCGGGGACACCTTTCGGTAACCCTAGCATAATCAGTTGACAGTTACGATCGATAGCCGGGACAACCCACGCCTTTTTCGTAAGCAACTGTAGTATCATACACGTCATCTAAACTGCCGATACCAGATCCCATGTATACTCCCTATCTCGGCGTGAGTAAGATGCAGGTTGGGCGGATGCTGAGCCTCCGTACCGTGACTTCAAGATCGGCCTCTTCCTTCGAAAACCATCCCGCATCATTGAGAGCTTCCTCGGACGCCACCATGGCATATTGTGCAAAGCGTGCCATACGGCGTTCATCCTGTGACGAAATTAAAATTGTCAAAGACGAGAAGGTTGGGTGGCGGCACGTACGCTGTGGCTTAGATGCTCCTTTGTATTCCATTTGCCATCGATTTTGCTACCCTGAGGAACCAGACCAGCGACTTGGCTCGGTAGCAGCGCGAATTCAGGGCTTCTGTCTTTGATGGAAACGATGCCACACTGGCTATCGATCAGACGCTTCCAGGTTCGTCGAACACCTATCCGCGTTAGGAGAAATGGGATCAAAGCAAGGTGAACGTCGCATCACCTAGTCCAAGAGGGGTTACAAGCCCTAAGCCTGTTACTACTACCCGTCGCATCGCATGTCAGTAATAATGGTTGATGTTGGAAGATGACGCGTTTGGGTGGTCAGAGAGAGCTATTGTTACGCGCAAGCCACGTGTGGCGTCCGTTAGCGAGAGGCGCGTGCTGCATAGCGTCTGTCGTTATCGCTTCAGGTCCCTGCGTTTCCCTCCCATCGCAGGAATTCTATATACTGCACGCTGATCTCGGCTTCCATTCGCAGCCGTTGACTAATCAGAGTACGCTTTGCGCCAGTCGCTTGATGCATCTTTCCGACGATGACAAGTCGTATCTGGGCCAATAATATATTTCTGTGTACTATAAAAACCAGCCAACAACCTGCAATTTGCTCATGACCATCGCAATCAAAGTCCGGAGAGCTCAGCTTTTCTGTTGTTATTGTGTAATCCTCTAATTTAAAACACCGATAGGCAGCCGGTGACTCTGTCTGTTGATCGTGCTCGAGGGTTTGGCAACAGTCTTCGTGTTATTGCACAACCTCATGGGAGAGATCGTAGTGTGACGCTATTCTGCGCAAAGCAGTGATTATGTCGCCAAGTAGGTGGAAAGAATCCTAGATAATGGCGGACGGGTAACACTCGGAGGGAAGCCTTGAATCTTGTCTCGGGCATGCGGGGAACTCTGGAAACAGTGTTAAGAGTATCAAGGCTTGGGTAGACACTTCAAAAGACTAATTTAGGCAAAGAGTGATGGTTGATGTTTGACAGATCGAGGGCATCATACGGGCCCGGGCATGCCAGGCAAATCCCCAAAAGCACGTCATTGTCTTGGCGAGCCTCGTCTAGCGGGCGTCTGCGAGCATCACTCAACACCAATGCGATGACTCCCCACAATGTGATCGAGACGCCAGACTTCCTGCGACGCAGGCTCTACTCTTCCCTACGAATACACATACGATATCGCGAATATGGATACCTATGGATCTACCAATGGATCGAGGAAGTACAGTAGGTGCACTTTAAACTTTTTTTTGCCGTCGCAAGCATTTCGGACAGGCAAAGCAAGAACGGCTGGTTGCTGTAATCTGCTATGCGAAATTTTGAAGAAATTCAGACGAGTTTCCTTGATGCGTTCTGACCGTGCAAGATCCAAACTGACATGCGGTAGGGACGGTGTCGTCGCAACCCGAGAATCCGTTCGCCAAACTTATCCCCGACCAGACGTTTGCCGTCATACCCCAAGTCGCGCTCGAATCCGGCGTCGTCTTACACAATGTCAGCGTTGCCTACAAGACCTACGGTACCCTCGCGCCCAGCGGAGACAATGCCATGGTAATATGCCATGCGCTCACGGGAAGCGCTGACGTGGGAGACTGGTGGGGACCGTTGCTAGGTGGGCCTGGGAAGGCTTTCGATATATCGCGCTTCTTCGTGGTCTGTATGAATAGTCTCGGCAGTCCCTACGGGAGCGCAAGCCCGGTCACAGCAAAAGACGGCGACGTCTCGCTGGGCCCATACGGACCTGAGTTTCCACTGACAACCGTAAGAGACGATGTCAAGTTAGTCGAGCAAACTCTGGAATTTGTACTGGGAAGCCGCTAACGGGCACAGTATCTTCAAGCTTCTCTTGGATGATCTTGGTGTGAAGCAAGTCGCTGCGGTCATTGGAGGATCTATGGGCGGTATGCTTGTCCTCGAGTTTGCCTACTTCGGAAAAGACTACGTCAAGACCATCATCCCGATAGCCACTTCCGCTCGCTACAGCGCATGGGGCATCAGCTGGGGCGAAGCCCAACGGCAAAGTATCTACAGCGACCCCAAATACGACGACGGCTATTACGCATATGAAGATCCTCCATCGACCGGGCTTGGAGCCGCACGCATGTCTGCTTTATTGACTTACAGAAGCCGCGACTCGTTTGAATCAAGGTTTGGACGCAACACACCAGACCTATCCAAGAAACAGAGCATCAACACTGTACCGCGACCGACCACTCCGTCGAATCCCTCCCACGAACACTGGGCGATACACAACCACGGTCACAAGAACGCTGGCTCCCCGCGTCTCATGTCGCGGACAAACAGTAGTACCGCCATACCCGGTTCTGCAGCCGCACATGCCGACCTCGAATTCCATGATGCATCGGACCCAGCCACTCCGAACCTCGAAAGGTCAAGTTCAACAAGTAGCAACAGTCAATTCCCGCGCTCATCGAAGCCTCTAGCGCCGCACTACTTCTCAGCACAGTCCTACCTCCGTTACCAGGCCGACAAGTTCATCAAGCGTTTTGACGCTAATTGTTACATCGCAATTACAAGAAAGCTGGATACGCACGATGTATCCCGCTACCGCTATCCTGAAGGCGAGACACCCGACACACTAGATCCAGTATCGGCCCTTCATCATGCGCTTTCCTTGATTGAACAGCCTACACTTGTACTAGGTATACAATCGGACGGTCTCTTCACATTTGCCGAACAGAAGGAATTGGCCGCGTGTATTCCCAAGGCTACTCTTAAGACCATCGATTCTCCAGACGGTCACGACGCCTTCCTCCTGGAATTTGAGCAGGTAAACAAACACTTACTAGGCTTCCTCAAGACCGAGCTTCCGGAGATCATGAATAAAACACCAAATGTAGAGACCGCAACAAGCGATTCTGGTATGGCTGCCACCAAAACCAGCACGTTTGGTGAGGCTGAGGTCGACGATATCACGGCATGGTAAGAACAATGGGAGCATTGAATTTGGCACGGCGTTCTGGGTTCAGAGGACAACTGCACTAGTCGGCGTACAGATTTCGGTATAGGCTTGAAAGAAGGCTGCGTGATTCTGATACGCCCTGGAGCGTCTGGAGCTGAGGTTCAACCCCTCGTAGACACCAAGTACTGCAGCATGAGAGCAGCAACAACAACCCAATAATTCTCTCCTCGTAGTTTTCCCGAATCTTTCAACTCCGTCACAAAAGGCTCGCTCATGTCCAACTTATCTCATGTCTGTACCCCGCCTTGCACGCTAAGCTTTAGTCATCTCCGCACGTCCACAGTCTCGCGTGCCCCTCATCCTCGGTTCGTATACACAGCGGATACTCCCCGCAGATCTTGACACGAACGTGCTTTATCCGATCTGGTCTCCCGAGTTGCAGTGCCGTAGGATCACGAGGGCTTCGGTGACGATTCACGGTAAGTTGTAAACGCAACGTCTTGACAATGGTAGAGGGGTTCTCTGTGTACCAAATTTGATATGCCAAAGGCCAAGAACAGGGTCCGTTAAGTTCGACCCCCGCACATAGGACAGTGAGTGCCGGGCGTCCGTGATGATACATATATAGGTGTATTTGGAGTGACTCGGTGTTCCTCATTCAGCCATATTCCCTTTCTTCACATCGTCCCGAATACAGTAACATTATGCAACTCCCCAAAACACAAAAGGCGGCCATCAAACAAGGCACCGGCGACAACGCTAGGATTACCATCAAGGAGATTCCTGTCCCAGAGCCAGCTGCCGACCAGATTCTCGTCAAGATAAATTATAGTGGCCTCTGTGCCTCGGACAAGTCCCTGCTCCATGATGAGTGGGACTTCAAGATGGCCGAATGCACCGAAGGCATCGCAGGGCATGAGGGCGCTGGCATCGTTGTAGCCGTTGGCGCAAACGTGCAAGATCTCTGGCAGATCGGTAATCGCGCTGGTATCAAATGGATTGCGTCTGTATGCCGACGATGCGAGTTTTGTACTAACGGCCAAGATGAATGTCATTGTCCGAAGCAGCTGAACAGCGGATTTACTATTGCGGGAACGTTTCAGGAGTATTGCTTAACGGATGCGAGGTATGCGACGAGATTGCCTGATGGTGTCAAAGACGAGGAGGCGGGCCCGATCATGTGCGGCGGCGTTACGGCGTATGTTGCCTGCAAGAGAAGTAAGGTACTCCCCGGACAATGGATTGTCATTCCGGGAGCAGGTGGAGGTGAGTATACCCATGACGCTTTCGCGTCCTCTTCCATCTTTCGCAGCGACGAAGATGAAATCGTCATACAACATGATACTAATACCACCCAGGCCTCGGTCATTTTGGTGTTCAATACGCTCGCCATATGGGTATGCGCGTTATTGCAATCGACGGCGGCGACGCCAAACGCGATCTCTGCCTCTCTCTCGGTGCCGAGAGGTTTATCGACTTCACTACATGCTCGGACATCACTTCCGAGATCATGAAGATTACTACTTATGGCGCCCACGGTGTCATCGTCTTCGCAGCAACAAAAGCAGGCTACGAACAAGCGCCACATCTGCTGAGACCAAACGGCACGATGGTGTGTGTAGGTCTACCGAAAGATTCGTCGATCATTGCGGGAGCTAGTCCAATCCTGATGTGCCTCAAGAGATTGAATGTTGTGGGAAGTGTGACGGGAACGCTGAAGGACGTTGAGGAGGTAAGTGTATTTCTCGCGAGTTAGCCAGGGAGACTGCTACTAACTGGACGGGTAGGCACTCGACTTTACTTCGCGAGGACTGGTACATCCGATTCTGACGCATGGTGGTTTAGAGGATATTGATCGGTTTTGTGCGGATATGAATGCAGGGAAGCTTGCTGGTCGGGCTGTTATCAGGATCACTGCGTAGATGGGTACAGTCCGTGATACTCTACATCAAGAAAAGACTTGATAACGTTATCCTACACTCAAGATAGATTTGCGCCAAACTCTACGTGAAGCAAATCAGAGGCGAATGAAGTTTCTGCTTTTCTTGACCCCCTCCTTCGTTATGATGCGATTGAATGCGTCGCTAAGAGATTTTCGAGCGACTGTGGTTTACGATGTGCTCATCTTAACTTGTCTCGTGCAAATACTAGTCAGCGCTCTTTGGGGGACTACATCGGGGAACAACAGGCCCACTTGAGTGTAGCTCTAGATCTGCCATCGAAGAATAGAGTAACCAGTCACGGATGTATTAAATGTAAGGTGATCGATGATGACTGTATGGAGAGGATCATAGGTTTCAGATCAAGACCGGGACACTAGACGGAGTTGTCGAGAAAACGGTGCCAGTTGCCACGAAAATGCCGGATACGAGTGTGTGAGGCACACACAGAGTGCATCACTGCAGATATCCGCTATGCGAAGTGTCATTATCCTAGGGCTAATTTCAGATTGCGATAGGCGTCTGGCTCTTCACCAAACGCGAACCGTACCACAGAAGTTGTTTATCGAAATGTCTTTGGCGCAGCGCAAGCAGGATTGCCTCATAGGTTACGCGAAAGTGACGGAAAGATGACGTGGAAAGACAGAAAGACGATGCTCGAAAAGAAGCGGCAAAGAAGAAAGTAAGATAGTCGAGCAGGAAGAAGGTGTTGGCGAAACCTGGAGTCGGACAGGAGGGTGCGACCTAAGCGTGTCGGTTACTATAGGCCAAAAGGCGAGCCTGTCTGAGGAACGGAGGACAAAGATAAGCGGCGAACGCGTGCCGCCTGCGCCAGCGTACCGCGAACCTGAGCCGTGGGATTGCAGTTAGCTGATGACCGAGACGCCGGACGGGAAGACATCCAAGGTTGCACACACGAAGACTTGTTGTGACTGCGCATGGCGAATTAGCCTTTCGCGACCTTAGGGCAAGAAGCCGTCATGTGTCGAAGCCAAGAAAAAGTCGACCTAGGGCGAGGCCTGACTCAGCCGAAGTGGCTCGGTTTGCGTTAGCAGGGGGAGGAGCGTGTCATGGTGGTGGAGCCGAGTTCGTCTGCGTGGTGTGGGAGCATCCAAAAAAGCGATGGTGTTGTGACTCTAGGCTCGGTCAGAGGTGCGCGAGATTCTCAGCTGAAGCAAAAAGCACGCAAGGTGGAGTGGAGTGCGGCGGCACCGTGGCAGTGGCATGCGGACGACGGATCGCTTGCAGAGGTGCAGGGCTCGACTTGGCTCAAAGGGGCGGGTGGGCCTGTTTCTAGGTCCTGTTAGCGGGATCTGGAACGTGTTCGGGCCTTGAGGAGATATCCTTGCATGGCACCAACAACTGCAGGGCAGCTGATAGCAACAAGTGATGCTGCTTAACTCTATCATGCCACCGCGCCGCTGACACTCGCTAGGGTTGCCTCGCCGTGCAGTCATCTTCTCCGTCAGCTTCCATTCGCACTGCACTGCACTGTCATTCTCTCCGTCAGACTTGTGTCGCATCTTCCTCGGTCGCATACGACGCGCCCCGTCCGCACTTCATTTCACAGCCGGAGCACCCCTGTCGTAGCTTCCAGATATACCCAACGCGCCTGCCACTGCTTCTTTCGCTTCTGTAGCTCCTGTGGCGTCATCTCTACAGCGACACAGGGCTTTGTCCGTTTGCTCGATTTACTTTTTCCTGGCGAGAACAAATCACTGTGACACACCGAGTCCGGGGATACCGTCGTCAAACCACTACCGCAAGCCACCCGTTCATGGCGCCTTCTCCTCGATAGGTCCATGAGCTGCTTTCGCACCACGCGCCGCTTCCAAATACAGCGTCAATACATACACTAAAGTCCTGCCTTGACCTCGGCCTAGAGCTCTGCAGGACCTTGCGGCCATTTACTCTCCAACGCACCGCCCTGCTCCATGGACTCGACCACTGAAGCCATGTCTCAAACACGTGCACCGCGACCTCGCTCGACAAACCCTTCGCCGGCCACGTCAACATATGGATACCACAACACCTACCACACTCACGCCCAACTACCCATCGGGTCGCCGCCCTCGTATGCTTGCGCAACCGATCCTCAGACCCGTCGCGTCCTAGACGAAAGGACAAGGAGAGAGAAAGAGGCTGTGCGCAGTACTCAGTCACCTCCGCCCTATACCTGCACCGTCGAGATAGAAGGAGTTGTTGGCATCAAGCAGGAACTATCCTCGCCATTCCAGGTCTCGGGACATCGCGAATGGCACGATGTCTACGCCATACTTCGAGGCACGCAGTTGAGCATACATCGCATAAAGTACCCGGGTCTCCTCAGCAAAAACAAAGAGCCATGTCCCGGCCGCTTGTTGCGAACCTATTCCTTGCAGCATGCTGAAGTTGGCGTGGCATCTGATTTCAAGAAGACGTCGTTGATACCAAAGTCTCCTTTCGCCCACCTGGTGCCCGCTGTCGCTCGGCCTAAACTGTACGAAACGGATCCACAGCTTTTCGAGCCTGTGCGGGAACATGCCATCCGCCTGCGCCTGGAGTTTGAACAGTTCTTGCTGTGTCCGTCGACTGAGCAAGGCATGCTCAACTGGGTGGAATTGTTTTGCGCCGCCATCGACATCAGTGCACCCCTAGAAGATCGCAGCGAGCCCCGCTACAGAAGTCTTCCTCGAAGAGGCAGGCGTCAACGCATTTTGGACAGCGCGCAGTTCGGAGAAAACCTGGAGAGTCTGACAAGTCTAGAAGCCGGCCGACGCATCATTGCACAGCAGGAGCAGATTATCCGTCAACTTTACCCACATCTGGCTGGCACCCGCGATTCGGGCATCAGCCACGCAGCGCCCGCGCCAGACCTAGAACTCGACGACTTCGACCCCGAAGACGTTCGTTTCCCAACGCGGCATGCGAGAGATTCTCTAGCACGCATCTCTTCGCACGACTACGAGCAAGGCGATGACGAGCGTCCTGAGAGTGGCTCATCGTCAGATCCCAAATCAGCACCGGCGATCCGACCTTGCTCTGCGCAGACCCTGCGTTATCGCCGCCGTTGCGCTCCAGTGTTGCTTGCTTCTTCTCCACGTGTCAGCGACGTAGTTTTTGGAAAAGGTCAACGCTTCCGCATTAGCGTCAAGGCGCACATGCTCGTCGACTATACCCCGCACCCACCCCGTTACGACGTGCATGGTTTCGCGAGATCCAAACGCTCTGCAAGGTTTACAACGATCCACAGCTCACCAACAGCCGCTGCAGACAAAACTGAATCCGCTGCTGCCTCGTCAGAGAGACCCAGCTCGCCTATTCGTGGTGTCAGTGATGATTCCATAACCTCAATCACTTTCGGCGAAGACCTAGGCCCTATGCGCTCCAAGTCAAACAGCGATGCTACAGGCCCATCAGGTCCACCATCGCCGTCTGGCATGTCGCAAACAAAGATGGATACAGCGCGTCAACTGGAGACGTTAGGAAAGCGACGACCGAGCGAGGACAGTCGTGAGACAGGCCTGAGTGCCGTCACAATTGGTGCCGGCTTGATGATATGAGCATCCATCATACATTTCGTCTACACATACTCTCTTATGTCTTGCTGCATCATTGGGCGTCAACCGAGTGTACATCTCGACTTACAGGGACCACTACTTTTCTTTTTTTCAGCATTTGCACCGGTGTCACAAGCCGGAAGGAGGATATACCCATTTTACTTTGTATGGCATATAACGAGAGCGTTTGCGTTGGGTCAGCAGTCGTAGTCGACGGCAGCGGGTCGTCTGTATATAGGCCATGTTGACATCAATCAAATTCATCTATAGAAATGACCCGTGCATGTAATCTTTCCATAGCTCGACCTCTCAAGCAACGTCGCGATGCTGGCACGTCTAAAACTTGACATAGCCCTTGTCCTTGACAAACGTAGCCAACCACGGTACATCCCTTTCCTGCTGCACCAACTGCGCATAAAACGCGCCATGCGCAGGGCCATCCACACCGTTTAGCATGGGCTCACCATCTGCAAATGTAAAGTTATGAAGTCAGTGTACCTCTCATATGCAGTTTGTATAGTCATTTTCTTACCATGCTGTCGTTGATCTGCATAGAAGAACCTATATCCCGATATTAGCAGAACGTCCTATATCTAACCCAGACGTTGACAGCAAGAGAAGTTCTTGCGTAGAGAGAAAAAAACAAACTCACCGATACCCCTTCTCCTTGTATAAAGCATCTGCCATGCCAACCCAATGCGCACTCGCGCTCTTTCCCACACCCAGTGTCAAGAACAGCGGGACAGGCGCAATGGTCTGATTCAGCATATTGCCTGTGTAGATAAACGTCTTCTGACCCCCTACATGCTCCTCTCCCATGCTTTCCCAGCTCTTGACCGCTTCCTGCGCTGCTACATACGGACTCACGGTATTGACATTCAGGTCTTTTGCAAATTGTTCCGGGGGTATGGATAGCACGCTCTCTTCCGCAGGAGGAGGCGTCAGCGCGGCGGCGTTCCAAACCACAACGCTGGGCGATGTACCATACTCTTTAAGCACGAGCGAGAAAAGATTGGGGATGGATGTTGGCGCTGTGAAATCGGCTTTCAGGGTGAGGATACCCGTGTCGGGGTTGATGCTGTTGGTGCCGGATCGGGAGGCAGTTGCAACGCGGTAATTCAGGGTGGTGAATGAGGTGCTTATGGCTAAGCCTACATTGGGGCCTGCGCCGAGAATGAGGGCGACGGGTTTGGTGGACATGATGTTGGATTGATGCTGCCCAGGTGCGTGGGGCGGTACAGTAAGACAAGAGAAGAATGGAGCCAAGATACAGAAACGGTTGGTGGTCCTATTGAAGATGCATGTGCTTTCCGTCGATACTTATATGCAGTAGGACGAACAATCACGCAACCTCCCATACATCCGCCAGCTTCCAGAGTCCAATCGCATTTGTAATATGTGCTGCATACCTGCATGTCAGCACAATCACCCCGGACTTTACTTTCATACATCCTCGCTCTTTGCCAGTCGTTAAGTAGGTGAGAAGCCAAGAGGACGAATCCAGAAGGAGGAACGTCGGGAACGTGCATGAGAAGTTACAAATAGGACGTAATCGGTGCCAAGCGAAGACTTACCAATCAATATGGCTTGGCGAATCGGAATGTTTGGCCGCTTGGTAGGTTGAAATGCAACGGAAATGTGCCGTGCAGCAAGCAAAATGGAAGGAGACTTAACCTGAGCGTCAATTCTCTGAATCCGCGGAATCGGCCATATCGTACAATACACCACTCATACCTATAGTCGCCATTCATACGTCATCCAAGTCATAAGCATCGTGCTCAACCCTCTGCTTCCTCCCTTTCCTTCCCTTGCTACCCCGAATTTTCCGATCCGCGGTATACCGTCCATCGCGGTCACCAACCAACAACCTCCCTCCCTTGCCAAGCACCTTTGCGGGACCTTCCTCGACAGTCCTTCCATCTTTCTCACCAACACCTATTTCAATAGTGACTTGTTTTGCCTTCTTGACTTTCCTGCCCTTTTTGTCGAATTCGTCGGTTGGACGGCCGAGACGTACGTTACGTGGTATCCGCGTCTTTGCGCCGAGGGCCCAGAGGTCACCCCAGCGGACTTTTCGCGCGTCGCGGTAAGCTTGCTTGCTGAAGGAGCGTGGGACGGTCCAGCGTTCTAGCGTGCCAGCAGGTGTGCACACATCTAGGATGATGTGGCCTCTGCGCTTGAGTGCGGGGAGCACAAGACGTGGGAAGGTGAGTGGGTTCACGTCGGCAGATGAGGCCATGACGGGCTCTTCGGTTTCTGGGTCTGATGATGCGTGCCATTCGTGCCCTTCAAAAGCCGCGGCGGTTGATGCTTCACCTTGCACAAACCCTTTGCCGAGGATGTCATATCGCGGAAGGCGCTGATCGCGTCCACGCTGAACGGCTAGGTAGCTGAACTGCACATCCTCATGGTTTTTGTCTTTTGCATTCAAGATACGTTGAAGGTATGGAGGGCGGATGTATCGCTGATTGAAGAAACAAAAGTCCTTCCTTCCTTGGCTCACACCTGTAGACTGGTACATCGGGCACGTGCTGTGATTTGTGCATGGTGCAACGATCATTCCCGTCTCCTTCTCAGCGAATCTAGTATCTTCGTTTGGGTTTGACACCTGGGATTCGAGTAGCGTTTCGATAGTTTCTGAGCCGGGAGAAGATATGTGTTTGTTTAGAAGGTATGAACGGGCAGCGGCTACAACTTCGAAGCCTCGTGGTAGGCCTTTCTCGATGAGAATCAGAACACCACCCTTGGGGTTCAGAAGAGACCAGTATTTTTCGACTTGCTCTCTGCGAAGATAGTCTTGTCGGATAGGCCAAAGTGTATGTGGCGCAATGATCACGTCATAGAACTTGCGCGGTTGCTGCGTGTTTCCCTCGTCAGCCGCTGTCACAGTCTCTGGCAGTCGCGGGATAAATGTTGTGTTGTCCAGCAACTTGCTTGCACGGTGGCGCAGTGCATCAGATGCGGTCAAGACAGTCGCCTTTCCCAACGGGGTAGCACCAAGCGACGTGTTTCCCGACTCCTCGTGCATACGTTGCCATTCGGCCTCTAGCATCTCGTGCCATGCGAGCACACCGACACCACCAGAGCCAGCGTCTAGTATGGTGCCGCCCTTTTTGTCCTGCAGCATGTGTTGCAGCCATCCTGAGCCTAACCGGCGACGCACTTCAACCATGGCGCTCATGACACTTGCGTATGTACCTGGCTGTACAGAAGCCATGTAAATATCAGCCTCGATGTTGCCCATATCTGACTGCGAAGGGTCGAGCGGAATTGGTTTCTGTTCGTGGCCCAAGCGTGCGGGGGTCGTGCTGGCGGAGTGAGGCAAACCACGACCGCCAAAGATACGGTTCGCAGACTCGGCGAGGTGTTTGTGGTTGGCGCGCGTCAGGAGCAGCGCGGTAGGGTCGACGAGCGAGTCCTTGGGCAGGAAGACGGTCGAAGGCGATGGCTTGAAGCGGCCCGCGATGGTCAATGGATGTGCGCGCATGAAGCCGTCTTCCTCTTGCACTTCATCTACGTCCTCCCAGGCCTCTGCTTCCTCTTGTTGCAGTCGACTCTGCTCGTAGACGTCGTCGTGGTATGCCTGCGCCTCTTCCTCCCTGCGCGCTTCCCACTCTTCGGGTGTCATTGTCTCTTGGTCCGGCTCAGCAGCTGCTTCGTTTTCGGCATCGACCTCTTCCACGACTTCAATCTCTTCGAGTTGGCCGTCCACCCCCTTCCTCAGCAAGACGATCGAGCCATCGGGTCCCTCTTGCTCGACAATCTCGTCGTCAACTGCAGCGTCAACGCGTTCCGTCTCTTCGGCAGCATCTGCAAAGACGGCTGGGCCATACAGCCTCTTGTATATCGTGTACTCGTCGTCGGTCAAGTGGTCCCGCGGCAACGTATCGCCGAACTGCTGCCTCGCTCTCCGCGCGTTGACTTCGTGGCTAACCGCCTCGGCTGCCGAGGGGGGCACGTCTTCAGTATTTCGTGGGGCATGTTGCTGCAATTGCCGTCTTCCAAAGGCTGTAGAGAAGGCTCTTCGTGGCGTTGTAGGCTCTGAGGCGACCAAGCGTAGCTGCTGCGGCGCGTGCCGTGTCTGAGACGGTAATCTTGCGCTACGCGCCCGTGAAATGGCAAAGTTTAGTCGGCACGATGCACATACTGACGGTAAGCCTCTCGTCTTCAGCATCATAGAACGCCGACCTTGATATTGTCGAACAATGCATTCTCGCCGCCCGAGGCAAAGTTCGCCGCATCTTGAATCCAGGGTCCACGCGCTAAGCCCTGCCCAATCCAAATGCCTGCCGACATGTTTACTCAGCCTGCGCCCCGCTAGAGATGGCTCCCACCAACTGTACAACATCGTTTAGTTGTTTCGAAACTATCAAAATGGGCCTGGGGTCTGGAGACTTTGACTATCCGTCGCTGAAAAAGCTACTCGACAACACGACTGCTGAAGTCCTATTTCCGGGCGATGGTGAAGAGTACGAAAAGAGCATTGAGAGGTGGAGTGAGCACTGCATAAAACGAGCTGTACGTTTCCCTAGTTCTGCCTTTCTATAGAAAAACTTTTACATCATGTTCACGCACTTATACGAGCAAAGGCTGCTGTAGTCCTAGTTCGGTCCGCCCATGACGTCTCCGCGACTTTAGCTCAAATACGGGAGCACAGAATCCCCTTCACAGTCCGTGGTAAGCACATTAGAGTATAGCCAATTTACATGTGAGAGAGACTCACTTTATGTAGGGGGAGGCCACAGCACGTCTGGGGCTGCGTCTATCCAAGATGGCATCGTCATCGATCTTTCCAAGATGCGCAAGGTGATTGTCGATGTGGATGCCAAAACAATCAAGGCAGACGGTGGGACTATCTGGGAAGATGTCGACGTTGAGGCTGCCAAGTTTGGTCTTGCAACTGTAGGTGGCACCGTCAACCATACCGGCGTGGGGGGCTTGACTCTAGGAGGAGGCTATGGTTACCTTACAGGAAAGTACGGCTTGACGATTGGTATGTGCATGTATCAGTATCAACAAGTATTAAAGAAGCTTGCCTTACTGACATCTTGTAGACAATCTATTATCCGTTGACATTGTCCTCGCTTCTGGTGAACAAGTTGTCGCGTCAGCGAACTCAAACCCCGACCTATACTGGGCTGTGCGAGGCGCAGGTCAGAATTTTGGAGTAGTGACGGCATTCACATTCCAGGTTCATCAACAGAGGAGCCATGTGTTTGCGGGGCCGCTGGTTTTCCTCCCGGATAAGCTACCACAGGTCGTTCAGTTTGCAAATAAGTTTCATGCTACCAACGACGGCAACCAAGCATTACTCATGGGCTTCTCTGCCCCACCACCCGCGAATACTCCGGTCATAATCTGCCAGATCTTTCACAATGGCAGTGAAGAAGAAGGAAACGCCTTCTTTACCGACTTATTCGAACTCGGCCCAATAGCGAACATGACCGCCATGATCCCCTATCCTCAACTGAACAGCCTTCTTAATCAAGGAGCCGGCTTTGACGGACGTAAGCTTTTCGGTGGTGGCGCTTTCAGACTCCCCATGGACCCAAACTTCGCTATGCAGCTTCACGCTGAGTTCAACGCTTTTGTGGCGTCGCATGAGCGAATGAACGAAAGCATGATGCTTTTCGAAGCCGTTCCTTATAAGAAGGTCATGGAGATTTCCAACGACAAGACGGCTTTCTCGAATCGTGGTGATTATTATAATGTGGCTGTGATGATGAAATGGTAAGCCGAATCAGCAACACAGAGGAGTTGATATTAAAGAGAGCGCAGGTTCGATCCTTCACTCGACGACAAAATTCGTACGTTCTCACGAAACCTTCTCAGGAAGGCCTCAGAAACTGCCTCGGAACGGTCAAAGGATGGTGGTGTAGGTCAGTACGGCAATTATGCAACTGCCGATGTTGAGGCGAACGAGATCTTCGGCGCAAACGTGAAGCGGCTCGAGGAACTTAAGCACCAGTACGACCCCGATAACCTGTTCAGCCATGGCACAAAATTGACTCCGCGTCCCCTGGTAGTGGTGAATTGAGAACTCGCATCGTATGCGCATATGTACGACATAGCATGGAATGTATTGGATCAGATGTGTACAAAATTCAGTCTCCGGCTCACTACTGTCTATTTACCACGATGAGGCTTTGTTTACCGACGGCCCAGAACATACTTTTGTGTACTTTGCGGGCGTACAGAACTTTTCTTCGTCTCGGCTCGAGGTCGGAGTTACCACATCGGATATATATCTACACGACGCGACAGTAGCGCCGGAAATCAGCAACCCCTGACGTCACCCCATACCACCGACCTCTACAATATTACCAAGCTTCTACGCCACACCCAGATAACCCTGTATGACTAACAGTATCCACTCCTTTTCAGTCTACACTCGGGAAATAATGTCCACCGATGCACCGATGGCATTTGAATCAAAGGACTAACGTTGTGGGGCACGCGGTCCACGGAGATTCGTCCTACGCGTGCTTAAAACCGAGCGTGCAGAGTCGATCACAATGGTGAAGCTCGCCGCATACAAGACCTCTATCTATTCACTTTCCGGGCTTGAACGCCGGCATAGCGATATCGTTTCGCTCACCATAACTTTTTAGAAACACAGACGAGTTATATTTATGTACATGGAAATTCACGCCCTACATTAGTAATTACATTCTGCTACACGTATTCGACAGCAAACCCAGTCTTTGTGCACGCCACTTCCTAGTCTCACGTTGCCATGGAAAGCGCAAGACGACCACGAGCTCAAAGGTCATCCAGGAGCCGATCAGTATCCCGACAACGGCGACTCGACAACGCGCCATTACACCGTATCTTGTCCAGTCAATTCCCAGACGATCATTCGGTTTATCACCATGAAGATGGCGAGGGGACTCATGTCAACGATGACGCCAGTTCATTGCACAAGACTGAGACTGAAAGGCGAGACGAGAACTCGTCCAGTGACGATGGCGACGGCGACAGTGGCGATGACAGAGGTGGGAAAGAAGTAAAAGACGATACCGCTCAAGAGGAAGATACGACTTACGAGGAGATAAGGGGTGGTATTCCATACGAGCATGATGTGGTGGCACCATCGCCTTTAGAAAAGCAAAAGTCTACGCGGTCCGTCAAAGACCCAAATTTGGTATAGTCTACCTAACAAATATTGACTGCTACTGTAATATCTGACATACATAAGGTCACATGGGATTCAGAGTTCGACCCACATAATCCAAAGAATTGTAGGTTTGGTTTCCCCAACTACGCACAGATAAGTTGTAGTCTAACAGCTGGTAGGGTCCATGAAGCGGAAATGGGCAGCAACTATTATTGTCTCTTCTTTTACCCTTGTCTCGCCAATATCCTCGTCCATGATTTCGCCAGCTCTGAGCAGCATCAGTGCCGAATTCGGTATCACAAATGAAGTCGAAGCCCAGCTTACCTTATCCATCTTCGTTCTGGCGTATGCAATTGGACCGCTGTTCCTAGGCCCACTATCGGAGATTTATGGACGAGTCATCGTATTGCAGCTGTCAAACTTGTTCTACTTGGCTTGGAATCTGGGATGTGGATTTGCTCAAACATCTGGGCAGCTCATGGCATTCCGGTTCTTCAGTGGTTTAGGCGGATCTGCACCATTAGCTATTGGTGGTGTATGTACTCTCTTCCCGAAAAATGCCGTTGGAAAATAAAACACTAATTGACTTACTAGGGCGTTCTCAGCGATTGTTTCCTTCCTGAGCAGCGTGGCCGAGCCATAGCAATCTATTCATTGGCTCCATTATTGGGCCCAGCTATCGGGCCTATTGCCGGTGGATTCATCTCTCAAAACACGACTTGGAGATGGTGTTTCTACGCCACCACGATCTTCACAGCAATAGTGCAATGTTTCGGCTTCTTCTTTCTGCAGGAAACATACGCACCAAAGCTCCTTGAGTGGAAGCGAAACAAATTACGTAAAGAGACAAGCAACGAGGAACTACACACTGAGTTCGACCATCCTGATCGCACACTTGCAACGACCATTAAAATCGCTATGAGAAGGCCGTTCAAGCTACTCATCACCCAGCCCATTGTGCAAGTTTTAGCTTGCTACATGGCTTACCTATATGGCCTCATGTATCTGATGCTGTCGACATTCCCTAGCCTATGGGTCACACGTTACGGTATGACTATAGGGATTGGTTCTTTGAACTTCATCTCCATGGGCATTGGCTTCTTCCTCGGCACACAGATCACCGCACCCCTTAATGACGCCCTCTACCGCCGCCTTAAGAAACGCAACAACGGCATCGGTAAACCAGAGTTTCGCATTCCAATCATGATTCCCGCGTCTCTTCTCGTTCCAATCGGTCTGTTTTGGTATGGTTGGAGTGCACAAGCGCAGGTACATTGGATCATGCCTAATATCGGTGCTGCGATATTTTGCGCGGGTGTTATTGTGGGGTTTCAGTGTATACAGACTTATCTTGTTGACAGTTATACACGGTACGCTGCGAGTGCTATCGCGGCGGCGACGGTGCTCAGGTCGTTGGCTGGGTTTGGATTTCCGTTGTTTGCACCGGCTATGTATGACAAGCTGGATTTTGGATGGGGAAATAGCGTGCTGGGCTTTATTGCCTTGGCTTTGGGTGTCCCAGCGCCGTTTATGCTATGGAAGTTTGGGGAGAAGTTAAGGAGTAGTAGCAAGTTTGCCGCGGGCTGAAGGTGTCGCAGAAGCGTCAATACCCGCCTCGTAATGTGGAAAGCAACGCGCGGGGACTTCATATTGCGAAATTAGATTACACGAGAGGGCTAATCAAGGTGGATTACTTGAAAGCATACTAGATTAGCCGCACGCTGTCAGTCGTGACTTGAGTTCGTCATTTTTAAACATGTTCTTCGTAAAACACAGGTCGTAAGCGACAAATTGTCTCTATCATTTCGCCCTTTGTCCACAGCCTAGCTATGTAGAGCTGTTTTTTCAGCTGGTACTCAAAGTATGTCTGACGCGATGGCCGATAACGCCAACTGCGTGTTCATCTCGTCAGTTTCGAAATGCAGCGATATATTAAGCCAGCTTCGTCAGTTCCACCTCTCAGTCTTCCGAATCGTATCCTGCAGTACAGCAATGAGAGCATCCGTAACTATATCCAATATTGACATGTAAAGAAAGCATTGCAAGATGGCGGCTGCAGCTTTTGTTGTCACCCTGAGCATCTTTGAGGTGTCGGCGATACACCAGACAACATTTCCAGCGAAGGATCTCAAAGCTATCGCAATCATCCCGCATACCAAAGCGCGCTTTCAGTGACCAGCCCAAACCAAGACCAGGCTCCAGTCTGATTCAAGATCGCATTCTCCTCTTGGTTGAGGTGTCACCGGTTTTTGGTGAACATGACGAGCTACCTAGATAGTGAGGGGGTGTGCGATCGGGACCGTGCCCTAGCAACCCGCGAACTTCCCCGCATAAACACACTTTTGCTCGACCAGTACTTGCGCCGCAGAGGCCATTATCCTAACAACCCTTCGCGTCGCGCCCTCAGAATCTCTACATAATACCGAAATGTCCGACGAAGATCTCGAGCAGATAAGACGCGCGCGCCTGCAGCAGTTACAACAACAAGGCGGGGGCAGCGGAGGACAAGGAGGCGAGGGCGCCGAGCAAGATTCGCGAAAGTAAATACAATTATACACGAAGATCAAGTTCTTTTACTAAGGCAAAATCATAGACAGCAAGAGGGTACGTTGTCAGCACCTCTCCCGGCGCACACATGCATCACTTGACAACACACTCCCCCTTCGCCCACTCGTCCAAACCCCGCCGTCCACTAGCAACTACGGGCTAACCCTTCCCATCAGCCGACCAGCGTTCCTCCATCCTCTCACAAATCCTTCTCCCCGAAGCAGCCGACCGTCTAGGCCGTATCCGCCTTGTCAAGGAATCGCGCGCAACCGACATCGAGAACAGACTTATAATGCTTGCGCGGACAGGCCAATTACGACAGAAGGTTACAGAAGAGCAGCTCAAAGAGATACTGGGGGCTGTAGCAGAGCAACAGGAGAAGGAAGAGCAGAAAATCGTTGTCAACAGGAGGGGAGGGAACTGGGACGATGATGATGAGCTCGAGGAACTCATGAAGGATGTATAGGGAAGCGAGGATAAGTAAAAGGAGAGAGACACAGATGCTGGGTGTTGCATGAGGCGGTGCTTCCGGGACAGGCAAGGCAAGTAGTCTCGCGCATGAAAACTAAGGTACGACTTCTCACTGCAACTTCACGACGTGCATGAAATTGTATATAATTTGTGACTATTATTTATCCGCCGGTAGCTGTTCAGTACACGCTTCTTAGTGCTCAATCATGACGAATGATAACCTGTGGATCAGTGAAGAAGCAAGCACAAGAGAAGAACAATATCAAATGGGCCGTTCGATAAAATTGCAGCTGCAAATTGGAGTCGTAACACCATCCGCTTGGTGCGCAGTTGAAGAGAGGGTCCGGACGAAGTGAGGCTATAGATGCTGCGTAAAGATCCAAACAATGTTTTGATGTTAGGTAAGCGTGGCTTTCTACCGGTACACCATCTTCCGAGTGTTATCTGAGGTATATTTGAGCGAGCTAACCTGTCGCAAAGGCCATGATGAGCGTTTGCATGTAACCCCAGAATGAACGTATCGGATTCGATCACAAGCGCGATCTTGGGGTTGTCGTAGGCATGGAAACCAATGATCTCACGTCGCTGCCATCCTGGCCATACCCGACCTATCCTCCGCACTCAAGGTATTTGTTTTGGCAGCTTCCTTCCATCTCTCAAGCTGTTCATAGTGCTCATACTCCAGCTTTCCTTTCAACAGCTTCAACAGCTTTGGTGCGAACTTTCCCGTTGCATATACCACACCATCGTACTGCTTTGCGAAGAGCAAGATCACTAGCGTTAAGAAAAGTACGGGGCCGTCGGAAGCCTTTTGTTTTTTGATTCGGCGAAGCATGTCGTCGAGCATCGATTGCTTGGCAGCAGCCAGCGAATCTGCAGATGGTTGGCTGATACCTTGTTTTTTGTTGAATTTCTCCAAAGTTGAAGATAGTGATGAATTATCCAGAGGCGTCGTGGACTCCAGGACACTCGAGAGTTTGGTAACATTCTTTCTTGTTTTGCGGCTGAGGACTAGACCCTGCGCTCGTGCTTTGGCGATAGTATCGGGTATAAGGTCCTTATGTGCGTAAGTTGCAAAGACCTCAGCAAGCTGGCTGTGCACTTTTTGGTCCATGACTGAAACTAAGCCGGTGCTGTATATCTGATATCGGATGAGCATGCGATCTGTCCAGTACATGGCAAACTCCTCTTCATTCGGTGTTTCGAAGGAGGAGACTTGGCACCAGAAGCGCTCTTCTAATAACTTCTCAACTGGCTTTTGTTGGAGGAGAAGGCGCTGAACAAGGCCTGTTGGAGGAATCATGTCTCTAATCTTGTCTCGAGTGAATTTCACGTCTTCCACTAGGGTTGGATCGTCCTGTAGACTTTGCCATTGTGCCTTTGCAGCTTCTTTTGCGTAGCCAGCGAGCTCGTCGAGTGCTCCGTCTCGGCGCCTTTCAGTGAGTATCAAATTGCCGACCCGCACTATCTTCAGTCCTCCAGTGATCTCCGAGAAGTGAGCGACAATGGAGTTCTTGGCTCGGGCGGCCACCTGCTCCCTTATAGTTGGTGGAAGGCGGGAGCCAATCACTTCGGTGACATCGAGGGTACAACCTTCTTGTTCGAGGATGCGTACGCAATCTTGCTCTAAACTGGAGATCCAGATCAGTGATACAGCGAAAGAGTCTATTACTTCAATGCCTGAGAGTTGCTGGAAGTAAGACAATGCGTCTTGGGAAGATGGGAAAAGTTCGATGAAGTCGGAGGCGAATCTTTGTACATCGAGATAGGCAAAAGCGCCGGACTGCAGACCGTAAACTGTGGCATCGCGTTCGGTTTCTAGATATCGCTTGGGTGTGCACAAAACGCTAACGTCAGTTTCCTGGATGTTGACCTTGGAAATAAGATTTTCAGACTGCAAGAGTCGCTCGAGAGTATGCAGAATGAACCATGTAGGGGGATTGTCAGGCAAATCAGCTGGTCTGATGTTGAGAGTCCTGTACAGAGTTAGCCTGTGATGCATCTAAGGCAAGTCCTACACTTACCGGACATCATCGACCGTCTTTTGAATCATACTCTTCACTATATCCGTGATCTTGTGAGCGTAGGCCTTAGTGTAGATGTAGCCATTAGTTTCCAGGAGGTTATAATCTTGACTGGACAGGAGGAAGTCAAGACTCTTGGAAGAGACACGATGCTGGGCAATGAATTCGGCCTTGGATGCCAGTCCCCCAGATGACAGGCGAGTGACTATCGCGTCTCGCTCGTCTATGGGAATGATGCTTTCCTCGTCCGCGCTGAACAAACATAGCTTAGGGTGGCTGTGGACGAGTTGATGGACAAGCAATCGACCTATGTCGAGGTCGTTGGCCAATGTAGATACCGGTATCCTCTGTGTCTCTGGTACATGCTTCAGCAAATGTAGCCAAGAGAGATTACGAACGCTCACCTTTGGTCACGCGGCTTCTGAATTGAGCCTGGACAAACTGGAGCGTAACGAAAGCATGGCCGCTGGAGGATAGCGCAAGCCGTGGAACAAAATCAGAAGTGTCTTGCGGAGGGAAGAGGGCGAAGATGTCCTTCACATCATGTGCGGTAAACATGCCAGCTGGACGTTGGATAGCGCTGCAGACTAGATTGCCAACATCTACTATGCGTGAACAGTGCTGTAGGCTTGAACGGTTCGGCGGCGTTGAAGGATATAGTGCAGGGGGAAGCGCCAGAGGCTGGATTGCGCTGATTGGTGGGGAGCGGGGAGCGGGCGGCAGAACACCGGGATTGAACAAGGCCGTGGTCCATCGTCGAGTGCGCGCGCAGACATTCAACCCATTACGCCTACCGCCAGCATGTCTCAATTCCGCGCGGCCAAGCTGGACATTGGATGTTTCGCCAAGATTCGCAATATCCGCGACCACACCAAGCGGAAGGTGTACTCGGAGAATGAGCCAGAACGGCATGCGCCTCCGCACCTGATGCTCCCATCGCGCAACGACTGACGACGACACAGACAAGCTCTGCGATACCTGATCCGCAATACCACCCTTCCGCAACGAGTCCGCGCGCAGGCTCAGCTCCAGCTCTCTCAGATGCACTGCTACACACGCTACACCCAGATCAAGAACAGGTGTATAATGGGCGGCAAGGGCCGTGGTGTCTTCAGCGACTTCAGAATGGGACGAGTAAGCCATGGCATTCTTTTCGGGCGAGGCAGGGCTGACGATCCTATAGTATCAATTTCGCGTAAACGCTCTCGCGGGAAACCTGCCGGGCGTGAAGAAAGCAAGCTGGTAGGTGTGCTTCTACGAGAACCCGACTGTTTCCATGTACAATACTGTGAGGCGAGCATTGTGCCAATATCACATACCTACTTTTGGCTCTACATATGGCCTTGCACATGACCGCTCTTCGGGCGCAGACCGTGAGACTTTTCATGCGAAATCTTCGTGGTTGACCCATCTCACTGTCTACTTTGCCCTCGCCTCGCCCTCTCACCGTGCGAAACACCCTTTCCTAATCGGTTTGCTCTCACCACGCGCCACAAACGATGGCAGCGGCAACCCACCGCGCCAGCAATAAAATCCGACCTCCGTGGCCATTGCACCTACAATCCTTACTACAGCGATAGCTCTGGTTGCCGTTTTTTAGTAACTCACTTCGCCGCTGTCTACGGTCTATAGACACCCCCAAGCATCTGCGTCAGCATGTTCCGCCGCATAGAAGACACTCTGGAGCCGGATCCATCATTTCCAGCGGACCTCAACCAACTTGGCTTCTTCATCAACCTCTCAGGTGATATCCGTATGATCGACGCGCCCGAGAAGCCCTATGTCTACCACGCCACCAACAATGAGCGCGTCAACGAGGTGCGCCGCGAGGCCATGCAAAGTACATTCCAACTTCCGTTGAAACACTCGCAGCTAACACTTCACAGCCTGCCAGCGCAAGGAAGCAGAGAAGCGCCTGTCTTACCTTGGCCTCGAGTGCATCCACCTTCCCGACTTCACCATGACCAAGCCCAATGGTCCGCATGTACCTATCCTTGCTCCACCGCCTGAGATCCTCAAGACGCGTAAGCGATTGATTGTGCTGGTAAACGACACCATGCAAGATATAGGCATTCTGGCGTATAGACAGTTGCAGCGGGAACTTGGCATCAACGGTGGCTCAGTAGTGAACTTTGTCAAGGAGATGGTCAAGTGCTCGGCTACTGACAACACTGCTGAAGGAGGCGCGGAGATTTTCAAAGATGGTCATGTTCTCCAAGACAAGATTTACACTCCTGCCTTGATGGTCTTGAACGCGGGCCAGCTGCTGTACTCGCACAAGTACGACCAGGCCATGACTCTACGCAGTTGGTCCGCCATGCCACGCAAGTCAATCGCCCACGACATGGTCCGCATCCATGACAACGAGAACCGTGTTCCAGGTCATGAAAATGCCAAGAAACATGTCAAGACTGTCTTTGACGAAGTCATCTGCAACCCCGATCGTGTTGCAGCCGACGCAGAAGTCTACGTCATCGCTATTGAAGACGGAACCGAGAGTATCTTGAACCTGCTCACACAAGACTGTACGTCTCCTGGCCCTGCTAGTATCTGAGAAGTTTACACTAACATATTGCTGTAGTCGGCAAGTATGGTACTCGTATCACGGCCATGGCATTGATTCACTCCTTGATCGACGACTCCCAAATCAAAGATGAACAGATTCGCGCCTTCATGCATCAGCGCACACGTCAATGGAGATTCAGCGATCTGACATGCAACCCCCAGCACTGTGTCGACCTACCCACCGACTACAATCGACAAGTCAACGGGCCTTTGTCTGTAGACACACCATCAACCATGCAATCAATCAAGCACACGTCCTGGCACGCTTCGATTCCTGAAGGCCCAGTCTCAGCTCCAACGACGGCTTTCCACCGCCTCGCTCTCAGCGTCACCTCTTCGGCCGGGGCTTCCACTCCAACCGCAACATCAACCTCTACTAGTGGAGAAGAAACCACAGAATGGTCCTCGGGTCAAACGGTTATCTGCCCTACCTTCGCGGGCGGCGACAATTCGGTCGGGGAATGCATCTTTACCTATCCTCCCACCCAGCATGCCATTTTCTCTTTCTTCCAAGACGTCGCGCAAGACCCGGTCAACTATCGCAACCCACCTAGCCTCAAAATCTTTACCGAAGCTCCCCAACCCAGTCCCGAAAATCCTCTCGCACTATCTCCAGACCACGACAACGACGCTGGGATCTACTTCCAAAACCTCGTGTCGCAGACGACTTCTGAGCAAGCTGAGCTAGATGAAGCACGCGAGCGACTTGTCGAGTTACAGATTGCTTTGTCTGCCTGCCCTACCAATGCTGCAGAGCTAGACAAGGGTCGCGTGAGGTTGGAAGGAAAGGTGAAGAATATAGAGGCGAAGATTGGATCTTTAGAGGTCAAGGCGCTGAGTCATGGCGGACTGGCCGCGGGTGAAATGGTCGAGAAGCGCGAGGATTGGAAGCCGCAGGTTGAGGGTCCGAAGGTACCATTTGCAGGGACCATGGTGGATAGTGAGCTGTTGAAGGCGGCGGGGTTGATGGAGACTATGGATGAAGAGAAGGCTTTTGTTTGAATGGCGAGTGGCAGCTCTAGTCATATGGCGAAGATGAGAGGATGATGCTAAGTCCTGGATGGAAAGGACTTAGAAGCGTTTGTTTTTCAGCCATCTCACGCACCACGAGCTCCTCCTCTTGTCACGTCAACATAAGGAAGACGTCTTTTGGCTGCTCGGCGGCGCTGGAGTTAGGGTCATCTACCTTACTTTCATCATGTCCTCAAGAATAAGACAACAGCTTCAATCTCGCTTATCGTTGTCCTCAGGCCTAGGTTCAGTACTCAACTGATTCCCGTTGTAAAACTGTTGAGGTACATCTCTTGCCCGCTGGTCCGCCAGCGTTCTTACCCTCATCCCGCCCGGAGTTGCTTGATCCAGCACAGGATCGTGACTGGGTTCCCGGGTAGGTCTGCTGCCCATGGTACGACCACCACCGCCATGATTATTACTGCTACCACCATCACCACCTTGCTCATGTTGCGCCCCATAGCCTATGACGGAGCTGATGGTACTCCCCACGTAGCCAACAGTAGAAGTGAGAAGCCCAAAGGCCCCGCCGACGATGCCCGTCGCGGCTCCTGCCATACCTCCTCCAGTGCCCCCGGAATACGCATCCGAGTAACCCTTTACTGGCACCAGCACCAAGGTCGCACTGGGCGCTAGATCAATATCACCCAACTCAACGGCCTCGTCGCCGGCAGAGAGTTCGCGACTAGGCGATGGAGCGAGTATATGTCGGAAAAAGTAAGGAGGCAATTGTTTGTTGTTGATGTTCTCGTCGTCCTGGGTCAATTTCCCAAACTCAGTGTCAACCCAGGACCGCACGTCAGTCTGTAGGGTGGCGGAGCGAGGGAATGTAGAACGAATTGTGCGGCCATCGAACAGACGGACATTGAGAGCAACGGTTTTAGAGTTGGTGCCTCGCGAGGACTTCGGCACTGATTGCGATGTATCGGGGGCTCGTAGTGCGTCCTTGTTCCTCTCCTTCTCGCGTTGTGCTTTGCGCAATTCGGCATCTACTTTGCGCGCTGCTTTGTCGGCTTCTATTCGTGCTTTGATACGGGCTAACTCTTCGGCGTCTTCTCGTTTCTTCTTCCGCAGGGCGTCGCGGGCTTCTTGTTGGGCTTTGGTGGCGGATGTGGATGGGAGGGTGGGGTGTTGGGAGCCTGTGGCTTTTTGCTTGCCTGGTGTGTTGGACGTGAGGGTGGGTAGTGAGGTTTCGGGGAGGCCATACAGGTCGTCTTCCGCTGCAGCATTCGCTATACTATTCGTAGGTTCTGGTGTGCTTGCTTGTGGGGGTGAGGTTGGTGCTGCGTTGGAGGCTGGGATGGGATTCGCTCCCAGTACGCGTCGGATCGAGTTGATAAAGTCGTTTCTCGTGGCATCACTCTTGAGTTGAACTTGGAGTTGGCCGTTCTGGATGACGACAAAAGTGGGCACGCTCGAGACATCGGAGAAGGCAGCCAGAAAACCGGCTTCGGTCGAGCCTGCTTCGAGCCGCAGGACGACAGCTTTTTGGTGGAGCAGAGTCGACAGCTAGACATTCACCATCAGCGCATGTTTTAAAGACCTGGTCGCGTCCCAACGTACCCATCCGCTCTTTAGCCACTCGTCTTCCCACTCGTGGCTCGTGGCGCCGTCGTCTACGCAGCTTGTCAGTCACGATGCTACCTAGATTCCGACAGTGCACCGTGGCGTACCTCGTACAAAGCAGGCAACGAGTTTCTGCTCCTGAATCGCAAGCGTGATTCCGCTCTGTAGACTGCCTTGGTGGAACATGTTGGTGGGTGGTGGTGGCTCCATGTCTGCACTACCGCGGGGATTAGCCTGGGAACCTGTTCGGCGCGTGGTACCGAGGCCAGACGACGCACGAGCATGGCCGGCGGCCGTCAGCGTCCGCTTCATTCAGTGGCTTATGCACACGGCGTTGGAGATTCGCAAAGGGAAAAGATTCAATAAACAGTTCTATCGGTAATGCCAAGCCCATAAATCCTCCACGCCGAAGAAGAGTAATGCTGCAATAAGCCAATGCTAGACTCGCCCGATATCCAAGCATCAAGCCAGAAGGTGCTGCAAAGCATGTGCCCCTTCTGCTTAGTCCCGCCGTTCCGCTTGGGCTTCCCAATGATGCCGACCGTGTACAGTGTCGTGGAGTGAGTGGCATATCCAAGTTGTTGGTCTTTTCCCAGTCACCCCAAAGCCGTGGCCCCTGTGCCCTGGTATCGGCTTATAGGATGGTGCACTTCTTCTTATTCTTGGTCGCCGACTGCTGGGGACGGGGGCTGAGGACAGCGCTGGGGCAGGTCAGGACAGTTATGCAAGGGGCACATGGGAACGTACCGAATGGCTTCGTCAAAGACACTCTTCAGGTTGCGCTGTGTGAGGGCGGAGCACTCGAGGTACTTCTGCGCCTTGATCTCTTTTGCGACCATGACAGCCTGCTCGTACTGGATGGGCGCCATCTTCTTCTGCCTCAACGACTCCTTGGTCGCCTCATCGTCCCTCAGATCGAGCTTGGTGCCGACGAGGATAATGGGAACGCCGGGCGCGTGGTGATCTATCTCAGGGTACCACTGGCGGGGGGTTAGCGGGTGCGTACGCGTCGTGGTGGGCGGCTTCTTACCTTTGCCTTGACGTTGTCAAACGACGGGGGGCTGACGATGGAGAAGCAGATGAGGAACACGTCCGTCTGGGGGTACGAGAGCGGGCGCAGTCGGTCGTAGTCCTCCTGGCCGGCGGTATCCCACAGCCCCAGGCTTATGGGCTTTCCGTCGACCATGACATTTGCCGAGTAGTTGTCGAAGCTGGGCGAGTTAGCTCACGCGTGGTGCAGCGAGGGGCGGGCGTACACGGTGGGGATGTACTCGCCCGGGAAGGCGTTGGTCGTGTACGAGATGAGGAGACATGTCTGCGCGATTAGCAGGCTGCGCGGCCGTCGTGGGGGCAGCGAAGCTCACCTTGCCTACAGCGCCGTCGCCGGTTACGACGCACTTGAGCGATTGCGTCGCGGGAGCAGCCATGGTGCGCGAGGTGTCGCCCGGGGAGCGTGGCTTTGGCGGACCCGGTTCGGCGGAGCAACGGGGCGGCGAGGGTGGAGCGGATCGAGTCGGGCGCAGGGCAGGATGCAGATGTAGCGAGGCGGCGCGTTGGAGGTGAAGGACGCACCGGCGAGACTGCGCAGCACGATGCAGGTAGCAGGTAGCTTCTGTGAAGGCGCGGGAGCTATCTGCAGCGTAGGGGGGCGTTTTATCGCTTGGCAGGCGGCGGGTCACGAAGCGAGCTGGAGCTGGAGCGACCAAGCTCGACGAGCGCGTACCCTCTTGAAACCCTTTTGCAACACGCTGCTCACGCCTGCCATTCGCCGTGCTAGCTAGCTACTTGCACATGCACATGCTACATGCTTTAATACCACACAAACAGTCCCTCGCCGCCTTGCCTGTCCTCGCCGACCAGCTGCTTGCACACCAGCAGCTTGACCACGGCCTCGTGCAACTCTCTCATGTCGAGAATGCCGCGCTTCTTCCCATCAATGTACGACACGTCCACCACGACTCGTTTCAAGTTGGCCGTCGACAAGGCTCGCTCTTGCAAGAGCGCCATCAGTCGATCCGGTGTTCCAACCCCATAGTCGATTCTGCTCTTGTTCAGATGCGTTACCTGGTCTGCGAGCTTTAGGTGCTTCGCAAACAGCTTGGCCACGCTGGGCTTCACGACTCCCTGTTTAGGTAGACCAGACTTGAGACATCGGCATACGTCTGCCGCTCGCACCCCAGAGCTCGTCACTATAAGCGTGTGGGGAGCTCCGGGCGGCTTGCATGGTGTCGCTTCTAACGTCCCTGCCTGCTTCTTGAGAAAGGCAGGCAGATTGTCTGTAGTTCGCGGCTCCGTCCAGCTGCTACTATCCTGCACAGTCCGCGCTGCTTGACGTCAGCATTTCAAGACATATTTAGGGCGCTCAAAGACTCACCAGAAATACACTTGTCCTCGAGCTCGACACTGCTCAAATCTTTCCCGTAAAGCCGTGTTCGTGCGTTGACATAGTCGGCAACAAGCTGACCATCCATGCGCTCAAAAGCGTGATTAACTCCCAAGTCTTGGTCGAGATCATCTTCAGCAATCGCCTTTGCCTTCTGCTTCTTCTTCTCTTTCCGTTTGGCCTTCTTGGCTGCTTTCTTGCCGTCCTTGCTTGCTTCGGGCTCGGCTTCCCGTTTCCTTTTCTTTGACGAAGCGTCAAGATCGAACTGGGCTTCGATCAGGGGTATGCCTCCTTCTGAGTCCGAGTCGGACATGGTGAGACCAGTGTTTTGTGTGAAGGAGCGACACATGAGTTCGCGACAGAAAAAGTTGCAGCATATCGAGCCTCAGCTGCTATCGATAAGCGGCTAGCGCAGATGCACGCCAGGGAAGTCGCGTTACCTTGGTAAGCGACGCGTTTCCCTGACGCCCATCAACACCCACCTGGGCACCCACCTCGCCCCTCGCATGCCTCTCTTGCCATGGCCGAGTCTGCGCGCAAAAAGCAGCGCCTTCCCCCGCAGCGCGACTTGCAGCGGACACCCGACAACAACGCGTCCATGGAGCCCACGACACCCTTCCACCGGGCCACTAGTGTGGGCCCCACTCCAGCAAGCAGACGGACGCCAGCTCTTCGCACACCAGCATCGGGGGCGACGCCGCGGGGCGGACCAGCAACTCGCCCTCTACCTTCGCGCAGGATTGCACCCACTACTCCCCACGCGATACGAGCCTTGAGAGAGCGAGCCAATGCCGCAAGGACGCCAGGAAACACCCGGAGACGAAGCGGCCGCGTACAGAGGGAGACGCCGCGGGACATTCTGCGCCATCTTAGCAGAGGTACGGCTCTTGCAGACGCCATCTTTCAACTAGCTGACTGTCCATGCAGCGCTCGCTCGTGATACGCACCCAGTCGAGCCCTCCCCACAAGCCCTGCCCCGGCGTACGCGCCACTCAGCCCTCGATCTTCCAGACGTCGAAGATGGCCCTACCATGCCTGCGCCCCGCCTTTCAATGCCCCTAGAGAACATGTACGACGATGACGATAGTTTCCACAGTGCCCCACCACGGCAGTCCCTCCTACCAGACTTACCAGACGACGTCGATGGCGGGACCGTACAATCGCTCGAGTTTGGACGACGAGCCATCAGTGAGGATCCACGCTTCATGTTCGCGGGAAGGCAGAGTGAACGATTCGGCGATCTGAGCGAACTCGGGGCGCTCCAAGAGGAGTACGAGGTCGATGGTACCTTCATCAACCCACGTGCAGATGGGTTCTTTGATCCTGCAATGGACGAAGCTCTAGATGGTGACGAAACGACAATACAAGCACTGACCGGGCGAAGAGACGGAAGGCCTAGTGACGTAAATTTGGGCGTATTTGGAGAGGCAGAGGATGATACAGAAGAGCCTACCTTCCGCTTTATGATACCTGAGCGCATGCGTGTGCCAACCCAAGAAGACGTACAAGGATATCAAAACGAGCGGGAAGAAGACGAACAAGAGCCGGATGACGAACATCTGCACCTGCCCGATGATTACGACTTACTCGATAGCGACGACCAGGACGGGATAGCGGCTGCTTTCGATGGCAAAGACCAAACAGCAACCGCCGGCATGTTAGGTTGGGAATCAGATCCGCCTGCAGATAGCGACGCCGAACTAGTCGCCTATCGAGAAGAAGAATCTGCCATTGATCGAAGCCTGCAGGCCAAGTCGCCCAAGCAAACAGATGTAGCCCAGATGAAGGGTGTTCGCAAACCGAAAGAATACATGGTATCCGAACACGGTATCGGCTTCCCCTTATTCCCAGCCGCGCCTGTCAAGAAGCTTACTTTGAGCTTCTTGAAGTCGCAGGGAGGCAAGGCCCGACTTAATACGGAAACACTCGACGCACTCGTACGCACGACCAACGACTTCTTCGAGCAGATTAGCATGGATCTCGCAGCATATGCACAGCACGGTGGACGAACGACGATTGAAGAAAGCGACGTCATCGCGCTTATGAAAAGGTATGTTACTCTACTCTACTCTATTCTGGTGTACATAAGCGTTCAGACTCATAGCGGACATGTACGTTCGGTACGCTGACTTTCAAGCAGGACTCGCAAGACCACCGGTACTTGTACATCGTTTTCTCTAGCGCAGAGGATGCTTCCTAGGGAGTTACTTCAGCAGCTGCGTATGGAGCCTCCAGCCAAGCTGAAGAGATATAAACGGAAACGATTGAATGATGTCCGTGAGGAAGACTAAGATGACGACTGAAAAGGTATGGTAATGTCTCACGACCAATCAACACTGTGGCGTACTCGCCGTTGGGTGCCCGACATGGGCTTCTTGACGACCATCCAAAACATGACTGAGGTCGCGAAACTGAGCGCGTACCTACTTAGAGTTAGACGATTGCTTGCAGGAAAGGAGCGAGGCGGTGAACCGTACCATGTGAAGATGTACTGCGTGTGGTTGTTTCGTAGGTTTACGGTGGGCGCCCTACCAATCGGTACGCCCTTGGGTTCACGTTCATAATTTGTGAGCAAATCAGGCGCTGTGTTATAGTTAGATACCCCAATTGCATCCATCGAAGAAAGACAGATTACTTACTCATCGTTTCCTCCACCCACACAGCCTGACTCCCGCTATACTCGGCCATTTCCTCGACACTGGGAAAAAACCACTTTCCCTTCTCCGGTTCGTTTTTCGGTGTAAACATATTGCCCTTGGGCGGTATCCTCAACAAGCCCTCAATTGTAACCTCACCCTCAGGTAACGCCCCATTCTTCTTGCGAAACCACTGCGGCGCAGCATCCTTCTTAATCCATCCCCTACACGCCAATATCTTATGCACATTGCCTCGCCCATCCCGCCGTTCGAGCGGCGTAACAACTGTATACCCCTCTTCGCCATCCAAAATCCGCGGCCCAATCAACATTTCCTGATCATGTCTCAACACACCCCTCGCATAAACCCTGCGATAGTCAAAGTCCTGAATTGCAGCCGGATCGATTCGCAGCGGGAGTTCGAGAGGCGGGAACGTCAATCTGTCTTCGAAGCGCGCGACTAATTCGGTTTTCCAGCCCAGACGCTGCACTTGCCAACACCCTAGTATGAACGCTGTGACGGGGATTATCGCGAGGATGATTAGGCCGGGCCCGTGTTGTTTTCCTACTCGTGCCATCTTCGCGGGCCGGTCAAGAATCGAGACGAAGTTTGGGTCCAGGCCGGGGCCGCCGCCCACGCGGCGACTTTGCGAGCGGAGGAAGAGGATGCGTGTGTGCGGACATTGCGGTCGCGTGGGTGAGGGACGGGCGTTGGTGGTGCGGAAGAATGCCGACGCGGGTTGTGAGTAGTATCGCCGGAAAAGCTTGAGGAATGGATTTGGTTTCGACATGGCGGGTGGTTGAGTGTTTGGAAAGTTGGGAATGGCTCAGTGGTGTCGGAGATGCGAGCTGCGAGCTACCCGGCTGCTAGACGGCGATACGGTATAGTTCCCGCGTCTTAGCACCCGCGGACCTAAGCCTGGCTCTGGGATGATCTCGACCTCCCACCGGACTGCTCCTCTGACATCACTCTCCTTCCACTCCCACGCATGCAAAACTGCAGCGTCATGGCGGATGCACAGGACTCACCAATAGATCGGGCAGAGATCACCGCGAGGCGGGATAAAGATGCGCTTCTTGATATTTTGGATACTCGACTTGAACAGTATTTGCAAACGCTGCATGAATATCACGACGTTATGCAGCATCTTTCCGCAGGACTGTCCTCGGTAAGCAATGTGTACGCTTGGTGATTGGCACATGGTGTTGATGCCAACAAGGGATACATGTCGCTTGCTCAAGCAAACTTCTACAATTCGTCCTCTGCGATTCGGTACGGACAGGACTGCTACGATGAGCGTATGCAAACTGTACGGAAGGTGTGAGTATTACAGTTTCCATCGAAATTTTATAGCTATCAAGAGTGTTATATCCAGACTCGGAAAAGTCTACCTACATCATGTGCTCTGTTGACAGATCACAGCCACATCTCCGAACACGGATGTACCAAGGAGAACTATCGAGCCCATTTCTCCATCAAATCTTCTTCTACCACTCGCCAGGATGCGAGCACGGACGACCAAATAGGGTCAACAGAACAAGCGAATGAAGCCCAAGGACCGGACCTCCCCTCCACAGGTTCGAAATCTAGAGAAGGAGAGGCAGGCGCTACTTCCGACGCGGATGACGAAACCGCCCAAGGATCAAGGGAAAACGAAGAAGAAACCAGATCTATCGGAAAGCCTACAGATCCTCTCAGATGGTTTGGTATCCTTGTTCCGCCCGCATTACGTACTGCGCAATCAACATTTATAGGTGCAGTCGAAGGTCCAATCCCGCAATTAGCCACCGTTGTGAGAGATCTACGGGCCCAGGAGATTGAAATTGGGAGGGTGAGGAAGCAGATCAAGAAAATGTAGAGACAAGTCAAGTGAGGAAGCAGATCAAGAAAATGTAGAGACAAGTCAAGTGCTGCTTTCTGGCGGGTTAAGGAAATTGCACATGAGTACTAGGTTGCGCGCATTCGATATTGTGATTCGGGTTGGCTGCAGCTTGTTACGCGTACTTTCGACTAATCAGTAGTGCTACACATTGTCGTAGCTTCGAATTAACTCTCGTCATTGGATTTGCCGACTGGAGACAAGAGAATCTATAGATGGACATATGTTATGTGATGATTGACCTACGCTCTACTGCTGGTGAGCCAGAGTAGCACGATAATTTGGTACGCAACTTGATCATCCCTCCGGCGCAGCTATTCATGGGGTCTTGACATATATGTTCTATTCCCCACGTGTGCTGGCAGGGGAGGGTTCACTGGACTTGGAGACGGTTTCTTCCTCGGTCATGAAAACCTTGCCAGATCAAGATAGTGGCGCGAGCTGTGCCGCCCTTGTTGCTTGGAAAGAGCAATCAATCACATTGCCAACTTTACGAATATTGTCAATGAGGATTACAACAAGGTAGCAGCCATGAGCCTAGTGCCACATGCATCCACATCGTATGGCTTTGAATATTGGTGTAGTATAAACTTAGCCCTATCTACAATCGCACGTCTATCTAGATATCCGCGTTCCTCAAGCCTCTTTTAAACCTATCCAATGCCCTAGCTTTCGTCTCTTTCCAGTCCACATGTGGTTTTGGATACCCCAGCTTTTCGAACTCGCTCTTCGACAACCTCGCGTACGGAGCAAATACCGCCTTTCCCTTGACATCTTTGAGCTCTGGGACCCATGTTCGGATATAATCACCATCATGGTCATTCTTTTCAGCCTGAGAGACGGGGTTGAAGACAGTGTAAGAAGGCTCCCAGCCTTGAGTGTTATTGGAGAGGTCCCAATCAATCAGAGTTTCGGCAAAATAGCGTTCGCCGCGGCGGTAGTCGAGCAGGAGGTTGCAGTAGAGATAGGAGGACACGTTCATACGTAAGCGATTGTGCATGTATGCCTCCGCATTGAGTTGGCGCATACCAGCATCAATGAAAGGTTCGCCTGTTTCGCCTTTGTACCATTTCTCCCAGCCTTCTTCGTCGTCTTCCCACTCTACTCCGTCAAACTTGAGATTCTGTGGAAGATTCATGGAGGTGTGTGGCGTGGTCATGGTTGTCTGTCTGTAGAGTTCTCGGAAAACAATCTCTCGAACCCAACCGTAGACGCCGTTGGATGCCTTGGCTTCGGTAAAATCGGTACTGCCGCGATTGTAATCTACAACTTTCTGCAGTGCTTCGCGCACAGAGAACATGCCCGCACTGAAGTAGGCAGACATGCGTGACGTGCTATTTGCGGCAGGATTTGAGCGTGTAGCGGCATAGTGGTCAATTTGCTTTAGGAACGCATCCATTCGTTTTGCTGCTGCATCGTGACCGACAGGCCACAGTTTCCGTATCCTCTTCTTGTCCTCTTCCGACTCGAATTGTTTGTCTTTTGCAGGCTGGGGTACTGCTGTATCGAAGAGACTTTTTAGCTCTTTCTTCGCAGAGGGGGGATTTGCGGTAGGTGCAGGGTTAGTGTCAAGCAATTCCGGCTCGTCTTTCAGCCTCTCGAGCCACGCTTTGAAAAAGGGCGTAAAGACTTTCATAGGTGTCCCAGCACCTGTAAGCATTGTGCCAGGCTCGACAACGGTCTGGTCATGGTACAATGAGACTTGAATACCGTCTCCAGCTGTTTGGCAGAGTTTCAAATCCCTCCGCATCTCATCAATCTCGTACTCCAAGTTGCCAAACACGTGTGAAATCTCACACTTTTTCATCCACTCCACTGCTGTCTGTACGATCTTCTTCCTATCCTCGCACTCTAGAAAGACTAGCGGTATGTTCAATTCCTTGAGCTCTTTCTGCATGATGCGCAATCCCTCGCACATGAAGTCGACCCTTGCAGGGCTAGTCCCATGCCACGACTCGTCTGCAGCGCAATTGACGTAAAAACATACGAGAGGCTTCTTCGCACTTTGGGCAAGCTCGGAAGCATAATGCAGCGCGGTGTTGTCTTGAATGCGGAGATCTTTTGCACGAAACCAATGCGCTACCTTTGTCACGACCTTGATTTCCTCTTGTGCACCAAGGGCTTCTTGAACTTGATCGTAGGGAAGGTTGTCATCTACTCGTTTCGCGCGCTTGAGAGTCGTATGCCCGAGTTCGGAGCGTTCGTATGATGTTCTTTTAGACATGTTCGTATGCGCCTGGGAGTTGTTCGGCTGTGCAGGCTTTTTTGGCGGTGCTCTACTTTGGAAGCGAGTCGCGTGTTGAAACGCGCGGATCGGTAGTCGTACTTTGACACTAACACATCTAAATTGAGCAGCTGCCGGCCTAAGTGGAGTTTGCAATAAGAAGACGCGTTCGAAGGAAGGCATTGAACATGCGCTATGCGCTTAGGCGTACCTTTGTACCTGATCATCGATAAACCTTAGACCAAGGGGTCAGAGTGGTGACGTCGGCGGACCACCCAACCACACCAACTAGAGCCGATCAAGACGTTACCCTGATGGACACCTGGCGTCGAACACCAATCGAAGGCATGCCTATCGGCGTTTCAGATACAAGATCTGGAGAGATCCTTGGTTCCCGCTGCATTTCGCGAATTGTCGCCGCTTCCTGGGATTTTGGTGCTTTGCATAGGGCTGCATTTGATTCAGGGTTCCAGACGAAGACGGTGGATGTGAGCACGCGACAAACTGCGTTGCTAGTGCGAGGTGTTAATGCGACTGACATAATTCCGCTCGAACGCGCAGGCAAGGAGTGGCATAATTTCCACGTTGGAGTTTTGTTGGTCTGACAGATTGACAGCAGCCGAACCATGCCAGCCGGGCACGGTGCCTAGTTGCTGACACGTGATGCGAGACTCTCGGACTGCGATCAAGCTCTCTTCCTTGAGCTCGTCGGCACCATATCCGTCGACGAGCTAGGCTAGCAAAGCTTTGTCGTGTTGTGTCGCTGGCCGTCACTACGATGGCGAATGGAATTGCCCCGTCCGGAGCACACCGTAGGCATCAAAATCCCAGCCGCTCGCAATACCCCATCGCCAAGGGAAAATCTACGGGGATACCAATTTTGCTTTCTACGAGAGAACCATCGAACAGCGAATTAGATCAGAGCTGTGCGGAACGTGACGCCAAGATGTACCAAGCCACGCCAAGGCCTCATCCTCCAGCCTTCCATTAACTGGCAGAAACGTGCATGTCTTTCCCAATGAGGCAGCTCGTTAAGACTCTCGATGATGATAGTGGCTCGTGGCGCGGACCAGGCCAGCGGAATGGGACTGGGCCCAGGTAGCCGGAGTCTTCCTCTCGAGCAGTAAGAGCGCTGTGTTATCGCACGAGGGACGGGTAAAGGCACTTAACGCACCTTGTACTGCAGAGGAAGGCATGCCTCGGGTATGACATGTGGACGCTAGTAGCTTAATACGCGGGACATAGTCTAATTCGTCTTGATGCATGTATGCAGGTCCGGGAAGCTCTGTGAGCTTATAAAGGTTGGAGTAACAGCTTCCCGAAATGTCGGTTCATCGCACTTTTGAGAGTCTTGCCCAGTTACTGATCTCTCAATTGCGTTCGTTATGAAGTGTGCATGCTCAGCTGTCGTGGCTGCGGCCCTTTTGGTCGGATCTGTCTCCGCCCAGACATTCCGCCGCCTGGGAGCTTGCCCAACGCTCGGTTGCGTGTTCCCTCCCGACCAGTAAGCATGCAAATTGAACGAGCTCAAAGAGCTCAATTGCTGATAAACAACTCAGGGCCGACTTTCTTGCGGGCCAGTACTTCGACATCCGTCTGGAAGTTCACCAGCCAAGGAACGGATCCGAGTTCATCGGTCTACCTCTGGATGAGCAGTTTACCTTCACTCTTGGAAAAAAAGGCGAGGAGGCAAAGCCAGTAACAGAGTTTTTCAACCTTGAAGAACCCAAATTGGAGAAGTGGAACTTCACATGGTACGAAGACCTCTTCGCACGCGACGCGAAAAGGCCTTCCCTCGTCAACGTTGCGGCTAAAGCCTACCGCCGCATCGCTCTTTACGAACCTGGCGAGTACACTGCTACCCTCAATTACAACAATGGAAGCAAGACGGAAGCTACTTGGCTCGTTCGCGACCTGGCTGAGGAGCGCAAGGCCAAGAACATCGTTCTCTTCATCGGTGACGGAATGACCACAAACATGATCACAGCTGCTCGTTTGATCGGCCATAAGCAGGTCAATGGCAAATACCAATCTCTCATGGCCATGGACAAATTCCCTGTCGTTGGCCACCAGATGACCCACTCGATCGACAGCTTCATCACCGACTCCGCCAACTCTGCTGCTGCGCTCAACACTGGCCACAAGTCAACAGTCAACTGTTTGAACGTTTATGCGGTATGTATCGTTACCTTACGCCCTTGTATATGTCATCATTTTACTGACAAAGAGTATAGGACAGTAGCAAGGATCCATTTGACGACCCGAAGGTCGAGAGTATTGCTGAGATCTTCCACCGTCTTACTGGAGGTCACGTTGGTATCGTGTCGACGGCATACATTGCGGATGCTACCCCCGCTGCCTTGGTATCGCACACTCGTCTTCGTAGCCAGTATGGAGCTATCGTCGATACCTACCTCAATGGAGTCCAGAACTACACCTGGACCAAGGTTCCTCTCGATGTCATTTTCGGTGGTGGCGCCGAGCAGTTCTATCCGTCTGAGCTTGGAGGTGTTACCTATCAGGATAAGAACTACTACGATGAGTTCGCCGCGCAGGACTATCAGATCATTCAGAACCGCACTGCCCTGCTATCTGCCAGCAATGAAGAGAAGGCTCTTGGTATCTTCACCACCTCAAACATGGCCAAGTGGCTCGACCGCAATGTCTACCGTGACAACCTCAACCAATCACTTTCCCCTACTGGGGATGAGACACCCGCTCTTGATCAGCCGGGCCTCAAAGAGATGACCCTCAAGGCCATTGACATCCTCGAAACCCGCTCAGGTGACAAAGGATGGTTCCTTATGTCAGAAGCCGCCAGCATTGACAAGATGATGCACGCTCTCGACTATGATCGCGCACTCGGTGAACTCCTCGAACTCGACGACACGGTAAAGGCCACTATTGACCACCTCAACTCCACCAACTGCCTCAAGGAGACCCTGATCCTTGTCACTGCCGACCACGGCCATGGCTTCGACGTCATGGGATCCGTTGATACCCACTATCTAGCTGCCCAGAACGTCGACCGCAAGAAACGCAATGCTGTAGGGACTTATGAGCAATCTGGCGAATCCCAGTACATCAACACCGGCAACCTGACGTACACGTAAGTTGGAACTATACGAAAGTCATGTAAGACATAAACTAACGTCACAATTTCTCAGAGATTCCAACTTCCCGTCAAACTGGGATCCCAGATATACCCTCTTCCAAGGCCTGATGGCAGATCCCGATCGACGGGAGAATTGGTCTGTCCGCAAGAGCGGTCCCCGCGAGCCCGCCGCAGAAATCGAAGAGGACAGCGGCGATAACTACGCAAACCCCGAGGACGGCGAGGGCGGTATTTTGCTCAATGGTACGCTACCTGTCGAGAATGACCAAGGTGTGCATTCATTGACGGATGTGCCTGTCTATGCCATGGGCGCATGTCAGGAGCTCTTCCAAGGGACATACAACAGTATTGACATCTTCTACAACATGGCGACTTGCTTTGGCCTAGGAAGGGGCGAGCCAAGTGCTGAAGAGTAGAGCATCTTTTTAGTTGGGTTGTTGAAGAGAGAGGTGTTGTGCAGGGCGCATGACAACGTAGACGATGATGATCGATATAATCTTTAGCTGCTTTTCATGATTGCTGTAGTGATTAAAGCTTGACCGTTCGTTAGGTTTCACGTGTTCGGGTGGAACATGCACAGGCGGGTTACCACATGAGAGCGTCACAGTGTCATTATGTCACCAACATCGCAAAACGTCTCTAGTTTTCGTGGTCATTGAACAAGTCACTGTCAAGCCATATGATACCGCAGTTCATGGAAAACAGCACCCTAACAACGCAGTTCCTAACGATAATGTTACGGCCAACCTAGCAGGTTGCCTCGCGCCTACTAAGGTTTCCACGGGTATCGGTAATGCCCATCAGTTGCGTAATCAACGTAAGGCTCGACTTCACTTCGATGCAATCATTAGCACCACCTTGTAAGAGTCTACTCTTGCATTGAGCGCAGTTTGTCCTCACAACTCCCGCCTATTCTTGGCCAGTTCAGCCTGCTGGCGTAGGTTCGGCGCCGTAGTGCTGCTCTCGCCGCTCTGGACGCCCTGCTCCATGTCGGCAGCCCACAATGCAGCGCCAACCGTGTTTGTGAAGGAAAAGAAGATGCCGGCAACGGGTACAAGCTCGAGGAGGACGGCTGGGATACCGAAGCTATGCAAGGTTAGTGGTTTAAATTTGATTACATATAGACGAACCGACCTGGCATATGCAGCCTTGCGCTCCTCAATGAAGCGCTCCTTCTCTTGCTTCTTCATCTGCTTGAGTTGAAAGTAACGGGCGTGCGCGGTGGGACCAAATTTGCGTCCTTGGAGGATGACGAATAGTACAGTGCCCACGATCGGGATGAAGTTAAGCGGAAGGTACATGAAATATCGGATGATGGCGCTGGGTGCGAACTTTGCAAATGGCTTCGTAACAAGCTTGCCCAATTTCGCAACGGGGTCATTTCCTGACTTTACCTGGCGCTCTTTGGAAACCAATGTGGTCTGGTTGCGGCTGACCAAGGTTGAATCAAAGGTATCAATAAGCGCTTCGTCAATGAGGAAGTTCTTGCTGAGAACCGAGAAGATAGTGGACGACTCGCTGAGTACGAGTAGAACCGTGGTGAAGACTGCGAGTGGTCCGTTGAAAAGGGTGAGAAGTGCAACTTGGGGAATGTATGTGACGGCAAACATGAGCACAGTGACACCAAGACCGAGCGAGACAGTAGGGACCAGTTTCGCAGCGAGAGGCTTCCATAGTGCACGGTGTGTGAAGAAGTACGCAATGCCCTTGGGTCATGTCAGTGTTGTGTTTTGAATGCAATCCCCTAGTGTGGTCGAGAGGGCCGAAGAGCACTCCCAGACCGGCCTCTCCAGGCAAAATTTGATGCACTGTAGGTAGCAAGGATTCAGACGCGTACCTTGAAAGGGTAGAGATATGCGGCCGAGCGGACAGCTTCTGAGGCAAGCTGTCTGGCTTGGTTGAAGTCTTCCTTGGCGACTTCCTTGACCTTGTCGGGTACTCTCACCCTGGACTCTGACATGGTTGCAACGGATAGATCGGAAAGGTTGAGAAGATTAGGAAGTAGGGAAAGGCGTCTGAGTCGTGATAGAAGACAAGTGGTGTTCCCTTGCCCAGGTGTTGGTGGGGTGAAGCTATGGAATGTGGAAAACTACGTCATGATCGCGTACTTGGCCCAAGCTCCAATCCTAAGAACGCGGACTCTATTCCTGCGCACCAACTACGTCGTTTGAGCAGATAACTTGGTACCGCAGGAGAGAAGAATCCCGAGAGATGGTACATGTTGATTGTATAAAACGTCAAGAAGGCAAACTGGAACGGGAGCGGATCAGTGCAAGGCACGTCATACAGTGCTGGTTTTGCGCGTTCGCCTTGAGATGCAGGGAATCCTGGGTAATTGCAATGTCAGGGCAATTTGCTGCCCCGCTGATGCTGCCATAGTTCAGGAATAGTCCACCTATGGGCGATGGCTCAGGAATGTATTTCCAAGGCACAATTTCAGCAGTGAGTGCATGCCGGATTCGCACGCTTCTAGGCCCTTGACGAAGTACCCACCATGGCCATTGTGCCAGGTAAATGTGGCGGTGTTACCAAGATTTTACAGCAGATCTGCTACAAACACGCGTCAAAATCCAGAAATCCGATGCAAGACAGGGTAAATCAGGAATTGAGGACGTGGCTAAGCTTTCCCCTTCCCCACCTTTTCATGCACCGGATCGCAAAATGACGCAGCGCCAGCCGCGTGCTAGCCCCCACCACAACCGAACGGGACATTGGCTAGCTGCATCCGTCGCAAAGCCCCTCATCGAGGGTCCAGCTCTCGAGTGGCTGATGTAATTAGCCAAATCTTGTGGCAGCGGCAGACAGGAGAGAACGCCACGGCAGGTATGAGCTGAAGGACTAGGGGAGGAATACCGACCCATTGCTGTTTGGGGCCTGAAATGGCCACCGTTGAACACGACATCCAGGTTCGTCCATGACGTCCGAGACCAGTTGAACCAGGTATTCGCCTGTGGCTGTGCTCAAAGATAGAGCTCAATGCCTCATACAGTCAAGAAACTGAACAGGCCTACAGCCTACGTTAGGATCAAATGAGCAAATTAGAAATCCTAACGTTAATGCAGGCTTCAACGTGGTCAGCACTTCCCTTGATCGAGGTGCCAAGACAAAAGTGGGAAACAGGGGTGTGAGCAGTGACTGCATCATCAGCAGACGTCGTACAAATGGCGAGCTGCAGAGCCATGACGTAGGGCTATGGGTCTCCAACTCTTGCTCTTGCCCAGGTGCTCTGATCTATGGTGTATATATAGAACGACCAGCGCTTGCTTTTGTTGAGCATCTACACAACAGTAACCACCATACTCACACAACACTTCAATCAACTCCATTCAAGCCCAACCAACTACCTATATCAACTCTTATTCAAACTTCATACCGCAATCATGTCAGGAGTGATGGACAAAGTCAAGGCCAAGGTCGACCAGGTGATGCACAAGGACAAGACCCATGGTAAGCACTTCTTGTAGACTGACGTTGTTGTTTAAACCATCTGCAGTTGCTCACACTTCTCTAGATGATCCCACTGGTCCTCACAGCTCTCATACTGCCAACACTGCCGATCCTACGGTACATAATACTTCTAATGCTACCACTGGCACTGGGGGCTTCTCCGGCACCCACCATGGCTCTGGTGTAAGCACTGGTCTCGGTACTTCTGGTAGCCATGGCGAGCGCAACCCCGAGTACACATCTACTACCCATGGTACTACTGGTCTTGGATCATCGGCCACTCATGGCAGCACTGGTCTCGGATCCTCAACTACCCACGGCTCTACCTCCCACAATGACCCTACTGGTCCTCACGGCTCCCACATGGTGAACAAGGCCGACCCCAGGGTCGACTCCGACCGTCTTGGAAACGCCGGTAACACTGCTGGCGCAGGTGGCTATGGTGCTGGACAGTATACTGAGTCTCACGGCACCCATGGTACTACTGGCAGCGGCCTCACCGGCACAGGGCTCGGCTCTTCGACTACTGGAGCTTACGGCTCAGGTAACAGCAGCGGACTGACTGGTGGTCACGGCACTGCCGACTTCAACGACCCAACCGGTCCACACAGCTCACGCATGGCCAACCAGGCTGACCCTCGCGTCGGTGGTGTTGGTAACACTGGAACTGGCGCATACAACACTACCGGAACCGGTCTCACCGGCCACAGCACTACCGGTGGTCTCGGACACTCCCATAACGACCCTACCGGCCCCCACAGCTCCCATATGGCCAACTCTGCTGACCCACGAGTTGGGGGTGTAGGTAGCACTGGCGGTCTTGGTCACTCTCACAATGACCCCACTGGCCCTCACAGCTCTCACATGGCCAACTCGGCCGACCCGCGTGTCGGAGGTGTAGGCAGTACGGGTACAGGCGCCTACGGCAGCAACGCCGGCGGCATTGGCTCAGGCAACATGGGCCAAGGAGGATACACCACAGGTGAGCACGTCAAGACCGTCCCAGGGGAGGTTGAGGGAACAGGCCGTGACAACCTCTCTCACCGCAACAACGAGAGTGGCGATCTTCCCAAGGCCCTCACCGAGCCTGTTTCCCACGCTGAGCCTCACTCTACTCTGCAACATGACCAACACGCTTCAGGTGGCGTTCACGGCACTCATGGTACCACTGATGTTCACGGCAAGCCATCTATGATGGATAAGCTGAGTAAGTCTTCCCATGCGGTTGAAAGTAGGATTGACGCTGACAAGACGCTCTAGACCCCAAGAAGGACGCTGACCACGACGGCAAGGCTGGCATCATGGACTAGATTCCTCGTCATCTTTTTGCTATGTCACTCGTAGTGTGTTGCGAGAGCAAGTCACATGATGGTTTTGATGGCATGATTTGCACGAATACCCCCAAGTAGCGTAGTAGCTCAATGAATAGTAATCTCCCTGTCAACTTGGTTCTCTCGTGGTTCTCGCTGTTGATGAGCAATGTCATGCTTGGCCGTCATGTGCATCCATGATGCTATTAACATAGAACTATGATTTCACCTGTACTCGCACATGTTGTATTTTCTCGTCAGTGCACTCATTTCATTTATATGTACTCAGTGCAATGGTGTTGACAATATAAGAATCTTGATTGGGGGGTATCATTACTTTTTGCACAAACTTGACCCTGCATACTGCGACCACTCGTTCGCCGTATGTCTGGAGCGAATTAAGATATTCGTAGGTTTCGAGATATGTCGCACAGTCCAATGGACTCGGTGAAAACCCATCGCCACAAAATCACTTGGCTTTTCCCTTCCCCCCCTTCTTTTTTCCTTTACCACCAGTCCCTTTCTTCTGCTTTTCGTTCAACGAGCCATCGAGAAGAGCATTAAATGTCTCACTCCGCGTCTTGGGCGCGCGACCTGGGGTCGGCACTACAGCCTCGTCTTCCTGTGAGTTTTGCGTCGAAAGCCTCTTGTTCCTCGTCCTCGTTACGCGCTCCTCTGCTCTTGAGGGTGTTGCAAGGCTGGGTGTGTCTAGGTCCTGCCTGGTCTTTGTTGTCTTGTTGTCTCCTTTTGCGGGGCGACCGCGCTTTTTGGGTTGCGGTGTATCGGTATTTGGCACGGGTTCTTGTTGCGATTCGACAGCTGCGGTGGAAAGCTGGGGCATTTCGTCCCCGTTGTTATCAGTGTCAGTATGGGTGCTTTCTACACTCTGAGCGGCTTCCTGGTTTGTCTTGGCCTTCTTAGCCTTTGTTTCCTTCTTCGGCTTTTTCGAGGTGTTGTGACCTGACGACGCGGATGAAGAGTCAATGTCCATGGCATCGGGTGCGTCGACGCGAGCTTTCTTGGGAGCCGGCTCTGCTTCCTCGGAGCCTTGCAGAACCTGGCTATCCGAATAGTCCTCCTGAGCATCGACCTCATCGACAGCCCTCTTGTTGGGCGTGGCGTCATTAGACTCGATGGCGTTGCCGTCAGAGTCGAATTTCTTGTTGATGTTTTGAGCCTTGAGGTGCGCGCGGGCTTTCTCTTTGGCCATGCGCTCCTGCCTCTCCAAGTCGTACCTGTCGTTACCAGCCAGGCCGTGCTTGATGAAGCGTTGCGCAGCGCCTAGGTCTAGTCGCGCTCTGCCCTCGGCGCTGCCCATGACGCCCCGGTCCTTGATGTGCTTGATCTTGCTGTTGTACTGCTTGAGTCGGGCAATTTCCTTAAAGACATCGTGTTCCATGGCATTGACGCCCGAAGCCTTGAGCACGGAGAACAGAACAGCTTCGATGGCGTATGCGGACATGCAGTAGAACTCTGCCTTGTCTAGGAGCGGCAGAGAGGACGCGGTCGAGTGGAGAGGCGCGGCCAGCAGAGGGTCGAGCGCGGCGGTGAGCTCATCGATGTTGACTTCGAGGTCCTCGACAAGGTCGGGGAGGTCTGTCTGCGGGTCCATGGTGGTGATGGAGGTCAAGCGGTCGCATGCGCACGCCAAAGAAAAGTAGCGGGCCGAGCGCTAAGCCCGCGCACGCTCCGACGTGCAAGCGTCGGATCGCTCACAGCAGCCAGCGTCACTCACTCGCCTCCGCCTCGAACCACATGTGAATCCCAAGTCGTTCAAGCTGTCGTTCTCCTCCGTTTCACCCTTTCTCCCCAGGCTCCGGCCTCGGATACCACACGCACCATCGCGATGCGCCGCCGGTAGCCATCGCCCACGCCGGCTGGCTTCCGCTCGGACGAGAGCCTTCATGACGAGCTGGCAGCAGTCGGAGAAGGCCGCCCTGCCACCACCAGACCCTACAGCAGGCAGCACGGGCGGAACCAGCCACACGGCCGACTTCTATCGCAGACAGCCTGTCTTCGACCGACGCATTCACATCATCGGTGTCGGCAACGTGGGCAAATTCATTGCCCACGCCCTGCGCGGCATACCCAACCCTCCTCCAGTAACGCTGGTATTCGGGGGCTGGCAAAAGTTCAACGAATGGAACGACTCGCAACGCCGCCTGGCCCTTGTCACTGAAGGCCATGTCGAAATCAGAGACGGTTACGATGCCGAGCTAGCGATCCCCCGTGTTCGCTACCATGGCCACGAGGTCGGCCTGAATCCCTCCTCTCTAGACACGATCCAAGGCCCTCAGATCCTGCCTGGCGAGTCTGCTGAGCCTATCAGCTCGCTCATCATCTGCTCGAAAGCCCCCTATGTCCTGCAAGCTATCTCCGCCGTAAAGCACCGGCTGCACAAAGACTCCGTCGTCTGTTTCCTGCACAACGGCATGGGAGTAATCGACCAAGTCAACACGGCCATCTTCCCGGACCCAGAGAAACGGCCACACTATATGCTTGGCATCAACTCTCATGGCATGCACGCCTCGCCAGACAGTCGCTTCACTACTGTCCACGCTGGTTTCGGCACCCTCTCGCTGGGCATCCTACCCCACCAACGAGACCGGCGTGCCAACGAGCCCTACACCCCCGACATAAGATTCGCCGCATCAAGAGACAGCAAGTCCGTCTACCCTGACGCTCCTGACAAACTCAATCCAGAGTACCCACCCCCAAGTAGCGGCAAATTCCCCTTCACGCCTAATCAACGTTATTTACTCCGCACCCTACTCCGCACTCCAGTACTAAGCGCAGCCTCCTTCTCGCCCCCCGATCTCTTGCAAATGCAACTCGACAAATTGGCCGTCAATTGCATCATAAATCCCCTAACCGCCCTCCTTGACGCGCGCAACGGCGCCATTCTGAACAACTACGCCTTGACCCGCACAATGCGCCTCCTCCTATCCGAGATAAGCCTCGTCATTCGCTCCCTCCCCGAACTTCAATACATACCCAACGTGTCCCAGCGCTTCGACCCCGGCCGTCTTGAAACCGTGGTTGTGGCCGTTGCACACCGCACCAGCGACAACGTGAGCAGTATGTTAGCCGATACGCGTCAGGGTGCGCAAACTGAGATTGAGTATATCAATGGCTGGATTGTGAGGAGAGGCGAGGAGTTGGGAATTCGATGTGCGATGAATTATATGGTTATGCAATTGGTCAAGGGCAAGAGAATGGTGGTGCAGCATGACATGGAAGAAGAGCTTCCCCTTGTAGGGAGTAAGAAAGGGGGGAGGGCGGAGGTGGAGTTGGTGATTAAGAGGGATGACGCGGAAGCCCACAAGGAAGGCACACCGTGAGACTGCATTTGTCTTTGACGCCAGGGTTAAACCTTTTGCACAGTTCGACTACACAGCGCTCCACGGGCTATCAAAATCAATACTATGTAAACAAACCAATTATTCCCACGAACGGTAATACAATCCGCAGAGCAGAATGCGCCATCAGTCGCGATGTACATGTCGCTGGAGCTTACATCTGCTTATATCCCGGCTTCTGATGATGCACATGTCCACCCAAGAGCCGGTAGGCATGTATGGCGGAACATACCCCCCAAGCAAATGCTCCCACTACGAGTACTTATCCGATTAGATGCGGTACTGTGCCATGTACCAACACCATACGCCCATGGCCGCTGATATTGGCTGGGGAAATGTAGTGCATTCTAGTAGACGGGTAGCCTCGTTGCGACGATTCGGTGGGGCTCACTTTGATACCAGAATCATGCGCGGAGCTGGGGGAACCAATGCACCCATATATGGCGTCTCGGAAAGAGGTATTCGACCTCGCTTCGCTCTGGCTCTGTGTTGGATTAAGCTGAAAGGTGTTAGTATCGTGTCGATACTGGTGTTTGCATGCTTACCGCATCCGCCATGGTATAGCATCCTTGACTGGATATTCAGAAGTTGATGGGCGCACAAAGAAAGCAGAGTAATCGAAAAAACAGTAGCGTTCTTATTATTTTCTAGATACCAAAGAGATAAACCACAGATTGCGATTAGTAGAACTGCGGGCGATGGACATGGTCGATGTGTATGTTTCTTCTCTTATTCTTTATTCGTTCTCTTTCTTGTCGTATCTTTTAAGAGCTACTATTAGATAAAGCTATTGTACATTATGTGTAAAGACACATATCCAACATCCGTAGTCAACTAGACCAAACAATACTCCTGCCCACCGCAAACCCTTCCCCCAAAGCTTCTTAACCAAAACAAAAGACTACCAGAAGAACTCCTGGTATTCATCCAACTCGAATTCCAACCATCCCGAGACGAGAACTAGCAGAGAAGATACCTCTCTTGCTATGTATATATCCGATAGTAACGAGTCCGTAAACCTACCCTTCTAGCAAGCCACTGAAGATGCTTAACAAGCAAAGAAAAACAACCAAAGCATTTGCGTCTTACTCGCCTCATGCAGAGGTCAACTATGATAGTGTAAGACGATTGAATAAAAGAGTAATGGTCGTGTAAAACTCCAAGCACAAAATTGGTAAACAGCGAGTTACGTAACAAGAAGCAGCCTGCTACTGCATCACGTATGGCTCAGTCGAAAGCACCAGGCATGCTCGTACCGGGCATCCTCAAACTAAGTCTACTGCCACTGGCATCCTTCTCTCTGCTCGGCACAGCAGGCGCAGGGTTTGAAGATGAGCGTTGGCGCTGTAGGCGCGGATCCTCCAGCTTCGTCGTCTCCCCGTCCTGTTCCGAGACCGCTGCCGCTTTCCTGGTATCGAGAGACTTGTTCACTTCGTCTTGGAGTTGAGCTTCAGCTTGTTGTTCAATATCCTTCTCTTCTTCCACTGTCAATGAGGGTATTGACGGGGCTGCAGTGGCAGACTCATTTCGGCTACCGTGATGACCTTCGGCTGACGATGTTTCGGCTTCCAGATTGGCGATTGTCTTGGACTCTGGGGTCAAAGCGTCGTTGTGTGTCGAAAGGACCGTCTTGCCAATGGAAATTCTCTTAACCTTATCACCGCCTTTGCTCTGAAAAGGATCTTCATCGCTCTTCCTTGGCTCGTTCTCCATCGACGCAGCAGAGCCACCTGCTGTGATGTCTCGAGGCTCAAACGACATGATGCTCTCTTCACTCATCCTCTCCTCAAGCTTCACGTCGCTATTCGTGAATGTGGGACTGCGTGGGCCATCTCGTAAAGGAACGAAAGAAGGAACCACACCGCCACCGACGCGAGTCCAGAACATGCGTTCGCGAAGTCGCACACTCTCTTCCCAGGTGGATTTCTTCTCTTCATCCGTCTCCGCGCGCCAGTGCCCTGCTGCTACCATGCGTAGGAAACCAATGTAGTCGCACGTTGCCCGAACACGACCCAGACACCAGTCACATAAGGGGTAGCGCTGAGAGTCTTCGGTATCTGAGGGCTTGAATCGAAACTTTCGGGCATACTGGTCGCCATTCCTTGCTTCGCCACACAGCGAGCATGGGAATATGGGAACCCGAAATTTGGATGAAGGAGCAGGGTTCGGCTCTACAACCAGGGAGCCAGAAGTGATGCTGTTCAGCACAGTGCGGCGTGCCATCCATGAGAGACCGGGGGCAATATCCAGACGCAGTGTTGGCTCTATGTCCTCGACTAGGGCGCGTTTATAAAATTTCTCGTCCTTGAGGTTAGGCATACCAGCAGTGGCTACAGATTCGCGAGGTGAGTTGGTAGCCGAGGTCGGCGACTTGGACGGCAGCGACGTGGTAGAGCTATTGGTCAGTGATCCCAGTCCCAGCACATTGAGACTGCTGTAGTTGCCGCTGGATGCGCGACTTGCTGGGGCTGAGGAACGGGCGCTGATCTTGAGCATGTCCTGAAACTCGTTGAAAGCGGCAAGATCGGAGCGTAGTACGGGATGGATAAGATGCGAAAAGTGAAGGGGGTGGTCGGGGCTGATGTCGTCGGTTCCCGGCGTTGTGGGTGTCAGATTCATGGCCTCAAACAGCTTGCTCATCTTGTCGGCCGGAGCTATGCCTGGTGTTGACGGAGCGGTGGTTGCTGTGAGAATGTGGCTTTCGTTGTCATCGCCATGAGAGCTCATCTTCTCGACAACGCCCTTGAGATCGTGCAACTGGTCCTGGAGGGAATGTTGCAGGACTTCGGCATCGCCCAACTGCTGCTTGAGTTGCTCGCCGCGTTTCTCCGAAGCCTCCGTCTCTTTGCGTGCAGCTGCGACCATGACGTTAGCCTCTTCGAACAGGGCAGCCGTCAAGGCCTCGACTTCGCTGTCTGTCTTGCGCTTGGCAGCTTCTGCGTGGGCTCTGCGTTTGCGCTCCTCGCGCAGCTCCGTGGACAGTTGCTTCTCCATCTTATCGTAGACGACCTTGTCCACCAGCAGCCCCGTGGAGAGTTTGGCCTCATGGACCTTGACCTGGGTTTCGAGTTGGGCCAGCTTCTCTCGCGCGGCGTCGAGCTCGTGTCTGGTCTGCTGCAGTGCATCGTCGAGCATGGTGGAGTGATTGATGGCGTTGATGAGCTTGGTGCTGAGGGTGGAGACTTCCTGGCTGAGGTCTGGGTGCGAGTCGGTCGAGTCGTGGCGCGACAGAGGCGGCTGTGGAGTGGCTGACCGCGGGTCGGGAATGGTGTTGATGCCGTCGCTCTCGGATTGCGATTGCGACTGGGCGGTTTTGGCGAGCTGTGGTGTGGACATGGATCGGGTGACATGGTTCTTGGGCATGGGCGACAGAGAACGCAGTCGCGAGGGCGTCATTGCACCTGAGCCGTGGACCCAAGGGGCCGAATGGGCTATGAAGCTGGGGGTGAATGTATGTTAGCGATGGCCCACGCAGCGCCTCGCTCGACCAACATGGACGTACGAGTACTCAGCCATGGCAAATGGCAATGGACAGTGTGCTATATCCTCGCAGGCATTACAAATTTCGAGCGCAATCGAGCGAAACCGAGCGGAACAGCACGAGGGCGCGGCCGACCGACGAGGTGGACAAAGGAGTGACGTGACGAAGCCGAGCGCAGCCACGAGGCGAAGCGCCGAGAGCGAGGCTAGGCGTCGAGGGCGTCCACGGCGCAGCGGACCGTCGTGTAACAAGGAGTGTCTGACAAACACAGCTTCCTCAACACCAGAGTGATGGACGTTCAAACATACGACGACAACGAGGACCGAGTGCGCTGCACGCACCGGAACCACCACCGGTCGCGTCGGGCGCTTACGCTCAGATCGCCTCCCAAGCCCCCGCGCGCGCCGCCGCCAAGCACACACAGGCCATGACGACGCCCACCCTTGTACCTCAGGCCTGCCTGCACGCCTGTACGCCTGATGCTTCTTTCTGCACTGCCACTCCCAAGTGGCTGACATCGTCGTGCCAAGGGGAACATGCTTTGTCTGCCCTTGTCTTCGCCCTGTCGCACATTGGGCCTGCTTGTTTTGCTCTCAGATACCAACTTGACACATGCACATCACGCTGATCCAATCTACTTTGGTCACCATGGCAGACACCTCAACCATGAGCAAGGGATACGCATACTCCATTCGACACCACTAGCTTACATCCTTCATCCCCCAAAGGTTGCTTGTTCAAACGCGACACAAAGAGAAAAGAAAATGACTGACATTATCGCATCGATGTCTCGCACCCCGTCATGACAAGCCGCGAGCCCAAACATGGAGTCATAAGCCTACAAGCCCAACAAAGGCCAGCGGTGAATTCCCCCATGTTGTCTACCATGTCTTTCCCCCTCAAATTTTCGACGTTTTCTCAAGTGCTGTTGCCTGTGACGTCCATATAATCAATGCTCTGATATCCGCCCTCTTGCGTCGCCGCCAACCATGCCAGACGCTAAGGCTAGCCATCGTCGTCGTCGTCGAATCGTCCGGGAAAGAGAGGGCCGACCGTGGTGACCTTTGTCGTCGTGTGCGTGTAACGGTACTGGAATGGCAAGAATCAACGACAGGATTGTGTACAAATGCCAAGGGCCGTCTGCGTGGCCATGGCCGAAAGGGGGGGTAACGAAATCGAAATGGAGCGTGTTTCGCGTCGTTCGGCATCGGGACTCGGGGGGTGGGCTAGCGATTGCCATCGTCTAACGACGCCCAAACCTGCTGCAAGAGAAGTTCGTATTGATTCTGAATGAGTGTGGTCATGACTACTTCTAGCTTTTCTTGGTGCGAGGAGACGCTGGTCTGCCGCTGCCAAGGCTGGGGACGTACTTTTGTTTCTTCTCCGCGGGCTTGAGAATCTGTATACCCCATTAGTGCCTGTTCGACGTAACCTTGCGCGCCCAGAGCTCACCTGAAAGGAACACAGCAGACTCTCGTCAACGCTCATCATCGCACCTGCGTTGTCAAATTCACCGCAGTAGTTGGGTGCGCTGAATAGTGTTACGAGCTGGCGCTTGGAAAAGAACTCGTAACCGTCCTCGACAACTTGATGCGCACGGCAGATGAGGTCCATGTCATGCTTTTGCAGGAAGCGCGATACTACGTCGGGCCCGAATGTGAAGCTCACACCTCGGTCATTCTCGCTCCATCCGGTAATGTCCTTGTCTGGGTCGGACCAGAGGAGGTCGCAGAGGAGACCGCAGTCGGGAATCTGTCCTTGTTAGCCTGTGCGCTTGATGGACACTGCTGTTGCGGTTGCGATTTGAGCCTGACTCACGTCGGTGGGTCGCATGACGCGCCTGATCTGTTCCATCGAGTTAAGATCTGGGCTGAGACCGCCGTGCATAGTGAATATCTTCTCGTCGATGATGGCGGCAATAGGTAGGCAGTTGAAGCAGTCGGTAAACGTCTTCCACAGCTTGATGTTGTATCTTCGTTTGCATTCGTCGTAGAAGCCGTAGATGCGGTTGATGGAGGCGCACTCGTGGTTGCCACGGAGGACGAAGAAGTTCTCGGGGTACTTGATCTTGTACGCGAGCAGAAGGCATATCGTCTCGAGAGACTGCTTGCCACGGTCGACGTAGTCGCCTAGGAAGAGGTAGTTGGCCTCTGGAGGGAAGCCGCCGTACTCGAAGAGCCGTAGCAGATCATAGTACTGGCCGTGGATGTCTCCACAAATCTGAAGGGCAAACAAGTCAGTAGGTGCTCAGAAGCCAGATCTTGGGCTTCACAGCACTGCGCGTTGTGACTGACCTTTATCGGTGCCTCGAGCTCGAGCAGGATAGGCTGTGAGATGAAGATTTCGCGTGCCTTGGTGCATAGATAGCGGATTTCGGTCTCGAGCAGCTGCACCTGCTTGCCAGGCCGGCTGCCGCGGACCTCGAGCAGACGGTCTATGATGGAGTCCAAGTCCACCTCGTTCTCGGCCATAGCTGTGGCTTGCTACTGGCACTGGTGTGGGTGGCTGAAGGTGCAAGGGAAGACCTCGCGCGGGTGCGTGGGAGAGGGCTGTGCGTAGCACTGGCGGTGATTCTCCTGCACTGCGCGTGTTAGCAGCGCCCTATGCACTGGCTCCAATGGGGATGCCGACATACCTCTGATCTCAAAGAGTCGGCCGGATCGGGTCGTTGGTGGTCGACGCCTATGTGCGGGTGGAGTATGGCTCAAAGCCCCTCAAAAGCGCCTGGCGGCAGAGCTGGGATCACGCGACGAGTGGGGCGGCTGCGATATGCGCTGGTCAATTGTGCTTGTTGAGAAGGCGATACCTGTGCGGGCTGCTGCTGCGTCGTGGGCAGGCGAGCGCGGTGCAGCGGGGAAATGCTGAGGCGTTGTTGTGACCGGAAGCCTGTCGAGTGGGATGCTAAGAGTAACTTCACCGCCTGTAGCAAGCGGGGACGGCCTGGCTGCGAAGACACTGGGGACGAAAGGCGTACGACTGCTCGACACGGTATACCTAGGGGAAAGCGTGGGAAGTGTTTGTATACGCTGACTGGTAGGCCGGGTTGGGTTGCGGTGGTGAGAGGATCGCGCCGCCTGAGTAGTAGTTTTGCAGCGTTTCAGTTAGTCCTAGGCTGGGGCTGCCTTGGCACCAGAGCGTGCTAGCCCAACACAGACGCGCGTCGGTCCTTGGAGAGGTTGAAGATGTCTCGGTTTCTTTGCGGAATCAGCTATAGAGAGTGGTATCACTCGCGAGTGTCTGGTCTGCGCAAAGCTTCGGGCTTGGTTGTGGCTGTGGTATCGCCGTGCCATCTTCTGCCACTCTGCACCTGACTGGGTGCAACTGCCGCACAGTCACATCTACATAGTCCTCCAGCTATTGCCACAGCCCTTCACTCCCATCCCGTTTCCAACGCGTTCATTATCTGTGTTTGCCGGCTCCAGACAATGTTCCGCTCGAGAAGCTACAGCACCTCACGTGTCACGTTCAAGCTGATGGAAACCAAAGGCTGCCACATCTGAGAATACATGCTGGTCGTGCGCACCTTTCGCTAGGAAACAGTCATTGTATTTGTAGTCATGCGGGCATTCACTGCTAATGCGCGCTTCATGATGCAATAGATCAACCAACGCCTGCCTTCTTCCTCTGGGCTCCCTCACCAGAACGTAGACGACGCTAACAAGCAACACAAAGAAAAGCAGAAGCCAAGCACTCATCGCCAAAGGTGATGGGCAACCAACCTACAGTGCGCCGGTATAGAATTTATCTTACACTACCCGTTCCACCAGGAATATAGCCTTTATGTTCCCAGAGGAGAACACGCAGAAATGCAACACTACCGCCGTTTGACAAGAGACAGGAAGAGATGCCGCCCACAAGGTTGAAACAGCTCCGGAAAATGGTCTCGATCGGTACAACGAGCGGGACAAATTGCGACGCTCAAGTCCAACTCACATCCATCCAACGCCTTGCCTGAGGCCCCATAAATGAACTGATTAACAAACTATAGAGACAAGAGCGTCCGCCTCCGGAAGCTGCAGTACGAGTCTGGCAAATCGAAGAAATTGTTTTGGGTATCGCAAATGGGTAGATCGAGGGAAATTAGGTCAGCCAAGTGTACGACCAGAAACAATGCTTTGGCTTGGTGTGCGAGGCAGCGTTGGCCGAATGGTAGGGGAGCTGTACCCGCGATCTGAAGGAAAGCTAGTGACTGATGTATTGTCCCAGGTCTCGTCTCCTAGCGCGCTGAGCCATGTGTTACCGAAGTCTTGCCGAAGGGCTTCAATCTTCTTCTTGTACATATCCTCACCGACGTCGAATTCCGCTGATTCCGGCTCGTTGGTTTTGGTCGGGGGTGCGGTATCGATTGGGGGCAACTGTTGGTGGCTTGTGTGGGGTTCGTGTGCGATTGTACGCTCCTCTGAAACATTCTTCTTGGTAGGATCTCCAGAGACTTGTCCCTTGGACGGCTCTACAAGCCGGGGCGTGTCCGTAGCCAATGTGTTGCTAGCAGCCCTGGTGATCTTGGGGGCTTGTCCGATGATAGTATCCTCGTATGCCAACCCTGTCAAACTAGAGTGCGATGACGACTGCAGTGAGTCGGTTTGAGAAAGCTCGACGATTCTCCTCTTAGGGCCCTTCTTCTTCTTTTGGGAACCCTGTGCACTGCGCCCACTCTTGGTACGCTGCAGGGAACCGGTACGCTGAAGCATACCTGTTATGTCAGGCGGAGTATCGACAGATTTGACAATCTTTGGTGGTACGTGTCGCGGGGGTTGTGAATCATCCTCGGGCGGCGGCTTGACGATGGGAACACCATGCCGTTCGGGAACTCGGTCAACCAGTTGCTTCTTCTCGGCATTGCTAGGTCCTATAGAATCGATGACAATATCTTCCGTATAGCCTGGCGTCTTACGGAACAGGTTGAAAATGGTGACTCTATAGGTGGAATGGGTCTTGCAAAACGGGTTGCGATTGACATAAATATCACTTATGTCGGGAACACCAGTCAGTCGCGCGACTTCTGTGGGATCAGTCAACCTGTTATCACGGAAATCGACCCGCTCCAGAGATAATAGTCGCTCGACACCAGCCAACGATGTCAAGCGGTTGGAACGAAGGTTGAGCGTTGTGATGGCTGGCAGCGGGTTACGACCCAAAGAGTGCAAGCTGTCGATCATGCAATTGGACAGGTTTAGAGCGCGCAAACAGGTCAGACTGGCAAGACTGTCCGGAATCTCAGCAAACAAATTGGCAGAAATATCTAGAGACTGTAATGTGTTTGCCAAAGGAGCAAGACTTGCAACTGATATGTTGGTAAGAGCATTGTCAGCCAAGCTCAGATGTCGCAGGAAGCGCCACTTGGTTGCAGGGAACCAGCCCATAGAGAGGAGGTTAGAGGAGCTGCCTCTTGGGGTGGTAGAGCGCACGCTGGAACTAGAACTCCCAGACGAGCGGCGGATGTTGGGCGCATTTGTAGTGCTTCGACCATAGACATGGGACGAACCATGACGAGAGCTTGGGGGCCGCGTAGGCGAGGTACTGCGCTGTCGCTGGCCAGTCTTGGACGAATTCTCTGGCGCCACGACCGCGCTTCTTGGGCTTGTGCTCTGCTTACTGGCGGAGGTAGGAGAAAGCGGTGGAGATTCTGATGGCGCCAACTGACCAACCTTGGCGGACGGGCTTGCGGTAGACCAAGGCGCGGAAGAAGCATGTGTCTTTGCCGACCGTCTACGACGCTTGTCCATGTCGTCCAAGACGACATTGATAAGAAGGTCAGCGGGATCGTCAACACCTGCTCGCTTGACAGTAAGACTGCGAAGGTTTTCGGCCAGGCGGTCCCAGCCATAGAATTGCCGAAAGTCTACATCGTGAATCTCAAGCGCAGTGACATTCTTGAAAGCGAACAAGGGGACGGCAGTGTCGAAAGGAAACTCTTCATAACCCGCAATGAGACGGGCTTTGTGGTCAGGAGACAGCCTCAGGCACGGAATCTTAGTAAATGAAGAGTAGAGATATCGCAAGTCTTCCTGGAGTTGAACTTTCTGTTTCTCTGCCTTGGCTTCACTGTTTGATCCAATACGAAGGGTGGACCAAAGCGAGGACATGCCTGACATGACACTGCGAACGCTCGACACTGAATGTATGGAGTCGCGATCGGAAGACTTTGTTTTGTTGCGCTGAGCGCTTCCGAGGAACGACACATAGTTGGCCGGTGAAGCATCCGTGTGGATGTTCTCCAGTCGCACATTCATGGGGCCAACAGGTATGCCGAGCTCCTCGAATCGAGAGAGGATGTAGAAGAGATGGTGGGGCGTCAATGTTAGCTTGGCTGGCTTGATGGACTGTGAGGTGAAGGTCAGGGACGGCAAAGACAGCGCGGCAGCCCAGACGCTTGAGGACGAGGATGAAGGCGGACTAGCGGGGCCGTTGGGGGACGAGGGTGAAATAATGGCCTGGCCATTCTTGGGCATCTGTCGCTGCAGTTGCAGAGCGTTGGCGAGGGCCTTTTCGTGTGTTCGTACAAAGTACGCCAAGTTCTAGAGCCGTGTCAACGCATGTTCCGAGCAAGGCCAGTCATTGAGAATCGCACCCTTATGAAGACGTGGCCATCCTCGGTATCCATGATGAGAGAGCCGCAGACAACAACGGCTGCATATAGGGCGCCGGGGCTGTCGTAGCAAAACACGACGTTTACTGGGAAGGAAGGCGCGGTACGAGGGCCGTGGGGGGAGGGGACTAGGTACCTCCGGGGAGATAGCGGCGACCTAGGTACTGAGCCAGTCAGCGAGGGACACAGAGTAGAGTAGAGCAGAGTGAGAGTGAGTGATGGTCGGGATGCTGGCGAAGAAAGTCTTGGCAGCGGGGGTTGGACTCGACCTACGGAGCGCGAGGCAGAAGCAAGGAACTGCGGACAAGCAGGACAATATGCAGCGGCGCAGGAAAGAGCAGCCCTGGGCTACCGCGCAGCCTTGGACGACCAAAGTCCAGTACTTCAAAATCCGTAGCACACAGCGCGGACAAGCCAAGCGGGGAGTTCTGGCCGCGAGCCAAAAACTGGTGCGGCGACTGCGGCAGCGGAGGCGCGGGACGAGGGAGTGTGGATAGACAAGAACCGCCAGAACCAGCGCTGCTTCGCGTTGGGGATGAGCACAACAGTGAATGACAATGGGCTTGAGTGGGGCTCGGGCAGTCGAGCAGCTGGGAAATTAGATGGCTTCCCCAACACGGGTTGCCGCCTTGGAATGCCTGGTGCTGTCGAAGGGGGTGTCGAGTCTGCGGGAAGAAGCAGAGCAAAGGGATGACGGTGAAAGTCACGGGGAGGGACCTTGTTGGAGTGCGAGCTTCGAGGGTCGAGTTTGGCACGCAGCCCAAAGGCATCAAGAGGGCATCAAAAGTCAAGTCAAGAGCTGGTAAACACTTGGGACCGGACCCCTGCAGCGCCTGATTGGCTCGCACCGAGATAGCGCTAGCAGACACCCTGCTCTGAACCTCGCACCGCGCACCCTGGAGGAATGTCGTGATAGATGGCTGCCGTCAATGTTCTCCAACGCCGTGCGAGCTGGTATCACATGAGGGATCCAACACTTTCCAGGCTGCCAGATACCAGTGGTAGCGCCAGTCAAGACACCGCCAGGTGTGCATGACGTCCGTGCACACACCGAGCAGAAGGCCAAGCATACCGCCCGGCCCGTTTCGTGGCATCGACATTGCGCTGCGCTGTGCTGCGCCATCATGTGCGCCCCCAGTGCTTCGACTTGTACGCACAGAACCATTGGGTGTTTTTGGGCCTCAAACGCCAGCGGAGAGCACATGTCGCCCTTCAAACACTAGGTACCCAAGCATCCCAGCCACGAGATTCTCGCACGACAGATGCCACATCCCTGCACCCGGCCCCTCAACACCATGCCACCACCTGCGCCTGCCACACTTTACCGGTTGCATGTCACGATGCGGATGCCATGCCGTGGGTCACGCTGCTTTTCCATCCCTCCCATGCTGCAACATGCCATCATGCTCTTCTCTCCAAGAATCTCGCGCACGCTTCGTAGTGCTTGCACCATCGCATGCTCGACTGTCAGTGCGGGTAGCCTCCGTCTTCAAGCTCTATTCTTCAACCATTAGCTATTCTCCTGTAGTTACATCACGACCGACGCAAGTCTGCCGCCGAATTGGCGCCATTAGCGGTGAGGCCTCATGAATCCCATTCGACCGTCTCGTCACCTCTCGGTGCAGCGTACCAAGCCCGCACCTCTCCGTCCCTCAAGTGCCGCTGCAACGGTGCTTGTCGAACGGCTCTCCCACACTATTCTTTTCTCCCTCGTCGGCTAGCCCGTGATTGACATCATCTCGCATGTATACCCTAGACGACCTCCACCAACACTACTGAACTGACCCACTGGACACCCATAGTTTGGGGACAAGCTTTTGTGGATTTTCGCAACTCGGATGAAAATGCTATCAGATCCGTGGTGTGGCCCTCCAGCAATGCATGTCGTCACATGGACTTGATAACTTTCTCCTAGACTACTATGTTCTCATATTCGCGAATCAGTCTCTATAGATTGTAATCCTCAGCATCATGTCAGGTAGAAATCACCTCGGCCAAGGTAGACATGGACAGCAAAAGCTATCCCTAATAAAAACTGACAAGGCAGACGTTTGCATCACACTCGCGTTATTCGCATTAGCACAATCTTGACATTCAGCTTCTCAAACTTTCGAGGCATAATTAGAGACACCAGTTTTCTCTGCATGGCATGCGCTTCACAATGTCTAGTGCAGCCTGAACCGTGCGCGTAACATTACCCCACCACCCCACCTCAAAACCACCTTCACGAACACGTACGCCGAAGCCTTACCAATAGCCAAACAACACTCAGGTCGAACGAGACAAGAAACACGCAATGCTCGTTACAGAGACACACAAAGATGTACCGACCAAGGCAGGTGGCGATATGAGTATGTTGCTGCATGTGCCGTCCACGGGTGTCACGAGTTGTTACACGGAGGCTAATCTGTATGCCCGCCGTCCAGGGGTCTTCATCTTCCACCCTACTATTGCCAACTACCCAAAAGCCAAATTTCCGGCTGTCGTTGTATTCTCCGAGATATACCAAGGTAAGTGCGTTCGGTTTGATCTATTTTGAAGTTTACCAAGTGCATTCGTACACTTTGACGACCTCTGGAGTAAGAGTAGATATGGCTGCCTACTTGCGTGACTCCAAATTCTTCTTCTCTACCTCGCTCACCACGCGAACCTCATCATTCATCTCTTCATTCCCTAAAAACCACTTGTGTATCCCCATCATCCGTCTATGCTACCTATTTCATCTACTAATCGAGCTTGGACAAGTCACTGGGCCCGTTGCTCGCTTTGCTCGTCAAATAGCGTCCCGAGGCTTTATCGTCGCAGCACCATCTTCCTACCACGAGTTTACCGGCCCCGAGCCTCTGGCGTACGATGGTCCGGGTACGGACGCTGGGAACGAATGGAAGATCACGAAAACAGTCGAAGCATATGACGAAGATGCTAAGCTATCTATTGACACCCTGCTTGAATTGCCAACCTGTAATGGTCGGGTTGGCGCTACCGGTACGTTATCACTATCTTGTATCTTGTCCTTGTCAAGTTCCATCTCCATTTTACCTCCCTTTCCCACCCAACTTCAGCGTTCCCATCAACCCAGACTAACAGTAAGCAGGTATGTGTCTAGGCGGTCATCTAGCCTATCGTTGCGCTTTCGATCCCCGCATCTCCAGTGCAGTTTGCTATTTCGCAACCGATATCCACAGCTCCACGTTGGGCAAGGGCAAAAAGGATGACTCACTCGCTCGCACCAAGGATATCAAAGGAGAACTGGTCATGATCTTTGGTAAGATGGATACTCATGTCCCAGCCGAGGGTAGGGATTTGATTAGAAAGACACTCCACGAGGCTGGAGTGACGTTTTCGTTCTACGAGCCAGCTTGGGCACAACGTGAGTTCTGTATCGGCGCGGCTATGGAAACAACACTCATACGATATAGACGCTTTCATTCGCGACGAACTTAGCAAGGGCCGGTATGATGCTGCATTGTCGGGGATCTGTTTTGAGATGCTCAAGGAGCTTTTCGATCGGACGCTGCGAAGTGACCTGGGACCAAAGAGTGGTGGTGACGTCGAGGTCGAAGATGTTTGTTAGAATAGATCGGGCAAACGGACGCGGCACATTATGTTGTGATGTTCCTGTCGGGGTACAATTTGATTGACGACGAGCCAATAGGCCAATGCGGAAGCCGGCGATATGCCCACCTGCGCCAAGCCCGAATGCTACACTAAAAAACGGCTTGAAGTCGCCATGTCGATGCCTTGAATCCCATTGCCTGCCACAACCCCCAAGTCTACCTGCAGCTCACAAACCACCACCACCACCACCACCACCACCTAATCACTCATCATGCCTCGTCAACGCTCTGGAACCGCTCCTCCTCGTCGCCCGCAGATCCCAGCCGCGAAGCAAGCAACCACTGCCCCTGCGCCCGCTTCCTCGCGCCCTCACTCTACGGCGGCAGCTCCCTCACGCGCACCAGCCAGCGCTCATGCGCCCCCCCAACAACAGGCGCAAGCTCCCACGCCGCAGGGACCCGGCTTGTTTGGGCAAATGGCCAGCACTGCTGCGTAAGTAGATCCTAAGCACCCACCTTTGCGCCACCTGTTGCCACTACGCGGATACTCGCTGCATCCGAAACCCGTCCCAATGCACCAACATGCGTATTCATGGCTGACCTTCGCAACAGTGGTGTCGCAGTAGGTTCCTCCATCGGCCACGCAGTCGGAGGCTGGTTCGGAGGCGGTTCATCTGCCCCCGCTGAAGCTTCGCCTCAAAACACCGAGTTCTCTGCCCAGCACCAGCCCACTGACACTGCATCCGCCCAAATGGCGCAGTCCGGTCCTTGCGCAAACGACGTTCAGAGCTTTCGCAAATGTATGGATGAGAACCAAGGTAGTCTGACTATCTGTGGTTGGTACTTGGACCAGCTCAAGGCGTGTCAAGCGGCGGCTGGCCAATACTAGTGGAAGGGACACGATGGCAATGTACTTGTGCAGCATAGATAGCGAATATGGCATATTTCGTCATCAAGGTCAATCTCTAATATAGCATCATGTGGACAACGCAATTACCTTGGTTGATTAACATACAGTCATCCTCCCCTACATCGATCCCCCTCAATATCCCCCTTCATCTCCGGAAACGTGTCGAAGAACTTCTCGTCTACTGACCAATACTTTAGATCCCCGTGATATCGCTCAAACAGAGGACTAGGATAATGGACTCCACTGCTATCGTCAAGGAAGAAAGCGTCTTCAATGGGAAACGGCCAGTCGAAGCGCAGATAGCGCGAGTAACAGCATGAGAGATCGGTGTTTTGGAAGATCGTGGCATGGTTGTTCAAGAGGCGGGAGCGGAGGGTGGGCCAGGCGAAGAAGTCAAGGGCGATGGGGTGGGCGGTGGATGACTGTGAGAAACTGATCGTGGTGTCAGAAGGACGGACGAAGGAGTGGACTGGGCTGGCGTGGTATGGGGGATGTATGCGGGTGGGTAGGTAGGTGAGAAGATTACCTTGGACGGAGCCAGTCGGGTACTCTGTCTAATTCTTCTTTTCTTGCGTTCAGATAATACTATCGCACGTAGATTAGCTTCCTACTTTGCATGCTTCATGCATGGTGAGCTGACGTCGACGTACCTTGAGCAGTTTGAAGCTCTTATACGCCACAGCCAGCCTCTCTACATTGGGTAAATGGACAAACAGTAACTCGTCGACCTGTTTCAGAATGGTAAGCGCAGGACTTTTCTTCCATTCTGACGAGGCTAAACTGTTCCAACCCTGCTTGATGCCAACGTATAGAAGTCCTGCTTCTGCGATATCGGCCGGCACTAGATTGTGGCATGAAGATGAATACTTGTTAGAATTGCCTGAGTAACGACGATGGTAGGTGAAGACTTTGCCAAAGAGTTCGTTGCTCTTTTTCCAAACAGGGCAAATGGAGGATGAGGCCAGGGGGGTGGGGTTGTCTGGGTTGCCAATGTGGAGGATTGTTGGAGAGGGACAACGCCAGTTTGGGCCGAAAATCTGTAGGTAGTTGTGAGTCAGACAGGGAAGGAAGGTGAGGGTTAACATACTTCTTCCATCATGGGCGCCCATGTTGCTGTAGCTGATGCGTTGGCCCAGTGCTGGTCTTCTACCTTTTCTTCTGCTGAGCTCTTGTGTACAAGCGGGAGAGCGGGCTCCAAGCCCAGATGTTGATTCGACCCCACAGGCGACATAAATAGATCTGGCATCACTGTCATACCATCAAGGTCGAGCGAGCGCATTGTTTCAGACGGAATATGGGCGGTGGGCTGGTCGATGGACGTCGGCAGAGATGGTCTCGTCGTACTGCTAGACGAGATAGTGCGTGGTTTAGGCGATTGCTGCCCTAGCATACAAAGTGAGCCATACCGTCGAGGGGTCAAAGGCCATTGCTAGAGGTTCATGCATACCGGCACTCGTTGCAGCAAAAGGAGCGTCCCCATCGTCACCATTATCGGCGAGGGATGGTGGTACGATCGCCGCAGCGGTCTTGCTCGACACCCCAAGGTCCAGTCCCACCACGCTTTTGACGCTATCGATGACATCCCTCAACTGCTCGTTTTCTGCCCGTAGATTATCAATCTCGGAGAGCAGACTCGCCGTAGCCCCATTACGATCCTGATCGCGAAGTATCTGGATTGTTCGTTCTAATTCCGCGATGTGAGTTTTGGTCTTTTCTCGCAGTGAGCGTTGAGCTTCACGGTCAATAGCTCTTTTCCGTTCGCGACGCTCTTGTTCTCCTAGGCACGAAGCACGTCGTTTTCGCTTGGCGACGGTTGCAACGGGTGTTTGAGTTGGGGGAGCCGCTGCATCGCTAGCGCGTCGGTTCACCATGGCAAGATAGTGGGTATGATGTCAAAGCAAGGTCTTCAGTTCTTTATTGAATCGTGCAGTTCAAGTCAGTAAAATGTCAACGTCTCCGAGTCAACGATCTTTCCAGACTAGATACTCCGTTATAATCCACTTTAGTAGCGCCTACCTCGGGAGTTTCCTTTGACATCATGTCGAGCTAGCGCTATCCGAACGCTTCCATGCGGGGAAAGGTGGGGTTATGGGGCGCATGTAGGGTGCATGCGATGACTACCTCTTCCCACATACTGTGCTAACTCTATCTGACTTGGTTCAGCAGCCTCGCAGAGTTTGGTGCGAGGCTACTGGCCTAGCACATCAGAGACGCGCCGATCGACGTCTTGTGCTAGGAAAAGCATCACCGAAGCTTGCCAACATATGCACGACGGGTAACATTCACCCACGTAGAATGAGGACTTGTTCAGTTACCAGAATGAATAGGTAGGTAAGAAAAACTAACTATACCAGAAGAGTGCACGGGAGTTGCAAATTCAGGATAGCAAGCTCCATCCTGCAGTCACGTCTACAGCTTGGAAGGTCGCCAGTTTGGTTTCCGCTTCTCTGCAAAAGCCTTAAGCCCCTCTAGCGCATTATCCCCCGCGTTCAAGCCGTGGTTATACTGCTCAATCGTTAGTTGAGTAGCCCGCTCCACGCTCCCGGTTTCCCAAGCTTCCTTCAGCGCCGCTCGTGTGACAATTGCCGAATCGGGTGAAATCGCCGCGATTTCATTTGCCAGTTTCAACGCCTCCTCCACTACTGTGTCTTGGGATGGCGATATGCGATTGACGAGGTTGAGCTCTTTCGCTCGTTGTGCGGTGATGGGTCGGCCTGTCAATGCCATCTCGGATGCGATGGGGAGGCCTACGTTGCGGACTAGACGTGGTGGGCCTCCTGCGCCGGCGAAGATGCCACGGAGAGCTTCTGGGAGGCCAAAGGTTGCGTGAGGTGCCGCCACAACCATGTCGCTGTGAAGCCGCTGATTAGCAGCCTGTCTCATTCCTCAATTCATAGCGAAGCGCGACGTACCAGCCCAGAACAATTTCGAACCCTCCACCCAGCGCAAACCCATTTACAGCAGCGATAACCGGCTTCTTTCCCATCCTTCTGCTCAGCCCCCCAAACCCACTCACAGGGTGTCGCATCATGCCGGGATTTGCTTTCAGCTCCCCGCTCCTAATCTTCCCGAGTTGAATGAGATCTTGTCCGGCGCAAAAACTCTTCTTGCCTGCTCCTGTGACAATGGCAACGCGGAGGTTGGGCTCGTGGTCGAACCAATCGAATACCTGGCCCATTTCAAGGTGTCCTTCGAACGGTATCGAGTTCATTTGTCTTTCGCGGTTGATTGTAACAAGGAGGACATAGTCGGCTGGATAAGAGAGGACGACGTGTGAGGTGAGAGGTGGCGTTGTTTGGCAGTTGACGGATGACATGTTGGGCAGGGGACGGCGGACGAGACGATCACTATGAACTGTTCGAGTGAGGTCACATTTGCGACTGCTGTCGTGAGAAGTATTCAAAGGTATGGATAGCCCACGGCTTCGAGATATGGTACCAGGCTGCTGATGGAACGAGCATGGGTAAGCTTGGGCGTATTGAAGCCGAGGTATCTTCCCCGCCTGACACTAATGCAACCATGTCTAAACACCTCGTCGGTCGGCACTGTGTCAACCTTGAACACATAGTCATTGTTTACATCTCGAACAACTGAAAAGACACCTGGAGTATCGCTCGATTCAGCGCACGAAGCCTTCAACATTATGCACCCACTTCAAATAAGCACGTTGCGACCGAACCCTTTGAGGTTTCCTTGTTTGCCAGTGGCGGCCTTGACTTGAAGACGCTGACAACACTTACACCTCAGTACACGCTCTGGACAGTCTATGTAAGCCCAAGCGACTGCTAGAACGTACAAATGATTACAATCATGCCGCGCTGTATCTTATCGCCAGCTCTCGTTTTCGCAATTATTGCGCTAGGCTCTGGGGAAGTGACCTGACCTTAGTAGCTTCTTTACCGTATCCAGTGTGACGTAGCGTCCTTGATCTGATATCGTAGGGAGATTATCCGCGTGTCGGGGGTGAGTTCCGAAGGACGCCGTGGCGGCACCGACGTACTAATCTGTCTCTACGTATCACTGGTGATATCTGCCTTTGGGAAGATATGGCCTTGGTAGCAGATGTATTTGTATAGCCTTGGATACTGCATATGCGTTTATGTACGACGCTTAGTTGTATCTATCAAGAGCTCTTCAGAGCGTAAACCCGGCTTATTTCAACGCATACTTATAGCTCCTCGTCTTGTTGTAAGCATTTGGTCAATTGTGAATTATCGCTACTCCTTCCGTCGCGTTCCAAGATGCTTTACGACAATGAAGTTGTCTTGGGACTGCATTATGGCACATGCTGCGGCAACATGGCTACTAAAGGAGAAGGGTTCGAAGAGAGCGATACCCCAGTCCCGAGTCAGGACATGCTGTTTTGCACATTGGTCGAAACACACTTGTATGAATAGTCTTTGACGCGTTCTTCAGCGACCTTTCACGTCTAATTGGGCTATACCAAATTTGGACACCTTTCTGATGACACCTACTTGTCTATCCATTCATCTTAGCGCTTGTCGATCTTACATTATAATAAATCCATCAATCGCGTGTATTCAATAGACTGTCCAGGCAAGAGTAGTTAGTCTAGTATATCAAGCATATAAAAATGGGCCAAGAGTGAATATTGGATCATTTTATTATTTGTCGCGTGCTAAACACCTGCCACAGGGTATCACATCGACATGAAGGCGCCACTACTCTCCTTGGTACACCATGCGGATCCGGTAGATCTATTGCACGCGTCATTGGCATGTATATCGTGGCTTTTCTTTCTCGGTCGTAGATGCTGCAGTAAACGTTGGAGGTGAGATGACAAAACGGCTCGAATAGACGCCGGCTCATCATATTTCGCCTGGCCCATCCACTACACATTGTTCAAGTCTCCATGCGCTGGTAGAATAGGATGTAGGCCACCTTGTTGTCGCGCATATTCTCGCTGGGCAGTGGCGTCCTCTTGCCCGCTGAGATAGGAGTTGCCGTACCATTGACAGCACTGGTCCATTTCTTGATGCTGTCCTTTTGCTTCTCGGCTCCATTGACTTGGTTCCAGCCTCCTTTGTCCGTCTCTTGCTCATCCAAGTCGATCCGGGCGAAGAAGTTCTTACTCTTCCCCACATCGCTCTGGTGTTGCTCGAGCGCAGCCGCCAGGACCTTGGGATCTTCTTCAGCGCCGCCCTCAGCGACATCTTCGGCGCGGATGCGACGAATGATGGTATCGTCCATTCGGATCCATTCCTTGCCCTCCTGGCGCCGGAGGTCGACGGTGTAGTGGCCGCCACTTGCGTTCTTACCGTGGTGGTACACGACACCTATAAGCCGGTAACGCGGGAAGCATCCCTGGATCTGATAGCTGCTTCGCTTATGCGGGGGGAATACCTCCCTCGGAAGCTCCAACTCCAAGGGGTATCCAATCTTCTTCCAAATCTTTTGTGGTCCCTTTTCGTCGTAGTGAAAACGCTTCAGGTGAAGAATGAGGACTGGTGGGAGGGTCTCGATGTGCACTTGTTTGGTGGAAGCTTTGGAACCCCGAGCCGCACCGTCCAACGTCTCCAGACGTGTAAGATTCTTGAGAGCATCAGAGATGTTGTTAGTGTTGGGCTCACCGATATCAAGCTGGAGGGGTTGGTACGGCTCAAGCGTGACCGAGGCCTTCTCGCCTGGCCTCTTGTATTCCGACCGCAACTTGCCACCGAAAATCTTGGTGATGGGACTTTCAACATCAATCGCCCCAGAGTTTTGTGTAATGGAAGTTTTTTGCTTGTGCCCAACCTCTTCCCAACCACCATCAATGGAGCCTGATCGTGCGGTCCCGGGGGATGCGACGGCGTCTGCGGTCTGGCTCTGCTTGCCACTCTTGATGATGTGGACGCACTCGTCATGCAGTCCAGCAAGCAAGAAGCCCAGAAACTCCTCGGCGTCTTCTTGCTGACCCCTCTTCATGTTGTCGAATCGAGGCAGACGCTTTATAACGTCGTATACGTACTCGGGTGTAAGCGGGTCACCGTACTGCTCGAGCTCGTTGCCTTTGAGCCGAAGACGGAGTTGATCGACGGTGTCGGCAGAATCGATGAGTCGGAAGTCGCGCAGGAACATGATCATGGCGTCCACAAGAGGTGTTTCGGACTTGAAGCTATGCGCAGCGCGCTTTGAAACTTGATCAAGGAAGTCGTAAAAGGGAACGCAGAACAGGAGTACTTGGAGAATCTGCAAGACAAGTCAGCGTAGCACAGAGTAGAGTAGCGGGACTAGGTCGCACCGAGTTCATATAGCACAAGTTGCCCGTGTTTACAAGCCCTCGAGGCTCGATAAAGGAAACCTTTGTCTCGGCGTCAACTGAGAAAGACGCCAGAACGTGTGCAAGCGTGATGTTGTTGGACACTACAGGGCCGTTGGGAACAGCCAAGGTATTGTTGGGAAAGGGGGCTGGCTGCGCGACGACAGGAGTGTTCTTCGCCCTCAACAGCTCTGCCCAAGATTTTGGTGCTGCCGGCCGAGGCGGGGATGCCTTTGGTGTCTCTTCGGAGTTTGGGCCTGTGTGGGGTGTTGTTGCTGTAGTGTCTCCATTCTGGGTGTGCTCCTGATGAATGCCGGCGGGCGATTTAACCGACTGTTGTGTCGTCGAAGGTGCACTAGGAGCCTGTATTGGTTTGACAGGAACGCGGGGCACGGCTGGTATCGTGGGGTTGCGGGCGTGCTGCTTGACAGTAGCTGAAGGCTGGGCTGGCGATTGTGCGGGCAATGGTGTTGCAGTAGACGGCGGGGCAGATTGCGCCAGATCGACTTCTGAAGGCGGGTGTGAGGTAGACGGAGTATCGACATCAGCGTCAGAGGGTGCTGGTATGGTAGAAGCCTGCGAGTCCTCCGGTTCCTCGGTCGGGGTCAGCTGGCCTTGGGTGCCTTGGTCGAGGTACGTGGCGTCATGCTCGTCCACGGGCTGCTCGCGCGAGGGCAGGGCCAAAGCCTGGTCTTCGATGGACACGGGAGCTCTGCGCCTTCGCCGGCGGCGTGCAGCGCGCGGCGGGAAGACTGAATCGGGGACGGACAGCCAGGGCAGGGGCGGGTAGAAAGGCTTGAATGTGATGGATTGCGGCGTGGGCGGAGCGGCCTCTGTAGGCTTTGACTCAGCCTCGGGAAGAGGGGCGTCGAAAGTCATGGGAGCGGGCGAGTGCAGCGCAGGCGTGAGCGGGGCGGGTGCAGGCGTGGGCATGCGCGGAGCAGGCGGAGTGTGCGAGTGGACGATGGGCGGCGTTTGCGCCATGGGGCGGTTGGCCGGAGGGCCAGTGTGCAGATGCGAAGAGACGACGACGGGCGACGCATGGGGTTGAGGCTGGAACTGGCGCGGAGGCATGGCGTACTGGGGCGGCGGCGGCGGCGGCGGCGGCGGCTGCTGCTGCTGCTGCTGCTGATAAGGGTACCATTGCTGCTGCTGGGCATAGGCGTGGGGAGGGCCATAGTGCGGTAGGTGGTGGTGGTTGTGGTGGTAGGGCGCGGCATAGGGGTTGTGGTGGACGGGCGAGTGTGTCTGTGGCGGCATCGAGTGGTGGTGGTGGTAGAACTGCTGCTCGTGCCTTCTGCCAGGCATGTAGGGGCCGGGCATCGTGGGCGCTGGAGGCCGTGTTGCCTCGACCGTGGGCGCTGGCGGGAGCCGTCGCAGCCAGCTTGCGAGGCAACGGGGAGAGGGAAATGTCTAGTGGGACTGCGGGGTCATGGTATCAGGACGACATGAGCGCAGCACGGGCTGCCCGCGACGGAGACACGTGGGGTGCAGTGTAGAGGTAGAGGTCGGGGTGGATTGCTGTTGGGGTCGGGATCGATGAGGTTGTAGAAGAAGCCGCGCCAACGTGATCCGAAAGGGCAATCGCAGCCGTCTGTGCGGAGACGCTGTCGTCAGAGCACCATCGCCACTCGGCCTTGCGACTCTCGTCGTCTCCAAGCCACCTCTTGGGGACGCCAACCCTCGCAGCTACATACCACCGCACTCGCACTACTCGCCCTTGTCCTGCTCGTGAACCCTTAGCTGGGCGTCATGTCCAGCAATCCGCCCACCGCCGCCGCCTCGTCCAAGGCCTCCGCTCCCTCGGGGCCCGCTTCACCCGCCCAGACGCAGACGCCCTCCGCCAGCACCAGCAGCTTCTCCGCGCAGCCGCGGGGTAGTGGCGCGCCCGCGCGGTCATCACCGACTCCCCGCAACTCGCAGCAGGAGAAGAAACAGCACAGGGCGTCGAAGCGCTTCAGGCAGACGGACGAGGATGCCATTGCCGAGTCTCTCGCCATGCGTCCCTTCCAGAACCGCAAGGGCCAGACGTCCATTACCCACCTCATGAACTTCAGCTTGCCGCCCCGCCCAACCAACCATGCCGCCCATGGTCACGCAAGGAGCTATCGGCGCAATCCGACGTGGGGCCTTGGCTCGGGCTACCACGCTGTAGACAAGGCAAGGTGAGAGTCCCAGCAGGAGCAGCACCGTGTCGACTATTCCGCTAACACCATGCAGATACGTGCACGCCAACTACCGCTTCATCGTAGACCCCCGCGGCGACTACCGCGCCCAAAGTGTCGATGCCGATGTCCACCTCGATTGGAACAACGTCCTGCAGATACTGGCTTCCGAGCTTTCGCAAGATGCCTCGTGTCCCATTTGCCTTGGCACACCCGTAGCCCCCAGGATGGCGAGGTGTGGCCACATCTTCTGTCTCCCATGTCTCATCCGCTACATGCATTCCGAAGACGACGCCAAGGCCCGAGACAAGCGGGCACGTTCGAGCAAATGCCCGCTGTGCTTCGACACCATATACGCATCTGAAACGAGGCCAGTGCGCTGGTACACAGGCCAGGAGGGTGAGCCTCCCCGCGAGGGAGGCGATGTAGTTCTCCGCTTGGCTGTCAGATCCGCGGGAAGCACCCTGGCTATGCCCCGCGATGGCGCGTACGCTATGACCAAAGACGAAGATATCCCTTGGTATCATGCCGCCGAGGTAACCGATTATGCTCGCATAATGCGCGGTGGTGAGGACTACATGCTGCACCAACATGATCAGGAAATTGTAAAGCTGGAGCAGCAAGGAAAAGAGGATGAAGTCATGTTTGCCGAAGACAGCATGGAATGGACCAACAAGGCAATAAGGAGTATCCGAGAGGCCAAGGAGAAACTCAAAGGAATCGGAAACCCACCAGAGGAGCCCGCCAAGCCCGTGGAAGCCAAGATGAAGAGAGCGCCCATCGTATTCGACGAGACGACGGCACCAGACATGTACACCGTACAAGACCATTCCCAGGTCGGTCTTGCTTACGGCAAGGACAGGGCCATGTCCGTTTCTTCGCACTCTTCAGCAGCAAGCCATGGAATGTCTTTGACGCTTGCAGAGCTTCGTAATCGACAGCACCACGAGCACCATCAGACGCCCGCGGAATATTTCTTCTACCAAGCACTGTTGCATTACTACTTATCTCCGCTAGACATTCGCATTTTGAAAGCGGCTTTCGGAAATTTCGCCTCGTTTCCCTCAACGATCCTTCCCCGTGTCGAGCATGTATCTACGGGACATGTAGTCGATGACGAATTGCGCAAGCGCACAAAATACCTGGCGCATCTACCGTACGGCTGTGAGGTTGGTTTCCTTGAATGTGATTGGACCGATACTGTCGCCCCAGAAGTGCTGGAGCGCTTCCGACCCGATATTGAGAGAAGGCGAAAGAGGCATGTTGAGAAAGAGAGTAAAGAAGAGAAGGCACGACAACGTGCGGAAAAGGCCGAGTACGCCGAGTTTGCATCTGCGCGCAGAAGGCGTCCAAGCATGACAGAGAGATTCTCCGCCGACGATTTTCAGCCTCTAGCATCAGGCAGCATGCCGGACGCGCAGCCCGTCATGGATGGAGACAACTCTTCGACGTCGCCACCCTGGCCACGGCGGCGTGGCGATGGCTTCGCTCCGTTGGCTTCTCCTTCGTCAAGCCCGTCAGCGCCACGGACCGTATGGGGTACGGCGATGGTGGCAGGCACGTCTCCAGTGTTTGAGCCGCAGGATCATCATGATGGCGATGATGGGTGGCTGCAGGGCTGGGAGAAGGATTTGCTTGCCGAAGAAGACATGATTGCCGAAGCACAAGCCATGTCTCTAGGTGGAGGCGAAGAAGGCACAAAGAAGCCGGCCGGTGGAAAGAAGAAGAAGGGCAAAAAGATCACGTTGATGAGTACGAATGTACGGAGGGGAGCGTAGTTAGTTTCGTTAGCATCACCGAGTCGCATGGCGCGAAAGGGAGCAATGAAGACGTCAAGATAGGCTCAAGACTACGCCGCCATTTATCGTCAGCCATGCAAGCGCAGTCCCCATCGCCTCACGTCGCCTGCCCTAGATCAAACAAGCGCTGCACGCAGCTGTGCCACCCATCTGAATCGGCGGTCTTGAGTCGCTCGTCTGTGCGATGCTCCCAGCATGTCCACCGCCCCGCGCTTGACTACCAGACCTGGGTCCAGCACGACCCCGCCCATGCATGCCGCCCTGGTAGCTGCCTGGTGCCGGTGCAGTGACGGCAGGGCGATACGTGGAGTTATTGATGCTTGGTGCGCGGTAGGGGGACCCTCGTGCGGCGGCCCACGTGTCGAGGGAGAATAGCGTAGTAAGGTAGAGGGCGAGGAAGGTGAAGAGCGTGCCCGTGGGCGTCGTGGAGGTCGCAGGCGAGGCCGTGGGCCTAGAGCGGGTTGTCAGTATTGTATGCGAGCAATAAAGGGGGCGGTGGCTAGGTGTACTTGTGACCCTCCATGTTGTGAGGTGCGTTATCTCGAGGATGCTTTTAGATCAGAGCAGCTTATACCACTATCGTGGTGGGAAAGAGACATCGAAGTTAAGTTGCGCTGCTGCAGTGGGCGGAGCGAGCGGCGGTGCCGCAAGCCGCAAGCCGCGGTGCGACAAGGGTGGGCGCGCTAAGACATGACAAAAAGTTGCGACCTTCAACGAGCATCATACCACCGACCGATTCACATTGTCCCACGACCGCACCCGTGACTCAAGAGCACGTTACGCCATCTTTGTTCACGACGTCATTACTTTGAAGGGCTCCAGCTCAAGTCGAAGACTGACCATGACCGTGCATCAGCCTCCATATGACAACTTCAATCCTGCCAAGAAACGCAAACGCGACACCCAAGAGCAACAAATAGACGACGTTGATACTTCTAAACCTACCGCTCTTTTCACACCAACCAAAGGCCGCGACTGGACCGTCACTATCGCTTTGCCCGGAAGTTGGACTCTCAATGCCAAGAAGCCCGATCACAAGACTATCCAAGTCGGACGAATCGCACGCGCAGCCGCCATCTACTGCGTCGATGAAATCATTGTATTCGATGAAGATCCAAGCAATGTCGACCCCAGAGTCGTTGATCCAAAATATATCCGCAAAGGACGGTCCAAGCAACAAGTCCTCGACTCTATCCTGGAGCACGATGAGGCATGGCAGAACCCAGACCAGTTCCTTTGCCATTTATTGTCTTATGCCGAATGCCCACCCCATCTACGATACGACGCCGAGGATCCCCGATTGAGCATCTTCAAGGAACATCAGAATCTCAAATGGGTTGGTAATCTCCCGAGTATGGATATGCCGCACCATCTTCGAAGCCACGAGTGGTGTCGGTATCGCGAAGGTGTTTTTGTCGGCCCAGCCCCTTTACCCACATCATTGATACCCAAGAACAACAAGTCAGGGACATCTCTGTCTCATGACTCAGAGTACGCATACGTCAAATGCGGTCTGCCGTACCCCATCCGCGTCCCTGTCCCCAAAGAAGCCCCTCCTGAGCAAGGCATGCGCACAACCGTTCGCTTCACAAATGCCGATGCACCACCCAACTGGCCTCACCTATCTCAGCAGGAATGCAATCGACTAGATGCTACGGCATGCGCGGCCAGCGTCCCACGTGAGGAAGGCGGCTACTACTGGGGATACACGGTCCGACGCGCTCCATCACTCAGCGCCGTCTTCTCCGATTGCGAATACCCAGATGGCTATGACATGTCTATAGGAACATCAGAACGCGGCCAGTCTGTCTACTCACTGTTTACTGACACCGGCAATGAGTCTGCTACGTTTGCAGCGACAGCCAGAGCTCACAAACCCTTCCAACACCTCCTTATTGTATTCGGTGGCCAGGCGGGCATAGAACCAGCTATTGCGAATGACCCGGTTCTCGCGGCAAGGGGACTGGGCAAATCGATGGCTAGTGAGCTTTTTGATGCTTGGGTTAATTTGGTTCCGGGACAAGGCAGCAGGACAATTAGAACAGAGGAAGCTGTTGTCATCGGACTTGCGGCGCTGAAGCCTTGGGTGGACAGAACGATGCAGGTATAGAGGCATGATCAGCCAGGTTCTCGGCCTAGTGCTAGGAGGTTGACATGCAATTGCCTCATGCTCGACGGGTTTCACAATGAAATCTATCCTCTACAGAACAGTACTTGAACATTATTAGCTGTACTAGATCTATGAAACTGTCTTGCTTCTCCATGCATCCTCGATTCTGACACCCAGACAGGTCAGCATATGCTCGTCACGGCCTTTCCTAGCCTTATAGTGTACCCTCGCCCAAGCACCTCTTGAGAGGAAACTCATCGCCTGTACAAAGACTGATAACACCGTCAACCCATTCCATATTATCAAATTGCTTTGACTCGAACGAGTCAGCCTGGTAGTCGGATAGCTCTCCATCACCGCCGATGGTACCCGTCCAGACACTTCCACTCGCACGGTTGGTCCAGGGGTTACTGACAAAAGCGCCGTACTTGTCCTTGGGGACTTCGGCGGTGAAGGTTTGAGTCTGAGTCGTTTGCCACGTCTGGCTGTAGTCGATCGACATGGAGACTTGGAGGAAGTCTTTTACAAGTGTCAAAGTGCTGCTCGCCCCAACCGAAATGCTGTTACTAATGGAGAAACCCGAGGCGACGGAGATGGTAGTCGGTGCGCCCTTGGTGACTTGGCTCATCTGAACATCCCAGCCCAAGAAACGAGAGTTGGGGTTTGGAATGATAATGCTAGTGTCGCGTTTCAAGTGCTGCTTGCCCGGCATCTTGGTCTCGTTGCCGGAGAAGTGAATCTCAGCAAGGTAGGCAGGCTTCGGAGGTACAGCACTGGCCTTGCGTGCAGCTTCCAGCTCTTCAAAGGCGGATCGCTTCATAACAGTGAAGTGGCCTTTGCCGTGGAGGATAACGTCATCCAGTCCGATCCTTACGGGTGCGGGAGCAGCCGCGACGAGAGCGGCACCAAAAATGAGCGTAATGAAGGAAGCGGAGTGCATTATAGCGAGTATATATATGAAGTGAAACGAATGTGTAGAACTTTATGAAAAGAGTGACAGCGCAGGTAAGATGGTGAGAAGAATTCATGGTCAGGAAGGCGTGCTCTACTTATCGTCAAGACATGCCAGAAAGTTAGCACCACATTGGCGGCGTCGGCAGTATAACTGATCATAACATGGGTCCTGAGACCCAATTTTCACATTCCAGCTTTCTCAGCAAGCACGCACGTCAATACATCCCTTGGCAGGGATCTATGAAGGATTAATAATGGTGGAGTATACGAACCTAGGTAACGTGTTCAGGTGCGCGGCTGATTGGCCGCATAGTTTTCCGGTGATTTGCTGTCTCGAAGTACGAATAGTTCTTTCATGCCTACCCACAGGATCGCCGTAGGATCTCTTGTTCTGAGTGGGCCTTGCTAGGCCCAAAATTAGTCGAGAGACCCCTCGAGTATCACTGTAACAGAAACACGCTCGCATCGTTCTTTCGGGCCGAAGCGCATGACGTGCAAACCCTTTCCAGGTTCTCGGCATCTACCCTTAATAATACGAGGCATCGGATTCCCGACTTCTAATAGGACGCTGTTCTAATAGTCGACTCGGTTCACCTGCCGAGAGAGCGTGGTATCGGTGCATTGCCGTGTGGTCCCTCGATACCGTGGTGGCTCAACCACGTTTCACAACCTTGGAAGGAAGGGGCACTCGCCACAATTGCGCCGAAAACAGACGAAGGACAGTTGTAATGATGGCGATGAAAGCATGAACGAAGATCCATTCTTTCATCAGTTCATACTTATTTATCTTGTTTCCACATCCGGTTCTGAACAGTACCCAACTTCCGCTCTTTAATCCTTTGGTGCACCTGGTTTTTGAAGTCAATTCTGTCGTTACCCTCGCTCTTTCCATAATATTTCGAAACCTGAAGCCGTCATGCGTTTCTCTGTCGTCATCCCCGCACTTTCCGTCCTCATGGGCTCGTTTGTCAGCGCCGACCTCCACAGGGAAGGTCTTTGTGTTGATGAAGTCGGCGGACAATACGTATACAACGCCGACGCAACAACAAAGGCATGCGACGCATATCTGAAGCGCAACACTGGCGGCCAGCAATGGGATACATGTGCCGATTGCAAGATGGTGAGACATACAAGAATCCTTCCATGAACCCTTTGCATGCTAACATTGTGCAGACCGAAGTCGGCAAGCTCAACCTCTGTCAATCGCTAGGGAATCATATCGGTGGTGATGAGTTGAACTATTACTGCAAGGAGAATGGCGCTGGGAATTCATTAGCCTCATAAGCAGCGGTTGACAAAGAATGGCTTTCGTGAAATGCAGCGACTTTGCTGTCGCTGTGTTGCGTTGGGGGTTGATGTATGTCGTCTTGCAAAGTTTTACCAATCAAGAGTAATGTAAATCGACAACAAAAGGCTCACAACACGGACGCATCGTTTTGCATGGGCTCATATCGTCATCTCCCCCATTGCGTTGTGTCCCGAATATCCCAACTTCCCTGCAATGACTACAAGGTACAGTGCACTTGCTAACCATCTGGTCCGCTAGTGCTTTCTAGGGCAATGCTAATACGGCTATTGTGATCGAGAGGGCAAACATCTCGGTAATAAAAAGCGATGAGACAGCATCCCTTATCTTGGAACAAGCCCACTAGATTCACTGAACGTAGCGATAACGATGAAAGGGAACCAGATCTGTCAGGAGTCTAGATCATAGACTTGCACGCGACTTTGACGATACTGAAGTTCCATCGCGGAAAATGTATACGGACGCTTTTGTTGTTACAGATGATGGTCTCGTTAATTGTAAGACCAACAAGAATTCCAACAGTCTTTCCCATCTGTCCATAATCGGAAGGAAAGATCTCGACCTCGTCGCCGTACTTGAGATTATGTGGATTGTCATCGATGATTGTGATGTTTTCAGGTGAGGTAGAAGTGCCAAGAATTCGTTGGACCATAGTATTTCCGTCCAGCGTTGTGGGCATTGGCATTTCCTTCCTTTTCTTTTCCAGTTGTGTCACAAATCTCTCTACCCACGAAAATACTCTCGGATACGTCTTAGCGTTAAAATAACGCGCGGGAAGACTGTCCTTCATAGTGGGCTCCGACATCAACCACTTGAACGGCCACACAGAATCGATATCTGCTAGCGACGGCTCCTGCGTGTTCAGAATCCACGCCCTGCCATCAGCAAGGAAAGTAGACTCCAACATGTCAAAAGCTAGCTGCAGATGCTGCGTGCCCTCGGGCCGCCCCGACTCCATATCATCGGCAGTGAAGCGCCTTCCCATGAGCTTCTGACGATCATCCACAAAGGCTTCATTCGATAAGAAGCTTGTCTCCTGCCAGTATGGTATCATCCTCACGGCGTTGGCGAAGATACCGCCGTCGATTGTCCAGCTTTCGAAGAGCTTTCGAATACCGACAACCATTGGCGTGCAAGGTGAGAGAGCGCTGTTGGGGTACAGAGACTCTAGCTTGGATATGATGAATCGAGAATCGCAGTATATGTCCTTTCCGATGATCACGACGGGTATCTTTCTGTAGCCGACCCCCAGCAGTTCAAGATCTTCACGCGGCATGAATGCCGGCTGGATCTAGATGGCTTCTTAGCTGACGCAACTGAAAGAAGCGGGAATTATGTACGCATTCATCGTAGGGTATACCGCGAAGCCATAGATACCATAATACCCGGTGCGAGAAGATGGAGCCTTCGTAGTGGAGCACGACTGGCTTGTCGAGAGGAGCCATGGTTGTTGAATAGGATTTGTTCGAACAGCGTGGAATGTTGTTGCAGACGCGTAGTGAAGTGGAATATGTCTTGAACAACGATAGGGCGGAACATCTTTCCATTACCCCACCCCATGACGTGAGGCCTGGCGCATCTCCGTAGCCATCGAGCAATAGGAATCTTTGTATGCCACGGGACGTAGAAGCGAGCGTCTGGCCGTGATTGTTGCAGTATTAGCGTCATGACGACGGTCGAGTAAGCTGCCGTACAATACCAATCTTGCATTGGGGAGGTGCCTCGATACAGGCTAGTCGGCATGCTTTTCGAATGGCCCATTGCAAATGATACCGACACGTCCAAAGCGACAAAGCATCAATATTCCGACGTGCCACCTGGGGTTGTGCTCTGTTGTTCTGTGTGCTGCCGGCATTGTCACCCCACGCCGAGCGTTGCCGACCTGCGCGCACGCCCGGGGTGCTGCAAGCACTGCAAGGGTGGCTTCGAGCATCCCCGCATTCCCCACGCCACTCCGGAAGAGATATCATCCCGCACGCATCGAAACGCGCTGCGGCCGGCGATAGATGCGTGTCCGATAGAACGTTAGCCGAGCACGGCGACGACGCGCCTGCACACGTCAGCTCCGCTGGGTCGAGTCGTCTTCGCAACTTGACTCGTGTCTTGTCTTTTCCGCCACGACTTGGACCAACGCCAGCTATGCCACACAAGCTCGACATCTTGGTCGTGGGCGCTGGGCTCTCTGGACTCGCCGCAGCGATACAATGCGCCTTGTCAGGGCACTCGGTGACGGTACTGGAGGGCGCAAGGGAGCTGGCTGAGGCATGTGCTTACGCCTATGACACCAGATGGTTGCAATCGGTGTCTATACTAACCAGCATTCCAGATAGGCGCGGGCCTCCAACTTACACCTAATGCTACACGTCTCCTGCTGAACTGGTCTGTGTACGACACTATCCGCGATCGTGTCTGCGAGCCCATCGCACTGACTGTCCACAACTATCGCGGCAAGATACTTGCGCACGAGGCAGAGTTCGATGCGAACATCCGCCGCAAGTACGGAGCGCCATTCTCCGACTGCCATCGCGTGGATCTGCAAAAGGCCATGGTCAAGCGAGCGCAAGAGCTGGGCGTGATCGTAGTACTGAACGCAAAAGTAACGATTATAGATCCGGGGTTGTCCACCGGCGATAGGGCGCGCGTGACGACCTCAGAGGGCCAGAACTACGATGCCGATCTTATAGTCGGAGCAGACGGGCTATGGTCCTCTTGTCGATCTACTATGCTAGGACGTAACGACCCCCCACTACCTACAGGAGATTTGGCATATCGCATCGTGCTCAAAATTGATCAGATCAGCGATCCGAAGCTGAGGGAAATGGTGCGATCACCCGCGTGTCGGTTCTGGGCAGGTCCAGACGCACACGTTGTAGCATATAGCATGCGTGGCGGCGACATGTACAACCTGGTTTTACTCGTGCCCGATGATCTGGAAGAAGGTGTCGCAAAGACTGAGGGCAACTTGGAGGAAATGAGGAATTTGTTCGATGGATGGGACCCAGTGTAAGATGCCCCGCTCGTCTCGAGCTACGACTAAAACGCATACTTACCATTTACACAGGTTAACTCAGCTACTTGGTTATGTGGATAAGGTAGACAAGTGGAAGCTGATGCACCGGGCGGAGATGAGCTCGTGGGTTAACGCGCAGCATAATCTTGTGCTCATCGGAGATTCGTGTCACCCAATGCTTCCTTACCTCGCTCAAGGCGCAAATTCTTCTATTGAAGACGGCGCCGTCCTGGGGCTCTTATTAGCTCCGGAGCACTTCAACTCCCACGACGAACTACCAAGTACACTGCAGTTGTTCCAACAACTACGCAAGGCACGCGGCGAACGCATTGTGAAGGAAACATTCAAACAGCGAGAAGATTTCCATCTGCGCGACGGGCCACAGCAGGCAAAGCGGGATGCGCTGATGCTGGCCCAACTGGGAAAGCCCCTCCAAAGCGCATTTCCGAGTCGATGGACATGTCCCGAGGTACAACCTTGGCTTTACGGTTATAACGCGATAAACGATGTAAAGGCAGCGTTGCAGGCTAAGTCGTTATAATAGCGCGCAAGTTATAGAAAAGAAGTCTATTAGAATATTAAGCAATATATTACAGCGTAGGTGTATAGCAAGTAGCTGCCCTAACCGGTGTTGCAACGAGACAGCGTTAATGTCAGAGGTCAGCCAAAGACTTTGACACCTATCACCCGCAGAGGTATAGCCTAAGATGGGGTCAAACGTAAACGCCTAGGTGATCCATTTCCGGCCAGAGCACGCTCGATGGCGTATACGGAAGCTAGAAAGCGGGTTCTGGCACTCGCGCGCGTAATGGTGGATGGCGCATCGGCGACCAATGACTACCTTCTGCGTGGCGTATCGGGACATGTGCTATCGAGCGAGGCCGAGAACGTTCCGTCTAGTGGCCATAGAATGGTCTTTCATGTTATATGGACTTGTTCTGGTCCTAGCGAAGGCGCTGCTGACGTTGCTCGTAAGATAGAGAACCCGGAGGCTGAGCGGGGTAACATTAATGCCAAGTATCGTGTCACGCGGGAGACGTTGGTCCAGAAAATCTAACAAACTAATTACATTAGTCCGCGGGCAAAGGGAGATGGAACTCTGAGTTGGTGCTCAATTGAGGACTTTGGGAAGCGTTAAAGGGGCCAAAAATCGGAAGGGAGCTGAAAACGGGCTTCAGGCTGCAGAGCACCATGGTGGCGTGCAACGGATTTGTCTCTAAAGATAAAACAAGTCAGTCCTGGTTGCCACCAGATCAAGATACACTTGTAAGCTCCCCCTTTCTTGCAGCTATCGTGGACTAAAGCGTTCGAAGGACAGAGAATATCCCCCGCCAGACATAGAGTCGCCGTCGCATTCCCATTAAGCTCGACGTTCACAAGCTCAGGTTACCACTTACGAAGCGGGTTCACACGCGCCTTGCGACCTCAGCATATTAGCAAGTATAGATTATACAGTAGACAAAGCTGCATCTAGCAACTTATCCCCACCAAGGTAGTAGTGGGGCATAGTGAAGATGTAAAATCAACATTCAACAGTCTAGCAAGCGACGGAATAACAACGAACTTATTGACTATTAATTACTCTAGATCTGTATTAACATCCATCCCTGCGTGACGAGACGCCACAGATACGCCCTGGCACAATATATCTAACATCGGGTTAGAAGAACAGATGTTTTCGGGATTGTAACCTTGAGTCCACGAAACAATCGATTTCACGGCTAACACAGCTGCGATTCATGTCGGACGCTGATTTCCCCAAGGAGCAATGACCATTCAATTATAATAGATCAATGGCAGCCTTACAAACCTAAGATCCGAAGTGCAAACTTGTCTAGCGACACATTGCCCCTCTCTACATAGGGACGTACCTTACTAAACTCGCTTATGTTATGACCAAGCGGCTCAAGAAGCAGCCAGTATCTGCCGTTAGCATCCAAAGAGCTTTACTTTAGAAGATGTCTTTTTTGCACTTTTTACTAGTAAAAAGGGGCTCGTTGGCTGAACTAGCTCGTTGGGTGTGCACAGACGGTAGTTGAGTATATAGTAGACGTATCTCGAGAGTCGCGCTTGACTCCGAGACGCTGCTGTGCTTCTGTTCTAATTCTGGGTCTCCCTGTTAGAACCAACAGAACATCAGGATCCGGGCATCTCGCTTATAGCAGCCTAGCTGTTATGCATGGCCACTAACATTAAACTTAGCCGCCTGAATCATGCACAGCCACTAGATGTAAAAGTTTAACTCTGGCATGACTCAAGGTCTTCCTTGGAGAAGTGCCGCGTTCGACGTCCTTAGTTGCTGTTGGATAGGGAACTGACCGACCCTCGCGATTCGTGGTAGAAACTGTAATTTCAAGTTACTTAAACACGCATAGGGTGCTACAGGCCTCGTAAGCGCAAGCTGCCTTGCGGGCGTGCTTTACTCCTGTCTATACTATTCTAGTTTAACGTCAATAACGATCGTCAGGTTGCAGAACAAAATCAACGACTTTACGCAACATAACTCTATTGTCTTTTACTACGCCGTGTAACTTACAAGAGCAATATGTCGCTGGATACTATTGTTGGCGATCCGTGCTCGTCTGGCTGCCAAATAGCGCCTAGCGCCCAGCGCACCCCGCCCCGCTGGGTCCGGTCAGCGGCCGGTCAGCGGTTACGGGTGCACTGCCTCCACAGGCTGCCTCTACAGCCCAAATTAATCTGTTATATAGTAAGCTTATGTTCTCTAAGCTGACCTGTCGCGACTACATCAGTAACTGCTAAACAACACCATAATGCAAAGCTTGTTGAATAAGAGCAACACTGTAAGACACTCTTCCATCGTTATTACCTCCCATATCGGCTAGAGAGAAAATCACCCCCAGGCATCGTCATGGAAGCTGCCGCTGCACTTGTCAGTTTCGTTGGCCTAGCAGGCCCTGTTGCGCAAGGTCTGAAGTTCCTGTATGACTTCACGACCAACATGAAGGACTGCCCGAAAGATATTCGCGAGATGAAGATCGACGTTGAATTAGTTGAAAGTTTGATCACGCAAGTAATTCAACAGTGCAACGAGCGTGATGCGCGACTTCGAGAAAGCGCGGCATTAGCACGCGCAATCGGTCACGCTCAGAAAAGCGTCGAAGATCTCAAGAAGGAGGTGGCTGCGTATCTTGTGGATGGAAAACGTAAGCGATTCAGGTTTGCAGCCAAGCTCAGTCAAACGCAAAAGCTCAGGGCAAGCTTGGATAGGACTAAGACCATCATGTTTGAGTTCAAGAATCAGCTGCAAAGGTAAGCTATCCGGAAATACTCTTGACGATCACTGACACAAAATAGCGACCTGTTATTTGACATCCGTGATACAAATCAAGAGGTTCTCAGATCAGTAGAGAAGACAAGCAGGAATCTGGAAACATATAGCAGAAACTTCCCCAAGGTCATGCAAAAGCCCGAGGTCCAAGCAGAAAACACGAATAATTCCGGAGGTAGAGTAGAGGCTTCGGTTCAGCGAGCAAACGACACCTCATCTGAAGGCCTAGCCGACGCTAACATCGTTGCCGAGAAGCTCGAGCACATCATGGACTTGTTGACGGAAACAAGGATCTCATCTTCACCAACTTCATTACTATCAACGCCTGCATTGTCACGCGAAGTCAGTGATAACTCCATTACGGACTCGTCCCAGGAAACGACTGCCAGCAGCATTTCGAGCTCGCGAAGCATTTCGCGGTCAGGGTTCCAGAAACCCCAACAAGCGAACATCGTTTCAGAACACCCCCTTCTACAATTCAAAGATAATCAGGTAAGATTAAGTACGCATACACTGCTACCCATCTGACGCATCTGTGCAGTTTCAATTCTTGATCGCGATCATCTTCACCCAGCGCACCCGCAAACAACATCTCGCTTGTCAACGCGCCTCAGAATGTCTGGCAGCATATCCAACGCCAGAAGCACTTTCGAAAGCATTGCCTGAAGATCTCAGTCAATACTTCGGCGGACTTGGTTTGCATAAGGTCAAGCCACCTCAGCTAATTAAGCTGGCTCAAGCATATGTCAAAGATCCGCCGGAACAGGGCAGATTACGTTCGAAAGCTAATTGTCCTCAATCTGAGATCTCACATTTACCTCAAATCGGGCCATCATCAGTTAATTCTTGGCTGGTATATTGCTGTAAAAGGATGGATATAGTGACCATAGATAAGACACTACTAGCGTACATAGAGCATCTGAAGACAGAGGCAGGGGCCAATTAGCTTCAGATATCATGTTATTGCATGTGCTAGATTTCCCAAGATTGCACCGACGCTTAGGCTTGCGAATTCCAACCCCCCCGAACTATCGCGCTATAACGTACCCCATAGGCAAGTTAAAAATAGTCCGTCGGTTTGTAAACGGGTACCGAAGGGGGGTGCAGCTTTAGCTCATATTTCATGCTGGGTTACTTAGGGTCCTCCGGAGCTGTACGTATAATGCTACTTGTTCATTCATTCTACATGCTACTTGAAGGTCAAGGTGAAACCTTAACGAGCGGGAAGCCGCTCATGTTGTCGTCGTCGTCGTCGTCGTCGTCGTCGTTGTTGTTGTTATTATTGTTGTTGCATTCACATAACGTCTCCCTACGCACTAACCGTCGTGTCACAGTCTAGGCAGAAGGTCTCCTCGCCCTTGTCCTACCCGAGAGGACGTCCTTGGGCCCTACCTCTAAGCGACTGCACGGAATTCCACTGCGTTTTAAAATTAGCGCAGGTTCCACTCTCTGTTAGTTGCGTTAGCGCGGGTTCTACACCTCTGTTCTTGCCTCTTTTTTCCCTCTCTGCTGCAACACTCTCTACTCTGTTCTCGCCTCTTCTACCTTCTCTACTACCTCTTTACTACCTTACTACTACCTTACTACTACCTTACTACTACCTTACTACGTGCTATAAAGCTCTCTACGCTCTCTTCTATAATATTAATACTTATTATCTACCTTTGTAAATATAGTTACCTCTTTTATACTACTTATAAGAGCGTTATTGTATTTTAAAGACTTAATGTCTATCTTACCTATACTTATTATATTTACGCCTGCCTACGTAAGCCTACTATTATAGCGTTTTAAACAGTAGCTATTACATAAACATATAATAATATTTAGCCTCTACCTAATAGAAGCCTACTACTTCTCTTTTTTGCTATACTAGTTCTTAGCTACGCCTGTAAATACTATAATTTTAAGACAACTAATTAGAATTACTTTTAGATGCACTAGCGCACTGTTACAGGTAACACAAAGGATTCTCTCCTTGACATGGGGTGAAGGGGTTGAAGGCCAACCACGACCAAGTCAGAACGCAACGATGATCGCGGGGCTCGGGGTCACGTGATCAGGATTGGCATCCCGCCAAGACCAGGCCTCCGGGAGGCCAGTGGGGCTAGGGAAGCCACGGTCCTCCCAAACCTCCCTCTGGGATGGGAGGCCAGGGAGGACAGGACCTAAGGCAATGGGTATAAGAATGTGTTGGATTTCATTATTACACTCATTGTGGTCAACTCAAATAGTTCATCTCTTACACAGATTGTCAACTAGTTATTCTATCGTTTATAGAATTGGATTGTCTTTACCTGCAGTTATTCCACGATAACTCTTTTCCACAGAATCGCCAGACAAACCTCACGGACTACCGCTTTAGTCTACCTCGCCTTAGTACGGACCGAGCCTAGAGAAGTATAGCCTAACCCCGTGTAACACGTAGCCTCTTACAATACCCCCCTCTTAAGAGTTGTGCGTAACGCGCTGTTACAAGAGAACGTTCGCAATGTAATATTAGAGTGTTTTAGTAAAGTTAACTTTCGTACGTAAGTGTTAACTATTGCCTAACTACTCTAGCAGTAAATGTAGCCGCTAGTATAGATTAAGTCGCTGTTGTTTACTTACTTCTCGCGGTAAGAGAGAATTCTAGCGCTCTCTCTAGTGTATAAAAGGTAGCCGCTCTCTTCTTAGGTTCTTATTTCTTGCAACAACTTCTCTTCTCCTACTACAGTCTCTCGTACAAAAACCTTAACAATAGCTACTTCTACTCGCAGTGTCTAGGCCGCTACTAGTTCTAACTACCTTGCTTTTGCGACTAGCAGTAATGCTAACAGCTCGTACGCAACTGCTGTAACTAATATCTAGAACGTCGCTTATCTTTTGCTTACTTGTACCTACTCTTACGCTGTAGTACTAGTAATTACTATACAAGGCGGTATTAACCTTAATAACTACGTAGTCTAGTACATTCTTAATAGAGATATTACTAATAAGCTTTATTGTGTGCTTGCAATAGCCTCCGTACGTATAACTTAACCTCTCTCTTGCCTTACTAACCTTAGAACAGGCTTCTATCCGCTGTGTCGCTAAGTTCTTTCTCTGCTCCGCTAGGGTCTTACCGTACAACGCCCGTTAGAGACTTAGCAATAACAATTTCACTTCTATTATCGCTCGCAGCACTATCCACGCTCACTAAATCCTTACTAGACGCGACTCGTACATTAAGGCTTTTATAATCTATACCTATAGTATTCTTAATATTACTAGCTGCGCTAACAACTGCGCCTACGCTGTACGTAGTAACAGGCCCTTTACTACTTTCGCTAGTTGTATCTCTATTCCTAGAGAATAGAATAGTGCTTATTCTAACTACGTCTAGACTAAGCATAGCGCGCGCTATAGTCTTGTTAGTTAAGGAGCGCCTAATAGCGCAGAACAAGCTCTTCCTAACTCTTGTTCCTGTACAGGCAGTTGCGCTATTCGTGCTCCTTCTGCTAGCGAGAAGTTTATTAATGCAGACAACTAGGCCTTTGTTGCTAGCGGTTCTGTCTTCTTTAAAGAGAACCTAAGGGCGACCGTACAGTCTATATACAAGTTAGCTAGAACTATAGAGTAGTAGTATTAGCTAGATTTTCTTCTAGCTCCTATGTAGCTTCTTAAAATCTAACCTATTTTATAAGATATTACTTAATTCCTTAACGCGTTCTCTTCTTTGTAATGCTCTCTACCTACTATTTAAGATGTTCTTCTTGTTTGTCTTTGTCTTGTACGACAACTACTGCGGGGTTCAAATTGTTAGTCTATTATAAGAGTAGAGAGTTAGTAGTAGCTAGTCTAATCTTATCTATATAGTAGGACTTAGTTTCCTATAGAACAGCTAGTTCTACCTAGTATAGGTCTCGTACGCGTGCTACTTAGTACTTCTTGCTCTTCTAGTCTAGCTTCTTGCTAGCTCTTGTAGTGCGTACGTCTTGTAGGTTAAGCTAAACCTAATCTCCGACTTTGTACGTAAGGGCAGGTTTCCTAAACTTATTTGCCTGCCTTTCCTGTTCTTACTATACGTACAACATAGCTGCGATTGCCTATTCTATAGTAGAGGTAATTATTTAGACAATGTCTTTAGCCTTCTTATAAGTTAGTTTCTTAGCTATCTTACTATTATCTATACGTTTCTGTTCTCTCTATTAGAAGAAGAGCGTATTGTAGTAACTATAATGTAGGAAGAAGAGAGAGACGCTAGTAGACGTGTTTGTGCAGGAGTTAAGCATTAGCTTAAGAATTAGGCATAGCGTAGCCTAGTTGTCTTGGTTGTTGTTGCAAAACACCTATACAACTACTTTAATATTACTGTTTGCTCTCTTAGTCGTACTATCCATCTATAGGTAGTAGGCTATAGACAGGTTTCTTCTTATGTCTAATAACCTACAGACATCTCCCTACATAGCGCTTGTGAACTAGGGGCCTCTATTAGACATAATAGAGAGAGAAAGGCTATAGTAATAGTATACTTCTCGTACGAAGGCCTAGGCTACGTTCTAGTGTACGGGTGTTGGAGGATATGAAGATGTACTGCTACGAGTATGTGAAGTAGTTAGCATGGGTAGTGAGGCATGTGTTACAGGTAACACAAAGGATTCTCTCCTTGACATAGGGTGAAGGGGTTGAAGGCCAACCACGACCAAGTCAGAACGCAACGATGATCGCGGGGCTCGGGGTCACGTGATCAGGATTGGCACCCCGCCAAGACCAGGCCTCCGGGAGGCCAGTGGGGCTAGGGAAGCCACGGTCCTCCCAAACCTCCCTCTGGGATAGGAGGCCAGGGAGGACAGGACCTAAGGCAATGGGTATAAGAATGTGTTGGATTTCATTATTACACTCATTGTGGTCAACTCAAATAGTTCATCTCTTACACAGATTGTTAACTAGTTATTCTATCGTTTATAGAATTGGATTGTCTTTACCTGCAGTTATTCCACGATAACTCTTTTCCACAGAATCGCCAGACAAACCTCACGGACTACCGCTTTAGTCTACCTCGCCTTAGTACGGACCGAGCCTAGAGAAGTATAGCCTAACCCCGTGTAACAGCATGTAGGCGTTGTTTTGGTAGGAAGAGATCCTATTCTGGGGAGATTCTCTAGTCTGAAGTACTGTACAAGTGTCTGGTATCTAAAAAGCTGTCCTCCTCTTAAGGAGAAAAGATTAAAAGATGATCCCTCCCTGCTGTTGCCTTCTCTTGTGTTCTTATCTGTTAAAGTTCTTGTTCTTGGCAATCTTCGGATGATCAAATAGCCGATTCACACTAAGGAACCCTGTGCACCGGCACAAACCTCCCTTTCCTCATAGCATGGTCCCATCATGCTTGCTCCAAGACGTGTCGCATGCTTCCAGAACAAAGGAAAGACAAAAGAAAGAAAATACAAACACAAACACAAAGATTGAGTGGAGATAGTAGTAGTGAGACGTCATGCTGTTAGCGCTACTCAGATTTCAGGTGAAATCGAGCGGCCACCCAAAATCTAAGTACTAGCGGCGTCACGTCAACACCCACCTTACTTCTTAGTACGGTCACTACGGCGTAGAGTTGTAGACGGACCAGCAACAGGGGCAGAAGGAGGCGGAGCTTGTACTGCGAATTTGGGAGGAATGGGTGGGACAGGAGGAGGTGAAGATTCGGTAGAACGTACGGAGCCGTCCTGGGATGACAGAGTACCTAATCGAGAGCGCGGAGTCTTAAACAGAGAAGAAGGATTAGGCATCATAGGCATGCCCTGGTTCTCCCGGAAGTAATATCGAACATCGGGTTCCATGTCGATTTCGTCAATGAGACGATCAACAGCGTCGCCAGAAGAATAGTCATGGTCCCATCTGAACCAGTCGCCTTCTCGCTCGGGATGGCGACCCTCGTTAGTAAAGAAGGAACAGTCTGGATTGCCCTTGTCTTCGTTCGCCGCAAAGGCAGCCTTTTCAAGTCGAACAACTACTGGCCACAATTCCTTAATCTGGTCAATGACATGTTCACGTTGTTCTTCGATAAACTCCATAATTTCTTCCTTGTCCTTGTTGAGCAACTCATGGAGTTCCATGCGAACAAGGGGGTCGTCCCATGAGACTTGCGCGAGGAGAGCCTTCTGAATCCAAGAGTTGAAATCGATGTGTACGTCTGCTGGGAATGACCACTTGACACCACCATATTTGTTGCGATGACCTGACGGCGAAGTCGGAGGGGCAGTGAGGTTGCGATGAGCCTTGGCAATCTCATTATACGTTCCCATAGCTGGGTTCTCTATGACGCCCTGTCGTACTATAACAAACCATGGGAGAATTGTTCGACGGGTCGTGGTAGCAGGTCCTGTAGATCCATGCGGTGTTATTGGGTGCGTGATGCGTATGTCTCCTTGTTGACATATAGTCTTGGCCTATTGCACGCCAGGAGCTGTCGCTTGTGCTGCTGGGGTCCAGTCGTTGACATCCTTCCACCCTTTAATAAGACCATTAGGGTCCTTCTTAACAGTCTGACGCCACGCCAAGTACGGCTTAACATAACGGTGGAAGCCCTCTAATACCTTAGTGCAGTTCTTATCGTCTTCTGCGTCAAAGGAAACTGAACCTTGAATCATTTTGGACCCTAGCCCAGTCTCATTGGCAACGGCAAGGTTGAGATCGACATGGCGGAAGAACGTAGCGTCTCCCGCCTCCGTGTACTTGGTGTAGTAAGGATAAGAGATCATCGTGTGCTCTTCGCGAAGAACCGCGTAAGTCAACCAGTAACGAAGGTCGGTACGCACAGCTTGCTGAATAAGAGAGTGATACATGATGCGCAACCATCCCAGATTTTCTTGCCCGTCTACTCGTCGGAGGTGGTACCTGTACATCTCAAAGGATTGCTTGATAATGTTAATAACTTCCTCGTCCTCGAACATGAGCCAGTCAAAGTTACTCATAACAATGTTTCCCGTGCGATGGAATTCGTTATACATATCTCCCCAGTCCATTTCAAGTCGAATCAATTCCCATGAGGGAATTGGGAACGGATCCTCTGCGATGCTAGAACGATAGCGGTAACTGAGTAGGTCGGACTCCTGCATGCCAACCCTCCATCGCTTAACAAAGAGGATTGACGTTACTAGGTAAGATTGGAACTTATGCCACTTATCCTAAGAGAGGTACAGGAGAGTAAGGATCTTGTTAATAAAAGCAGCGTTCATGGCTCGCTTGAAGAGCCCCATACAGGTAGCCGTTGCTCGTGTATGGAGCCAGCAGACACGATTCGTGTTAAGTTGGCTGGAACGTCCCGCTCGGTTGACGCAGACCTCTCGATACCATGCGTTGATGACCTTAACACGTTCGCGATCATTGAGTTTGGTGTACTTCTCGTAACCGTCCAGGACAAGCGCAAGGAAATCTGAGCTCTGGTTTGTACAGCGACAACCTTTAGTCATTGTCTGTTTCTTGATCTCATCGGTATCCTGATCCTCATCCTCATAGTCCTCATCGTTGAGAGTAGTGTCTACCTTCTTGGCCGCAGCACGATAGGCCTGAGTAGACTTCGGAGCGCTGGCACTAGGAAGAGGCGGCGGTGGGGGAAGCTCTATTGTTGTCCGGTTCCTTCGGAGCCTCGTAGCCCAGCTCTCAACAGCGGCGGTCCTCTGCTCAACAACCTTACGACCTGCTTCCCGCTCTTAGACTTCTCGAACTTCTGGATCTAGTGACACTCGCTGGGTCTTACTTAGCTGCTTCGCTCCTAGCTCTTTAAGCTCAGCGTCAATTCGATTACCACCATCGTTAATTGCTTCTGACTCGTTCGGAGTGGATCCAAATTCAGTGTTGATGGGAACAGCTAGCTTCCAATGAGGGTGCATCTTCATCTGATAGCGCGTAACCACCTCTGTAGTCTTGGTCTGATTAAGGCCGTGCAAAGTGTACTTGATAGGGGTTTGAACGCCTCGAATGGTGACGTCTTCCAAGTGGAAGAAAATATGCTGCCAGAACTCATACTAGTTGTTGTCTTTCCCATCTAGCATGTGCTTGCGTGCGAATAGAATTGGAGGGTTCGCATTCGAAGTCCACTGCAAATTCTTCTTCTCCATTTTGCACTTGTTAAAGTCTGCTCGTAGAGCGGCGACCGCCTGAGGTGACCCTATGGGTTTATCAGAGTAGGTGTTCGTGAGCGCGTAGTCCACAATGTCTTTCATCCAGTTCCTAACAGTGCTCCAGTCTTGTGACAGAATGTTGGTATCGTTGCTCCTGTTTATAGCTTGGATGCGCAGAGCAGCAGCTTGGACTAAGAATAGCGCAACGTCTTGCACGTCCATGCGTCGCAAACAGAACGCTACATCCATCATGGCTTGGTGGTTGTACGCTACTTTGCTCGAGAATCGAGAGATGAAGTCCATGAGGCCGGGTTGCAATGTATTAATAGCCTTGACCGCACTAGAGTGCTCTTGAATACGCTTCTCCTTCGCGTCTTTGACCTTGGCTAGAACATAATACTGATTGTGGAAACCTTCGACTCCGCCGTACTCGCTCATGAGGTCTGGAAGTTCCTTAGCCATATTGGATACTCCCAGGATGACGTCTGTGAGTTGGTCGAAGAGAATGCTGGAGTTAACCATGAAGGTGTCGAGAAGGACCTTCTGCTGCTTAGGGTCTTGATGTTCCATGCAAGTAACTAAGCTCTTCACTTGCTCATCGATGTCCAACTCCTTGATGTTATGAGACTTGGCCAAAGCAAGAACGAAGTTTTTAGCGTCGATGTACGGAGCTTGCGCAATCGCAAGAGTATCCTCCTTGGTGATCGCACGAGCGCGGGTCGAAGGAGGAGAAGCAGAGCTTCTTCCTGAAGTCTTGACTTGAAGATCTAGAGACTGAAAGCCTAGGGAGAGACCAGGGGTAGCAGGAGGATGCTGGTCTTCTTGCTGACGCGGAGGCGTCTCCCGTGAGGATGATCCTTGGTTGCGAGAAGAGGAGGCCTGACCTGTCTGCACTTCCTTGCCCTTGCCCTTGTTCTTGCCCTTGTTCTTGCCGGCCATCTCCTACCAAGCCTCCAGCAATGCGGGCGTCTTCCTTATACGGCCCTAGTCTAGCTCTTGCGAAGAAACCCTTGCTAGACTGGCTCAGTGTGTAGGACTAATGTTACTAGGCTTGTGTGCGTTGTGTGTGTGGGTGCGCTTATGCGCTCGCGGGCTCCCTCTGTCGTATCGGTCGTAGGCTCAGTGAGCAGAGCGCGCGCTCTCGTATGCGGGGTCGGCCGTAGCTACGGGTCGATGAGTAGTTGTTGTGGTTGGTGATGGTGAAGGTTCTGATGGGAAGCAAAGTGAGGCGGCTAGCCAAGGCAGGAAAAGAAGAGACAGCCCAGTCCTGAGGGGCGGCTGTGGTGTGTGGTAGAGAAAATAGGAAGAAAGGGTTGGGGAAGGAAAGATAGAGTAGCAGGCTAGGAGAAGTATATATATGCTGCTGGGGCGGCTGCCTATTTGTCGCGATGTCGACAGGTAAAGTTGGGAGGCAATAGTGAAGTAAAGGCGCGGCAATAAATCGCGCAATCGCCTATTGTCCTCCGCGGTGTATTTGCGCGAACAATAGGCGCGGTGTATAGGCGGCATTGTATTGTGGTGGTGGTGGCAGCCAGATTTCAGGTGGCATCCCAACCCACCCGAAATCTGTGTGTCAAGACTGTTGCGCACTGCGGTCATCAAAACCGCGGCTAATAGACAACTATTCTCAACTGAATTCGTTTTGACGGGGTTTCAAGTACGTTGAGATGGTGGAAATAGTCTGGTGTTGCGAAAGTCCCCTGTCCTTCTCCACTCGAAGTGGTTCTGGATGTTGGCTAGACGTCCGCGGCACTGCTAGCAGCTGCTGCAAGGGGATGATGCTCGTGGCTCTCTCCCTCGTTGTTGGGAGGAAAGGAAAGAGAAGAAGACGAAGGTAAGGTGTATTTTTGATGATGGTGGTTGCTCTCTGGGTTAGCTGGGGCGACGGCCTTAGACGACGCTGAGTGTCGTAAGTCGGTGGCAGCTTAAATACGTCTGGTTTGAATTGGCAATCCTGAAACAAGCTTTAAATGCATGGTGAAAGTTGAGCATGCATTGTGAGAAGAGGCTTTTGGACGAGAGAGCCTATAGGCCCTCCCTCCCCTTCCTCGAGTAGTGGCCGTCCCTTGGCCTAGGAGATTTCCCCTTCGGAAACTGAGGATGAGTCAGAATCGGAGGAGGGAGCAAAGTCTAGTCTGTATGCTCTTCGTTCATCTTCAGTGAGTCGCTTGGTGATAACTACTCTGGGTTGGCTAATGAGGCGCGGCGTGTTGCTCGCCTCCCCTTCCTTGAGGTGTGGACGAGTTGTGGGGCTTTGATTATTATCTTCTTCATCCGCAACTGAACCAGCCGGCGCGTCGGCAGAGACATTGCTGTTCTCCCAGTTCTCTGGGTTCCAAAGCTTCATACGACCGCGGTCTTGTTCTGCGATGTCCTCAACCGTTCGTTGTCGAAACAGCTTCAACCTATTCCCGGGGATAGTGTGTGGAAATGGTGTACCATCAAGATCCTCTAGATGGAATGTGCCTCGTTCTGGCCTTGGGAGGCGTACGCGATACGGGCCCATCCATCTAGTGTCGAGCTTCCTGTCTCTAGACATGTCTATCTCACGAATAGAATTCCAAAGAAGCACCAGATCGCCTTTTCGTAGATCCTCACTGCGCACTTCCTTAGTGTCATCCCAGTAGTCTTTCTTAGACTGCCGTAATCGATTGGTGCGGGTGACGGCGTCTTTAGTGAATTGGTCTCGAAGGTCTAGTTGCATTGCGCGTATTGCTAGGAGCTGCGCGCGGTCCTTGACTTCTCGGAATGGAAGAGTCTGCCATGTTGGTAACGCTAGTTCTAATGGAAGAACTGGGTTTTAACCAGTGATCAACTGGTACGGCGAATAGCCTGTCTGAGATTGCGTGGAAATGCGATCCGCAAGGAGAACAGTAGGCAAGTTGTTCACCCATGAACCTGTAAGTTTAGCCAGTGCATTCACTATAGGCTTGTGACCACCCTCGATCTTGCCCATAGCTTGTGGGTTATGTGAGGATGACTGAATGCGGTTAATCTTGTAATGTTCAGCAAGGTACTTCACCACTTTGGCAAAGTCTGGTCCTCCATCGACCAGGAGCTTGCGCGTGGTGCTCCATCGACATATGATGTCTTCGTAGATAAAAGCAGCGATAGTGCTGGACTTGTTGTTGGGAAGCGCTCTGGCCTCTGGCCATCCGCTTAAGTATTCTCTCGCAATGACAAGATACTTCTTGCCCTGGCAATGTGGCATGTAGACTACATCGATTGCGACTGTCTCCCAGATCGCAAAGCTGTAGGTGTTGGTTAACATGTCGACTTTCCTCTTTGATGAACGGAGTTGGCACTCTGGGCATCTTAATAGCCTTCTACGAACGTCTTCGTACATGCCAATCCACCAGTAACGCTGTGCGAGCATGGAGTATACAGTGTTAATTCCCCGATGACCAAGATGTTCATGCATCTGCCATATAGCTTGGGCACGTATGTCGATATCGTCGACAACTCGGCGTATGGCAATGTTCCTTGAGGTCTTGCGGAAGAGCATGCGATCGCGAACAAAGAAGTTAAGGGCTCTCTTTTTCCATGCGCGTCGCTCCCTTGGTGTCATGTCCTTTGGAATCCTAAAGTTAACCAGGAATTGCGCAATTTGTTCAGACTAATCGGTATATTCTTGCTTCAGTATCCGTGCGGTTCCAATTGGTATTGTGTCATTCATGTTGCCAATCATGTGGTCAATAAATTCTTCGAGATCTTCCTCGGGCTCCTCTGGTGGTACCCAATCATCCGGTTTTGGGTATCGAGAGAGGGCGTCTGCAACAACGTTCTTCTTACCAGGAACGTGTACAATGTCAAAATCCCATAGTAGAATAGTAGATATCCATCTGTTCATGACTGAACCAGGGTTGTCAGTAGATGAGCGGTTGAGTTGAGCAATAAGTGTTGCTGCATCGGTTTCAATAGTGAAGTGTATGCCGTATAAGTATGTGCGGAATTTCTTCAGCGCCCACAGTACTGCTTTGCATTCTAACTTAGTAGAATGCCAGAGGCGTTCTCTTGCTGACCAGAGCGTGCTCTCGAATCGGATAGGGTGGCGTTTGCCATCAGCCTGTAGTTGTTCCATGCAGGCTCCTCCTCCATCTTGGCTAGCGTCCGTCATGAGAAAGACCTTGTATTGTAATGTGTTGGTGTAGTCGAGGCTGGCTAGGGCTGGTGCTGAGCAAATTGCTTGCTTAAGTGTGTACATAGACTGATCCTGCGCTGGGCCCCAGTCGTACTGTACATCTGCTCTCAGTAACCAGAAGAGCGGCTTTGCAATGGTTGTGAAGTCCTTGACCCAGATACGATAGTAGACACATAGTCCAATGAATGAACGTACATCGCGCACATCGCGACACGGTGGCCAGTCAAGGAGCTTCTGAACCTTCTTACTGTTAGGATGACGTCCTTCAGGGCTAATTTCATAGCCCACAACCTCGAGTCTTTCTATGAGGAAGTGGCACTTCTTTCCTAAGACAGTGCCTCCTGCTCGTTCAATGTCTGCGAGAACAGCGTCAAGCTGAAGAATGTGTTCATACACGTAGCGACGAACGCCAGGCATAACCATCTCCATGTTGTAGTTTGTCTTGGGACCACCGCATGTTATGTCATCCACAAATACCATAGTGTTGGGCCAGTAGTCCTTAAGGATCTTCATCATGACACGCTAAAATGCTGCAACTAAGTTGGTTGCTCCCATAACCATAGTACATGAACGAAGCAACCCAACTAGTGTTTAGAAGGCTGTCATGTCTCGGCTAGAGCTGTGAAGAGTAATCTGATCGTAACCCGAGAAGAGATCCATAAGTGAATTGATGAGGCATCCCGCGAAGCGTTCAGAAAACTCATCTGCTGTTGGTGGTAGGTTTGCATCGCGTATGCTGACTGCATTAATCTTTTGAGCATTAGATATCCATCGGGCTGTCCCGTCCTTCTTAGGAACAAGATGCCATAGGTTGCAATACTAACTATCGCACCGCTCCCATGTTCCTCTGTTGAGACGGGCGTTGGCCATCTCAACAACTAGATTTTCAAGCTTCTTGGGAACAGCAAAACCTCTCGCTTGCCAAGCTTGGTGCGGTATGGTGCGAATCTTGTAGGGTGGACAGACATCTGGGTGTATTCTGCCAGACTCGGTGAATTCCCAGGACAGTGCTGCTTCTCGATTGTAGAGCATTTGGATGAAGAGCTCTCTCTCTTCATGTGTGACCTGGGTTCCAATGTGGAGGTTGGCAAGCCTCTCTGATGTAAGACGAGTTCCTCTTGGAAATGCCGCGTACCGTGGTTTAAAGATGTCATCGTGTGGGCCTGGGTCTAGTTCACGAACAGACATACGAAGGCGTTGGCGTTCCTTAGCCAATTCCTTCCAGTCTTCCCGTCCGAACTCCATTGGCTCATCCGACCGAGGAGTATCTACAGGTCGAACTTTCTTGTCTACTGTCTTGTACAATGTGTATACGTCTGGTTGATAATGAGTTGCGCGCGCATAGTCTAAACCTCTCTGGCGATTGATTACGCACATGACCGTATGTTCGGTGAGCTCCTGCTCATGGTGGATAATCGCGTCACAATCCTCGTCTGCTCGGAGTGCTTCAGCATTGTTATCGAAGAGAGCTCGCATCCATCTCTTCCATGACTGTTGAATGCATGCTAGGTACAGCATGTTGTACTCCCCGAAGCCTTGTGTTGGGTCGCACCATGCTGACTGATGGAGGTATCGAACAGCGGGGACGTCTCGAGACGGCTGTAATGGGAGATTTATCATTGTGCTGACTTGTACGTGCCCGGCCGCGTCGTCTTGCTGTTCACTTTGGCTATTGTCTATTGTCGAAGACGGGTGTGCAGGCTCCGGGTCCGACGCGACGAAGGAAACTAACTTAGCTCCATCCTCTGACTGAATGCGGCATTGTACTCTGCCGAACGCGTTGTATTGTATCGCAATGCATGACGCCGCACACCATGGCCCTCCAAGTATAGCCGAGCGTGTGAGGTTCGCTACGATGCGAAAGGTGGTGTGAATGACTACGGTGCCTATGCGTAAGGGTATATCGAATGCTGTGCCAATGAACGGCTCATGCCCTCCGTTGGCAGAGGTGACTCCTTGCGGTAGGTCTCCAAGTCTCTGTTGCTGAAGCTCATATGGTATCTTCAATGCTCTCGCGGCGCTGAGGCGAAGAATATTCATCTGAGCGCCCGTATCAATAAGGCATTTAATTGAGTCTCCATAGACATGCACCCATGCCTCTGGTAGGTCTGTCTGTACGAACGCTCTTCCTGCGCGTCTATGTACTCCTCGCACTGCTTTGGTGGGTACACGGTCGAGGCCTTCGGCCCACGAGTCCCCGCGGCCGGTGACCTCGTGTCTTGTTTGCGCATTCGAATGGTACACATCGACAGTGCTGCAGGATACCTTAGTGTCGCATTGTTGCAATTGTGTTGTTGTAGGGAGTTGTAATTGTTGCGCGTGGGTGGCGAGATGGTGGGGCGCCAAGGTCTGGGAGGGCGCCCAGATTTCGGGTGGCTCGGCAGTCGACCCGAAATCTGTGCGACGGCCAGCTCCACAGCTGTTCACCATCCCAATGCTGTTAACACCAACATCATCCTCTTTTAAAAGATCGCGCAATTGATTGCGAATACTGCCTTGTCCTATTAAGTCAGATACTGTTATCCCGCGTACTTCCTGGCTCAGAAGCGCTGTCGCGATGCGGTTGGGCTGGCCCTTGATGAGCTCCCTAAGCTCTGGGTCAGGAAGTGCATCAGAGAACTTGACCGCCTTCTTCTTGCGGCCCTGCATTAGATGCTTAGGATCAGCCGACATGCTGTCGTCTATGCGCACATCCTCAGGTGGATGCACGACCGCGAATGGCGTGTCAGGAGCTTGCGGGTGGAATGGCTCTCCAACCCAGCTATCTTCCTGACGCATGGTGGTGTCTGAAACCTGCGAATCCGGAACTTGGTTGTTGACGTTCTCTCTTGGTGACGGCTGAGAGCTCTGAGATTGCTTAGACGGTCGCCCTCTCTTCCTTATATGGCCGTCCCGAACACGATCTGGGTTTTGGAGAATGCTTCTCTCTAAGCGCCCACTAACAGCATTGCCCTCAGCGCTGTGGAGAAAGGCGCTGTCCTCTCCTCCAAGGATAATGCTGTTTGAGTCAATGTCGTCAAGAGTCTTAACATCCTCAGAGTACTCCACTCCTTCTTGAAATTGGAGGAACTGCTGGCGAACATCTTCAAACTCCTGGCGATAGCCCGAGTGCGTAGCCACATTGGCCGTTCCTGCTTGTTTAGGACGCTTAGGGCGAGAGTCCTGCTTGAACTTCTCTAGAACTACATTAGAAGCGGGTTGTTACATTACGTCATCGGTAACGTTAAAGTACTCTCGGATCTTAGACTTAAGCCACTCTAGCTTCATTGTTAACGGTGAAGTTCCTAGGATTAGATCAAGACGCTCATGCGGCGGGCCAAAGTAGTAAGTTCCAATCTTGCGATCATTGTCCCAATAGTGGCTAACCCAACCTAGGTTGCGAAGATTGTTGTAGAGCTCACAGTCCGCGATCTTATAGCCTTCTGTGTTGCACATGTGACAAGTGTTGGAATGCTCTGCTCGGCCAAACATTACGCTTCCCCCTCTAGGAGCAGTGTTTCGGGGGGCCTTAGCAATGAAGGAACCATCATTCCTCTCCATCGGTGGCTCCTTGTTGACTATACGCCCAATGAAGTAGAGAGCATTGGCGGGCTTCTTGAACATATGGCTGGTCGAAGGAAGGTGCATGAAGTACTCTGCTGATGCCATGTTGAGCTTCATGTCCTTCAGTGTCGAAATAAGATCCTCCACCTCCGGGTCAACTTCAGGAGGTACTACACTCAGTTGCTCTTCCCGCTTCTTAAAGTCTGCCATTGCATTCTTCACTTCGTCAGGGTTGAAAGTAGCTCGCTTGTTGGTGAGCATGATGCGCCTCATCTCTGCGTCCATGCCACCTCGATCCTAAGTGTGCATCTCATCGATGCTGTTGGTCTTCTTGTGGTGTGCCTTCAAGAAGCAATAGATCTTGTCCACGTCATACTCAGTCCAGTCGTCCCCTTTAGGGGCATCTGGCATCATGAACATAACAGACTCCTTGTCATGTTTCGGAAGACCACGGAAGAAGAGGATACCTAGCTCCTCACGAGGAACTTGCTTGCTGGCGACGCAAGCATCGGATGTTGTTGCAAAATGAGTGTAATACTCCGTAAGACTAGGTGGATCGCGTACACATTTCTGAATGAAGGCCTGCAAGTATGAGCGCTTGCCCATCTTAACAGCAGTGTCTTCATCAGCCCAGTAGTCTTTCATAGAGGACTTGAGCTTGCTCCAGTCCTTCTCCTGGTAGCCAGCTAGCCGCTTAATGATGCGAGAGAGAGAACGGTCCTCATCGCTGATATAGTCCGGAAGGACGGAGACTCTCATTTGGCTAGAGAGGCCTCCGTTGTCGGCTTGTCGGTCATAGTCTTCAAGGAACTCGGTAACGTCTTTACCGGTGAAGACAAGAGTAGTGTGTCTAGGTCGAACCATAGAGACTATACTGTCGGTTGCCATTGCTAACGACAGCGTGCTTCCTGTTTCTGTAATCGTTCTGGGTGTTGGGGTCTTAGGTGTCGAAGAAGAAGAAGGATTGGCAGATGAATGTTCAGGCGAAGGGTTTGCTGGATCCCTTGATGCTTTGCGCTTCTTCTGTTCCTTCCTTGGCTGTCGCGATTCTGAATAACTCATGAAGGAGCCACTACTCCTTCATTGAAATGAACTGTTCCTAAATTCTTAATTGTCCTCCTTTTTTCTTTTTAGGAGAGTCCCCGCCCTCCCTTCCTTAGCACCGCTTAGTGCTTTCTGTACTAATGTACCCCATTGGGTTGTTGGTTCCATTGAACCTGCGGTTCCGCACCATTGTGCGTACTAAGTATACTGTTGTAGTGTCATGCTAACCTAGTCGGCCCAGCATTTCATTGTAATTCTAATGTACCGTTCCAGGTATTAGTCGAAACGGCTTTTCTTGTTAATTCCGATTAGTTGTTGTCTCTAAGTAATCGTCTCATCCATCGTCGCTCAGAGAGGAAAGAAAGGTCGGCCCGAACGCAACCATTGCTAAGGTTCCGGCTGACCCAAAAGGAAGAGATAAGCCTGCACTCATAGTGTTGTTGGAAGTCGTCTTTGCTGTGTGTGTCGCATCAACGCATGCTAACCACGTCCTATACTGCGTAGTGGAGTACATCCCCATAGGCTTCGCCATTTGTACGGGTGTTAGAGGATATGAAGATGTACTGCTACGAGTATGTGAAGTAGTTAGCATGGGTAGTGAGGCATGTAGGCGTTGTTTTAGTAGGAAGAGATCCTATTCTAGGGAGATTCTCTAGTCTAAAGTACTGTACAAGTGTCTAGTATCTAAAAAGCTGTCCTCCTCTTGAGGAGAAAAGATTAAAAGATAATCCCTCCCTGCTGTTGCCTTCTCTTGTGTTCTTATCTGTTAAAGTTCTTGTTCTTGGCAATCTTCGGATGATCAAATAGCCGATTCACACTAAGGAACCCTGTGCACCGGCACACTAGCTCTCTATCTTCTGCATAGGTATTAAGATTGCAGCTTTGCTAAGGCAGTCTTTTACTACTATTAGATTTAACTTCTCTTCTAAAAGCGGGAGCCCTGTAATAAAGTCTACTATTAAGTGCTGCTACGTACGACTTAGGACTAGCAGAGAGCAGAGGTAACTATATCTTCTATCTCTCTACAGAGTGCTTTTCCTACAAAGCTCGCAGTTCTGTACAAAGCGTCTAATATTGTTGCTTATCTTAGGCTAATACTATTCTCTTGCTACAATCCTGTATGTCTCTTCCTAACCTAGGTACCCTGTTTGCAAGAATAGGTAGGCTATCTAGATTATGCCCGTACAAAGTAGTTCTAATTTAGGTACCTAGGTACGTGTTCTCTATATAAGGCAGTTGTCTAAGTTAATTACGTAGTCTCCTAGAGACACAGCTATCTTTCTAGTCGTAGATAGTAAGCGTTGCCTCTTCTGTATAGATTGGAGCACTTCCTAATAGAGGTCGTCCTTAGCTACTACTGTAGCCTAACCAATATGAGGCGACGGATTATGCACAATCCGCGCTCGATTAGGTATCGCGTTAGGGTTCGCTAACTAAGAAAGGAAATCTAGAGGGCATAATCCGTGCGCATAATCCGCGGGCTTTACTAGTATTGTAACGTGCTGCAACTTACCCAAAAGATGCAAGACAACGCTCCAAATCTATTCCGTCTTTTAGAATACCTGCAGCTAGCACTATTATTAAGATATTTATGCGTGAACTTTGGCTGGAGAGACTTGACGTTCCTCGCTGAAGTCGGAGCTTGTAACCTCCGACTACAGGCCTGTGCGCGAAGTTAGGAAGTTCAAGACTTAAGCCATACTACTGTAGGTACGTCAGTAGATTAGATAACAGCAAGATAGAGGGACTTCTTACGCTTGTAAGAATATAAAGAATGCGATCTAGATAGCGATTGTGGTCTACAAGTAGGCACAGAGGAACAAAACTAGTGCGCGGCAAGTCCCGCGAGCCTTTACGTGCGGATCTGGTAGATCTAGAAGTTAAGGTAGTAGCTAATAAGAACGTTAGACTGTACGTTACCTCGCGATAGGTAAAAGATGCGTCTTCTTCTATAGCCTTCCAAGTTAGAGTTATAATAGTAGAGCTATAGCACGTCGACGTTAGAACAATAGTACTGTCACGATGTTCAGGCCGGTCGACACAAAAGAGGTAGGAAAGAAAGAGGTAGAATTGGATCTCAAAGTCATGCTATCTACCGCAAGGTACTGCTACCTATAAGTCCTTAAAACCCCTACTCCGCCTCCGCCTGAAGCTCTTAAACAAGGGAATCATACACAAAACGCTAGCGCGGAACCAGGCCCTCGCACTCGCCCGCGATGTATCCATCCCACTTATTAACCTGCTCAAGACTAGAAAGACACTGAACTACGCCACCACTACTAATAGCTTAGAACAAGATAAATACGCGTTAAGGGCGATCACAGAGAACCTTGTTGCCGTAGGCGCGATAGATGTGGGCCTAGATGCGATCGCCATTCTCTAACTTGCTAACGAGCATGCCTTCCTTGTTGTTGTAGACGATAGGGTAGGTGCGCGCGGGATTAGCAAAGACGAACTTGCCGGGGGTGCGGTCGTAGTCGTTAGGAAGCGTGGTGTTGGGCAGCAAAGAGAGGGAGCGGAGTTCAGCGGGAGTTAGCAGCTCAATAGCGTCCTAGAGACAAGGTCAGCTTGTTACGTGTTGGTAAAGTAGCGATGTAAAGGTACATACACTAAGGCCAACCTTGCTAATCAGCTCATAGTGTAGGCCTTGGACACCGTCGGTAGATAGGTGTTCGGAGGTCAAGGCGTTGGAGAGGTATGCCATGGTAAGAGAAGTGTGTTAGAATTGTATTAATGTAGAGAAGTTGTGAAGTTGCAACAAAGAAGCAGCGGAAAGGCGCCAATATATACCTAGGGAAGCACGAGCCACTTAAATGAGAAGAATGGTAAAGTGGAACAATCTGCGGTGAAGGCAGCAGCTACTCCGAGCGTTGGATTGAGCAAGATATCTGCAGTGAAGTCGAAATAACCGCAGCGACGTCGCGCGGCAAGTCCCGCAGAACTTCACATGCGGATCTAGCTAATTAGGGTGTGAAGGCGGCAGCCAATCGCAGCGCTAGGATGCTAGAGATGTCCGCGACGAAGGTAAGTTGATTGTCGCGGTAATGCTGCGTTGACTGTCGAGGTGAAGTCGCGCAGACGCAGGCCTTCACATGCGGATCTAGCCGATCCAGATGTGAAGGCGGCAGCTAATGGGAGCGCCAGGTCGCTAGAGATGTTTGCGGCGAAGGCGAGCTTATTGTCGCCTTAACGCTAGGCTGGGTGCTGTCAAGGTGGGCCGATTGTTGAGGTGACGCGGGGTCAATTGTCGCCGTGAAGAGGAGTTGCTTGTCGAGGTGAAGTCGCGCGGCCGCCAGCCTTCACGTGCGGATCTGGCAGATCCAGATGTGAAGGCGGCAGCCAATCAGAGCGCTAGGATGCGGGGCATCCCCGTAGTAAAGGGGACTTAATCGCTGTAACGCTAAGCTCGTTGTCGCTGTGAAGGTGGGTTGATTGTCAAGGTAAAGTCGCGCGGCAAGTCCCGCCAGCCTCCACGTGTAGATCTGGCAGATCCAGATGTAAAGGCGGTAGCCAATTAGAGCGCCAAGCTGTTGGAGATATCCGCAGCTAAGGCGAGTAGATTGTCGCTGTAATGCTGCGTTGACTGTCAAGGTGAAGGCAGCAGTTAATCCGGGCGTCAGACGTGTAAAGATATCCATAGTGAAGGGGGCGGTGATAGAACAACCCACGGTGAAGGCCACACGTGCGATTATCGACGAGGGGATAGTACGTATTTAAAGCTAGACGTCCTTTATTACCTTGGCTCTTTCTTCCTCCAACTACTAGAGAATTGGTCAGCCACTACACACTTTTCGACCACTCTTTCTAAGTACCATGTCCGCCTCCACGTCCCTCCCCAGCGACGATTAGATCAAGGCGTTCTTCGCGAACGACTCGTCTCTCGATCAATTTGTCAAGTTCTGTAAGCATTACCTCACGCGCTATATCTACAACAGCTAACAAGGCATAAAGTAGAGACCTACCTCTTTAGTGTCCGCATCACTCCCCGCGCCTGCGCCATCATCTTCGAGGCCGCCAACTGCATCAACCCGTCTACGTTTCCAAGCCCAGCCTCCGAGTTCTTCGCCTGCGAGACAATCAAGTCCTACCTTACCAACCCTGTCCGCACTAACGCCAATCTCATCTACACTTCCCAACCTAACCTGCCAACATTCAGGTGGCTTCTTACCCAGTACAACCCAGCCCAAAGCAGCGGGATCAACTTCGAGGCGCTTACGGCTGTGTTGGCAACCGCAAGCCGCACAAGCTACCCTCCTAGTAACAGTGCGGTATGCGACGGCTGTCTTCAGAGTAGCGCGCGACTTATAGATAAGTGTCGGAATATCAGCGCTAAGAATCTGCTCAAGGGCCTAGGCCTTAGTGCTCCAACCTGTACAAACTGCTTCGCTGCTGGTGTAGCATGCGAGTAGCAAAAGGCAGATGAGGAGGCTGCTTCTGAGGGATGCTAGGAGTTAGAGGGAAAGAGAGCTACGAAGAAGACACTTGTTAAGTTGGGGTGGACAAGAGATAGTACTTAGTTGATTACAATTCTATCCACTTGCCACTCTTTCCATTTGCATCGTACTTCACGGTAATAGGTCCTCATCGCAACGAGCAGGTTCAACGTAGTCTTTCGTTCTGCAGCATCCGAGCTCTAGTAGAGTCAGCTGGCGCTTGTTCTTGGCTGCCACTGCCAAATCAACCTTCTCGACGTCTTCTAACTCGTCGCTCTCATTGCTCTCCTCGTCTAAGTCGGGAATCGCACAGATGCGCAAGGCTTGACTCGCCTCTATGCTAGATCGCTCTGCGCATAGAATCGGGCCGCCGCTAAGACCACCAGAACCTAACCAGGCATCGAACTCGCGGCCGAGCTGCACTGCAGGCGCATTAACACGCTGCACAAGTTGTAGCCATACTGTCCACTCCGCGACTCGCAGCGTCTGCTCCACCTAACAGGATGTTACTGTATCCGCCGGCATAAGCAAGAGACAGCCCCAACCCAGCACCTGAGCGGCTTCGTACCATTGACGAGATCGCTTCAGCCAGTTGTTGTACGCCACCTACGTACTAGAAGGTTGTTCTTGTTCCCAGAGGATCCGCTTAGCTTGGGCACGCACATGGCCCTCTCCCTCCCGCTGGC